GCTCAATTTCCCAAGAACTTCAAGGTCCCTCACCAGCAGGCTTATACTGTTCTTGACAGCTCGACCCACGCCATTTTCCTCCATGTTACCGTCAACAACAGAGAAGGTCAGGAATACGGTTCAATCGTCAAGTCCAACAGTAATGGTACCTCATATGTTATGAGCATTGGAGCAGTCAACCGCAACACCCCTGGATATGTCGACTTTGAGAAAATGCAAGGACTCGAAGGTGTCATTGTCGTCAATGTGGTTTCCAACGTCGGAGAAGTCGATGGCGGTGCTTCTAAGAAGCTCAAGACCATGATCACTCACAACGATGGTGCAGAATGGGGTCTCGTCTCTCCTCCCGAGAAGGACTCTGACAACAAAGACTTTGATTGCAGTGGCGATTTGGAGAAATGCTCTCTCCATCTTCATGGCTACACCGAGCGTAAGGATCCTCGCGACACTTACTCTTCACCATCTGCCGTTGGCTTGATGATGGCTGTAGGTAACGTCGGACCCAGCCTTGGTCCTTACAAGGAAGGTAACACTTTCATCACCCATGATGGTGGCGTTGAGTGGCATGAAGTCTTCAAGGGGACTTACATGTGGGAATATGGCGACCAAGGCTCCATCATTGTCATAGTCCAAGAGACAACGCCTGTAGACACTGTCTACTACACTACCAATGAGGGCAAGAAGTGGACCGCATACCAGTTCAGCGACACGAAGGTCCTTGTTGAGAAGATCTCCACCGTCCCCACGGATACGTCTCGCAATTTCATCCTCTGGGGTAAAGATGGAGGCTCTTCAGGCGGTCTTGTCACAGTCAATCTCGATTTCTCTGGCCTTACAGATCGCCTATGCAAACTCGACGAAAACACGCCGGATTCAAAAGAAGGCGACTACTACCTCTGGGAGCCTAAGCATCCTCTTTCGGACTCGAACTGCCTCTTTGGTCATATTGCGCAGTACCATCGCAAGATTCCCGACAACGAATGCTACAATGGTCCCGCTATCCAGCGTCTCCACGGCATCTCCCAGAACTGCACTTGCACTCGTCAAGACTTTGAATGCGACTACAATTACGAACGTCAAAACGATGGTTCGTGTGCTCTTGTCCCTGGTCTCGAACCGATCAATCCTCTCGAATACTGCGCTGCAAACCCTGATCTAGATGAGTACTATGCACCTAGTGGATACCGCCGTATTCCACTCACCACATGTGCTGGCGGCAAGGAATTCGACAAGATCTCCGAACCTTATCCCTGCCCTGGCCACGACAAGCAGTTTGAGAAGAAACATGGCATCAGTGGAGCTGGTCTCTTCTTCGCCATTTTCATTCCTATCGCTGCCGCTGCGGGTGTAGGATATTGGGTCTACCGCAACTATGATGGCCAGTTCGGCCGCATCCAACTCGGTGACACTGGAATGATGGGCAATGGCAACGGAGCCTTTGACTCGGAACAGCCTTGGATCAAGTATCCTGTTGCTGCCCTCTCGGCTATTGTCGCCATTCTCGCCGCCACCCCTATGGTCATTGGAGGGCTCTTCCGTATGGTTAGCCAACGATTTGGACGCGGTGGCTCTGGTGGAGGTTACTCAAGACCGTACACCAGTCGTAGCAGCTTCTCGAGAGGTAGAGGTGATTACTCTCATGTTGATGCTGACGAGGGCGAGCTGCTTGGTGACGAGAGCGATGAGGAGGTATAGACGAATGTGAAGGGCTGTTTCGACATGTATGATGAGAAAGTTTTTGCGGTGTAGAATAGCATCGTCTCTTATCAATTTCAACGTTCTTGCATTTGAACGTCTTATGCTGCCCTTGCCCCAACCAAGATCGCGCTGTCGTTAATCAGCAGTAATTAAGAGATTGGAAACCAAGGCTTTTGTGTTTGCGAACAGTTCACGTCCAAGGGCACGATTGACGTAGACTTTGGCGATGGCTTGGCGGTTGTCCGAGCGTGCGAATTTCGAAATCTTCATATTCTGCGATACCCGCACTCGCAACCAACAATTGGTTGTATAGTGTAATGGTTAGCACATCGGATTCTGATTCCGGTAATCCAAGTTCGATCCCTGGTACGACCTCTTCTTTTTGGCGACATCATTCTTTTTTTTTGTGTCTGAATACCAATAACAACTTGAGGATTTCGAGGGAAAGAAAATATGTGCATTAGGAAATGGAAGAGATCCTTTTTTTTTTCTTCTCTTTTTCGCTCTTTGTACTTGTGTTTTTTGAGGGATGGTTGTGTCTTTCTTGCCTCTTCTCTAGTCAAGCTCGGTTTTGAAAGCTACGGGTGGGTGGGCAAGTTTATCGCCTCGCCTCTGTTTAGAAAGCTATTGTACGGGTTTATAGCATACTACGATAGTATATGGCGCTGTGAGAGAGACATGGTGGATGTTCGTCGTAGCAGTCTAGGTTGAATATTGAGACGCAGTATCTCGCGGCTCTTGAACAAGAAGTGATGGACGCGAGCATAGGCGTTTCAATAACAACAGCCTCGATCTGTTCATTACTCTTGGCTGAGCGGTCTCTGGCACGGGCTGTAAGCAGACCACACAGACCATTACAGAGTTCTTCTGGTGGTAGAATGCAAAATAAGAGGTAGGATCTATAACATGAACTGCAGATGACTGGAGATACAAGGACTAGAAGCGATATGGATCAGCAAACTGCAGAACCTCCGTCAAAAGAAGATGAACAAGAAGAGTAAAATATCCCAATACTGACAGTTGAATCCAAAAAAAAAAATCGAACACCATATCTCCAACCAGGCTCAAAACGAATGAGCAACCCATATCCCGTGTGTATGCCCTTGACCAAATAGAAGAATGCCCAAAACGCCTCATTATTCAACAATTTCGTGTCATCTCTTAGTGCGCCGATATCTCCAGATGGCTTCGTTGTAGCGCCCTCACCAGCTCCTCTTCGGTAAATGGTGTGTGGTCATGAGCAAATGCAGCTCTTGCCTGCGCTTCTTGCAATGGCGTTGATGTAGGTGCTTCCGTCGTTTGTGCGAGTGGTGAAGCCTTGGCTGGAGCCCTTGATCTGTATTCAGCGGTTTGGCGGCGGGAGTATACAGGACGGTGTGGTTTGTCTTCTCTTGATTGTACTCGTGAGAGACCAACTNNGGTTGCTAAACGTTAGCCAGAGCCTCGAGGTGGGTGTTGGTTCGAGAACATACCATTGGTCACATCATCATCGCCATCAGCTTCTATCTCGGTCGATAGTGCAGGCGCAAGGGCAGCGTGTCCTTGTCGCGGTACATCCAAACTCTCGCGGCCACTCTTCACTGCTCCTGAAACACTGTTTCTCCTGCTCATGTTCATGCTGTTCCTCTTACTGCTCCTGCCTCCAAAACTCTTTCTGCTGATCAGACTCGCTCGTCGACTCGGCATTCTTGTGCCCATGGGACTGTATTCACTCATGAAGCTTTTCCTCCTCCAGGCAGACGCAAAACTGAACGACTCGAGTTTTTCCTTGTGTTCCTTCTTGACCGGGGCACGGTACTTTGGTCGAGGCATTGTTTCGCCAGGCTTATACACATTGGACGGCCATCGTTCTCGACCTTTGCTCGAATCTGTTGTAGACGATTTGTGGAGTGACGAGTTCGGGGAGGCCTTTCGTAGAGCCTTNTTGATACGCTCGCGGAAGGCCATGGTAGAGTCTTTCGGGTATGTTGTGGAAGAGGCCGGCTCGAAGATCGTCGTGATGCGTGGTGGGATGATCAACGTGCCACTCGCGTGGTGACAATGCGAAAGACCAGTCTCCTCGTGGTAGAAACGTGGGAGTCGGGACCTTTGTCTGTTATGAAAGGCGTCAAGTCCGCCAGTAACGGTCGGTTTGACACGGCTAATTTATGATTATGACGTGCAGCCCGTTGGATCGGCTTTGTCGTTGACGAACAATGAAATGGAAGCAGAGACTTGTTCAAGGAGATTGGTTGTTCGAGTGTGAGATGGTATGTATTTGCGATGGTAGAAGAAAGAATGCAAGAGGCAATTGACAATGGAAGGAACAAGAAAAGCACCGTCTCAGGTTGCGGGTGTGGATGTGGAGGACTGCCTCCCCCACTCCTTGACCACGGCGCACGGTTCTCAAAAAGCCCTGGCCGAGAACTACCGCCCGATGCTGGCTTCGGCGGTATTCGGTCTCACTCGTGTCTGAGAGAAAAGTGCGGAGAGGTATGGAGAAGCGGCTTGCATGACAGGAGGCTCAAGGATCATGGCCGGTGTCTTTGCGGACGCGAGACTTGGAGTCGCTGCCAAAGACGATCGACCTCGTGAGGATTGACACGCCGGTGACGACGGCGGCGATCGATATGCAAAAGAAGCATTTTCGAAGCCCATGCGTCTGGGGCAGTCTCAGTGTGAGGCCCGGGGCCCGTCGAACATGCATACCAGTTCTTTGCGTCCTTGGGGTACAACATAGAAGAAACGTACAATGAGAAGAAGACGCCGGCTCTGACTGACCTTGGTTGTTTGGATCGGCTCACCCTCGAGACACGCCATGGTGTACTGATGAATGTGGCCTCACTCACCGGTACTCAAGTAGATGCCCCAGCGTCTACACAAGAGGCATCCCAACAGGATACTAGGATGCAGTTGGTGAGAATGCTGCAGCGGAGAAAATGGGCTTTGAAGGCGGTGTTCTCGCCTGTACTGATGGCTGACCCGGCGTCTAAAATGCATCGGAATGTGAATGTGACCGCGAGGGTTGGCAACATGAAGGAAACAAGCATGTGAAGCCACTTCATATCAAGCCACCAGCGCCTCAGTACCCCGCTGTTGACACAATTGACGATCGCCACGTCACTGGATCCTGGTTTCGCTCCCGCATCTTCATCGACGAAAGTGTGAGAGTGGACAGAAAGTGGCAGGAAATGGCGCTCGCTTGAGCCACAGACACGGGATATCACAATCAAGCTTCTTGTGTGATGCGGATTGGCTGTAAAACAGGTCGTGCAGGGCTCCAGCAGCCGTTTTCCTGCATCAAAGTGCCTTGAACCGCTGTGATGCAGCAGATCCAGAGCTCCAAGCGGAGGCTTCATCGACGTCATGGTAGGTGCGCATGCCTCGATTTCCTGTTTAAAGCAAGACCTTTGGCCTTTTGACCTGCCACTTTCCCATTCTTGCACCATTCACACTCCCAGTCCAATCTCAGTGTGATCTTTTGACGACCAACGACACGAAACAACACATCTCCCAGTAACGACCCAGATCTAACGAACACAAACATGGAGAAGATTAAGAAGATTTTGTAAGTGCTATCATGCAACAACTTCATACATGGCAGTTGCCTAACATCTTCCAAAAGCTCTCCTGGCCACGAAAAGGACGAAGACGTCATGTATAACGACCCCAACACCAGCAGCGCTTCCACTACCAGAGACAGTGCTACACCTACTCAACACACTGTCGGCGCGAGTAACAAGGACACAAATCTCAGACAGAACGTTCTGGATCCTCAGAGCAACCTGAACTCTAGACCCAATCCCACCACTACCGTCTCGTCAGCCTCAACCATTCCTGACGACGTCAGCACGGCAAGCATCAGATCAGGCGTCGTTGGTGCCGGCCAAGAGCCTCGTAACGTCGATGGCACTGGCTTCACAGACTACGCCGCAACAGGCAGTGGCCTGTCAGCACCTCAACAGAAGCTCCCTATCAGAAGCGCCAGTCCTGTTGGACAGTCTCGTCCCAGGCCTACGCAGATGGAGACCATGGACCCCAGCGGCTTCGTGAACAGTTCACATGCACACAAGGGCCTTGGACACAACTACAATGGCGACCCATGCTCTGAAGACCAAGAGACTCCCGTTCCCGGCTACCCTCACCACCAGCACGGTCCCCATGGTACAGACATCGCCAACAAGCTCGACCCTCATGTACCTGGCGAGTTTCCCTCCGACGACGGTCTTGACACACACCAGCGTAGAAGAGACGGTGACCTGACATCAGGCTCCTCGAGCCTCGGTTCTGGTGCCTACACGACTGAACAGCGCGCCGCTGCATCGCCAGGCCAGGGAATGAACACAACAGAGTCCACCAGCAGCCGTCACTACGGTAGAGATGCTGCCCTTGGTGCCGGCGCTGGAGCTGCTGGAGTCGGTGCTTACGAGTACGCTCAGCATCAAAACGACCCTACTGCCAAGGTTGCGGACCCCAACTACGATCCACTTCTCGACCAGCAAAGACGGGAACGACAAAGTGCCCTCGACACTGCAATGGCTGGTAGTCAAAGATCTCAGCCAGACGCATACAACACCAGCTCGACTGTTGGATCCACATCGACCGCTGATCGCTCCTTTCCACTAAGCAGCCACCCTACTGCTGCCACCAACTCAAGAGATGTCCCATCTGAGACATCCAGAGATCACCATGTGGGCAGAGATGCCGCTCTTGTTGGAGGCGGACTTGGTGCTGCTGGTCTGGGTGCACACGAGGCCGGATCTCACAGACGCTCACACGAGATTGAGGGCTACGAAGATCAGCGCTTCGATCCCTCTGCCGCTTCTGGCGATAAGCCCACACGCATCCCCAATCTGATGTATGGCTCCTCGAACCAGTCGAGCCACGAGGGACAGCGCACTGGTGCACTTTCAGGCCACAGTGTAAGCGCCGCAGAAACCGCCAGTGGCCTTGGCGCCGGTGCTGGTGCATATGAATCCACCCGCGCCGGCGGACTGCCAGGCCATGGTGTGAACCCATCAGAAACTGCCAGCGGTCTTGGTGCTGGTTCATACGAGTCCACCGAGCAACGCAGACTGCCAGGCCAAGGTGTGAGTGCGGTAGAGACCGCCAGTGGCCACAACTACGGTAGAGAAGCATTGCCAGGCCATGGTGTTAACGCAACCGAGACTGCCAGCGGCCACTCATACGGCAGAGATGCTGCTTTGGCTGGCGGCGTCGGTGTTGCTGGTTCTCAGCTGCAGGGCTACAACCACGGCGGGCGCACTGAGACTGACCCTGCTTCCAAGACCATTGGTCCCCACAAGAGCAATCTCATGAACGTCATTGACCCTCGCGTCCGACCTGAGCCCGAGAAGATGAAGGACAGAACTACTGCTGGGCCCCATCAGAGCGACATGGTGAACCGTGCTGATCCTCGCGTTGACTCGGACCTGTCCAAGCAGAACGAGCATCACTATGGTAGAGACGCAGCTCTGGCTGGAGGAGCCGGCGCTGCCGGCGTAGGAGCCTATGAGTATGGCAAGCAGCACGGTCAACCCACCGAGAGTATTGGCACGTCCGCTTTCGATCCTCGCTCAACCAACACCACTAACGTCGTGGACCCAAACCACGACCCGATTCTTGAGCAGCAGAGACTGGAACGCCAACGCGCATATGAAGCTTCTCTGGCTAGCGCTGGTGGTGTAGGAGGCGTAGGTACTTATGAGCACGGAAACCCTCATGGTGCCGCCACTCAGAGCACTCTCGAACACTCCCCGTTCGCCTCTCGCTCTGCTAATCCCGATCCTGCTCTGACACAACAGCCCGAACACCACTACGGCCGTGATGCTGCTCTCGCAGGCGGTGCCGCTGGTATTGGAGCAGGCGCATACGAGCATGGCAGACACCATGGTGGCCCTACCGATACCGCTGTCGGAACCTCGACCTTCGACCCTCGCTCAACCAACACCAGCAACATTGTCAACCCTAGCACTGATCCTACTCTCGCACAGCAACAGCAAGGTCATCACTATGGCCGCGACGCTGCCCTTGTTGGAGGTGCTGGAGCTGCAGGTGCCGGTGCCTATGAATACGGCAAGCACCATGGCACTGACAACAACCTTGGATCTTCCGCCGTCGACCCTCGTTCTACCAACAGGGTACCCATCGTGGATCCTAACAACGACCCAATGCTCGCACATCAGAGAGAAGAACGTCAACACTTTACTCGTGACGCTGCTGTCGCTGGTGGCGCTGGAGCAGCTGGCTACGGTGCTTACGAGGCTCTTGACCCCAAGGAGCAAGAAAAGCTCGCCAAGCACCAAGCTCATGAGGCTGAGAAGGCACAGAAGGCCCAGCAACACCACATGGACAAGGACTTGAAGCATCAGCAGAAGGAGCGTGAGCACGAGATTGCCAAGCAAGAAAAGAAGGCCGAAAAGCAACGTGAGAAGGAAGCCGACAAGTCCGAGAAGGAAGCTGAAAGGGCTACCAAGGAGAATGAACACCCTGAGAAGAAGAAGCACGGCCTTCTTGGCTTCCTACACCGCGACAAGAAGAACGAGCCCGAAGACGATTTGCGCCAACAGGGCCGTCTCCAGGAAGCCGACATCGCTGCACACGAGCGCCATCAACGCGAACTCGAGTCTCGTGCTGCTGATGGCTCAATCCCTGCTGCGGGAGCCAGCTTTGAGCCCTCGCTCGAGGAACAGAGAGCAAACCCCAATGCCTCGTCCCCGTATGCTGATATCGAAGAGAGAGGACACCAGACTGTTTCCACCGACACTACAGGTCGTCACCGCCTGCACAAGGAGCCCCCTGCCAGTGTGCTTAAGCAGCATGGCTTGGAGACTGATCACCCATACGGTGACAGCCACGGTGCAAACGTTCGTATTGCTTAAGCAGTAATTGAGGGGAGGAGTAGTACGAGTTGCTTTTTCTTTCTGGACTTACGATCGATAATGCTTTAGTGTCTTTCTAATGAATGCCTCGATGACGGTTGCAGATGCCTCTCGAACGTTTGATTCCTTTCATACCTAGCTGACCATTGGAGATTCTGCACCGGTTCTTCCTCAATCTATACAAGTGACCGCAGAGGTGCAAAACAAAAAGGCGCTGCATGTTCCAATGTGCGATTGCACTGCCACTTGGTCCAGGCAGTTATTGCCAGCTATCTGACTGCGACTGTCTACAAGAAAGCTCTGACCAGGGATTTGAGTTTCGGTATATAGTCATGTGCTCTAGAAGCAGGAACGAGGAAAAGCATCACGCTTGCTTGGAACCTTAGCGATCTCTTTGAGCTGAACCTGAAGCCAAACATGGGGTTCTGGCCCTCTGGACAAGGTGAAGCTGACCGGAGCCGAGTGCAGCTGAGCGCAGCTGAGCGCAGCTGAAGAATAATTCCAAGTTCTAGCATCATGCTTCTCAACATGGACTCGCCACCGAGGAGACATTCGACTAATATATCTAGAAGCTGACCGATCACCATGAACGAAAACATCGACATCAAAGTCCTCCATAGATCATCACCGTCTGACAACGATCGAACATGAAATCAACATTCCACCTCGGATATCTGGTCGCTGGCGCTGTGGGATCCCTGGGTGCTGCCGCCAATGCCAAATGCAATGCTGTAAGTATATTCTTGCTCATTCGGACTTATGCTGGTCGTAACCCTGCTCCAGCACTGACATACAAGCAGGACAACTGCGCTAGAGCAGTGACCGGCACAATCAGAGGACTACAGACAGCCGGCCTAGTAGCTTGCTCTTCGTACCAAACATGCATGGTGACTCCTGCCACAACGACAATTACGCAGACAGTCACCGTCACTCCTGCTGTGGTCACGAGCACTGTAACCGCCGGCGTACCGATCACTGTGACTCTCACTACCGAAACTGTTCTCAAACGTGATCTTGAGGCTCGCACCACGGGGATCGTTGCCGCGGCCATCACCAACTGCCCTACTGCCATCCCCACTGGCGACGCCGCAAAGTACTGCACTCCTGCCTCTCGCTATGCCAGTGCTTGCTCCTGCGCCGGTGTGACACGAGGCTATTCCACCGTCGCTGCCCCACAGAGCACCGTCACTGCCACTCAGACCGCCGTCGCGTCGACCACCATTGTCACCGTGGCCCCCACCGTCACGGCGTCCGGCTGTCCGGCTTCTATCGTGGATATCTGCCAGCCTTGCACCACCATCGAGGGCGCACCTGGACTGTACATAACCTCGGACAGTGGTCTCGTATGTTTGGAATACGATCTGGCTGAATTGATCTGCGGTCCTGTCGTGCTCCCGACATGTACGTAGGGGGGTATCGGTTGGGGCACATCGGTAGAGTCATCACCCAGCTCGATGTCTCTGGTTTCCTTTACAGGCGTGTCCGAACGGGCAAGCTTTTGCTTACTTTTTGGGGGTTTTCGTGTTTGGCGGTCTTATCGAAACTTGAGGATGCTGCGTATATTTTTTTTTCTTTTAGTTTTCCCTTTTGTCAGAGGTTGAGGGCCGCAGACCGTGTAGCGCGAGAATTCCATGCTAACGTGTCAAATCTCATTGGTTTCATCGTTTGTCTCTTTTCTGTGGCCATAGTCCTATAGTTCGAATCGGGATATGAAGATAGACCATCTCGTCTCATTCGGCTTCCGTATTACGATCTCCGCCGGGGTGCACCTCCCTATATCTGTACCCTTTGGAGTAGTGGTCTTCCGCAAAGAGCTGAATGGGAAAACAGACGCAGCACCCTGGAAAGACAACCCCTTCTGCCCCTTGGAAACACCGTATCTCTAGCTTGATGTATGACGACTAACACTCCTTATGCTATAACCTTTTACTGTTCCTCTGTGTCTAGTCATTCTAGTTCTCGTGGGGTGACGGTTATCTCATACCATTCCTGATGGGTCAGGCAGTTCAAATGAATCGATGCAGATACTTGAGCAGTGGAGACATTTGTTTCCAAGTCTGGGGATTGATAATAGCTGGGTCGGCGAACAGAAGCGACTCGGGTTAATGTTTCATCTTTCGCGACCGCAATTCCAGAATTTTCATTAGAGACTGGTATTTGCGGTTGTCCCACGATCCGGCAATCGACACGGATGCCCAGCTTTCATGGTGAAATATTATTTTTTTGCGTATGATACCCAAGATTAGAATGATGAGAAGGCGTCAAGGTTTATCACGAATGCTGCATGCATTCTCGAGATTTTGATTTTTGGACTTCCATGTACCACGCCGTCTTGCCATACTTGTTGACGTGCTGGCAGTATTCTTGCTACGGGTCAAGCGACGCTTTTTGAGAAGGTGAGTGTAAGTTTAGAGTTTGCACAATAACAGAGAACTTTGACTTTTTTTCCATTTAATTCTTTTCTGTGCGGTTGAAGATATAGATGGCAATCGATACCGCTATGTTTTTCTTGTTTTGGCAAGACAAGGTGATGTTGGCCGGTATTCTCAGTTGTTGGACAGGGTGACACGCTCGACGAGAAAATCTTGGAGGCCGAGAAGCAGAAGACCTTTTGGCACATGTCCTGTCGCTCGTCATCGTCGCGCCATCGCATAGTCCATCGCTTGGATCTTGGCCTAGAAGATCCGGGTGGAGATTGACTTCGAAGCCTCGTATGCCACCCAGCCTGCCTTGTCTCCTGTCACTCTTGTTGCGCGAGGTTGCTCTTTTTTATCCTGTTTGGTCATGGCTAGCTCAGATAGCTGCAGCACCTTCTTCCTCAGCTTGCACGAAAGGGTTTGCGATTTCTTCGCTGCCGTCGAGAGGGGAGATGAGGACGAGAAGGGTTCCGCGGGCGACTAAGAGACCGAGAGGTCTTGACGAAGTGTTGCCTTCATCGTCTATTTTTGTTGGTTGTCAGCTTTGATTCGAGGCGTGAGAGGGGTGTAAGTGGAACAAAGACGGTAAGATTGTGAGAGAGAATTGGGGGAATGTCAGATGCCGAGTGAGCTTTACCTCTTGTGATTTCCTTGACGTCGTCGAGGACGAGGTTCATGAGTTGATCGTATCCCTTGAGTGTGCCGGTGACTGTTATACTCTGTCAGAACTTTGCGCCTCTCTCTTCTGTATATCCCATTGCTCCCAAGCTCTTTCGTCTGCTCCTCGTGCTTCCTTTGATTGAATGTGTTCCGGATAGGGCAAGAACTCACCCTCTCTACCTCCGCTGAACTTGACCTGAATCTCCTTGTCCATGTACTTGTTCAGGTCGAGAATGTTCTCCTTCTTAGGGCGCGGTGTCTCGGCGTCATTGTTATTGTGCGATGAGTTGTTGTTGTTGGCGCCGCCGCGACCACCTCCTCTTCCGCCGCGGTTGCCTCCTCGGTTTCCGCCTCTGTTGCCGCCTCTGAATTGACCGCGTTCTGACATTGTGTGGGTGAAGTGTGTTGTATGGAAAGATGCAGGCTGAATCTGACGTAGAGCTGTGACGGCGGAGTTGAGCACGGCGGAGAAGCGCGCAGGCGCAGCGGAGAGGAGCGCGAGGAGAGGAAGGCGCGGTGGGGGTCGGTGCGTTTGCGCCTTCCGCCCTCCGCGATGCAGCCTGGTCGTTTTGCACTTGCGGCTTTTTGTGCTCTCATTGCCGTGATAGCCTGAATTGTCTATCTGGAGGCGTCAAACTTGGAGAGGGAATTGTCACTGTGGCCTGCCGTTTGTAAAGAAAAGGCTCTCTCAGCTCCGTCTGCTCTACACAGAGGAGATTGAGTTTGCAGATGAGTTGTTGGCTACCTTATCAGACTTGTTATTCCCGTAGAGGAGCACCTTCCGGTTATGGTTCACGTTTCTCGTTTCCACACCGCTCCGCCAGCGTGCAAGGGCGGCAGGAGGATACGCGGCCGGTGACGAGTCCAGAAGTAGGAGCCGGGCCAGACTGAAGGCGCCTGTTCAGACTGCCGAGCTGAGTGGCCGACCATTGCTGCCAAGGCCCAGTCAGAGGCTTTGGAATAGACAGGCGTGATGGGTATTGGCAACATTGGCGGCAGCAACACACAGCGACGCTCTCGACGAAGCTGTGCACCTCCATCAAACACGCGCTTCACGTCGGATTGCGTGAGCCTCTATAACTCCTGGCCAGCGTCCTCCGCTACCTGCCTCCCACCGCGCACCACCCACCGCCGTCCGCGCTGACAATGTCCGAAGCCGCTCCGCCCACCGACTCCCGCGNNGCCCAAGTATGTTCGTGTCGTGATATCTCTCTATACAATACTAATCGCCATGCAGCCAATCCTGGTGCCAAGCGCAAGAGGAGTCCCTCGCTGGCTCCGTACCAAGGTGGAATTGTGCCTCAGAACAAGGCGCCCAAGACGGGCAACGTGAGCAGTCAGCTGCAGATCAACTACATCGCGCGACAATGCATCGATGACCTGCCCTTCATCTCAAAGGAGGACACTCTTCCTGGCATGTTGGAGACCCTCTCGTCGTACACTCAAGTCCTGGATCGTCATGAGTCGCTGGCTAGCAACCTCGGTGCTCGTCCCCTCGGTCCAATCCTGATCAAGCGTTTTGAACGCTGCTTCGATGCGCCTCCGCGGGTCATCGCCTCACACTCGCATGCGAGAGAGGTAGACCTGCCTCAGGTGACCTGGCTGGACGTCGTCCACTTTGCCCAGGCACACCCCGGTCAATTCACCTTGTCGACTTTTAGCGAGGGCCGTCGCGTGTGCCAGTTCTACTATGCGCAAAAGCAGGTGCGCGTCCAGATCTCTGAAGAAGACTTCCTGTTCATCAACAGCGGAAGATGCCAGGACCTGATTCCACCACTTCCCATCTGGGAGGATGAGGAGAAAGAGGTGGCTACGTGCGAGCTTGTCGAGAAGGCTTTGAGGGATCTGACTGCGGCTGCCGATTCGGTCGCTGCTCGTACTCGCCAACTGGCCCACCGACTCAAGGGGAGAAGAATGGCCATCCTCGAGCGTAGATCCACTGAAGAGTCGCACAACCATCAGGTGCAGCAGCAAGCTCTACAACCGTCCTTCGTTTCCGTCAACAACACCATTCGACAGCCAGTTGTGCACCAACCTCAACCGCAACCTCCACAGTCACCCGAAAAGGTCGATCCTGCTCTGCACATCCGGAACGATCTTCTCAAACACTTCCAGTCGCTCCCCAAACAAGTGCCCCCACAATCTGACAACCGTCGCATCTCGTCTGTCCAGCAACAACCACAATCGCCATCATTCCAGACACCGCAGACCTTCAACCACCACCCTCGACCGACTCTTGAATCGACCTCCACCTCGGTCTCTCCCGTACCCACCAGCGTTGCCGCCATTGCTGCCGCCGCAGCAGCCCAAGCATCCCACTACGCCCGCGATGAATCACCACAATCCCAACCGCGCCATAACTTCTCAAAGCCCCTACCACCATCGCAAGAAGTCTCGCAGCCCTATCGCACAATCTGTCAAGCCCATATGGAAAGTTTACCGCGTGGTTCTCGCGTCATGCCTCCCTGCGACCGCTGCAGACGTTTGAAGATGGACTGTCTCAAGAACTTGTCTTCATGCGGTGGTTGCACCAAGAAACACGCAAGATGCCATTGGAAAGAGGTTTCTCGTGATGAAGTACAGGGATTGGAAGGCTTTGAAGATGCCGAAAGAGTGGCCAATGAGTTTGCCAATGGTACTAGAAGGTTCAGTGCCGAGTACGCCGCTAGCGACACGAGTATGGATGTGGATGCCAGAAGTCCTTTCGATTACCCTAGCCACACTGCTGCGTCTACACCTGGTGGCTTAGGTGTTCAAGGCTTCGCTCGTCCACAAACAGCAGGGTATCCAGACGTGCAGCAGCAGAACAACTATCCTCCACCACAGCCTCAGCAGCAGAGATCAGACTATGAAGACCCGAGCAGCTACCGCGGTGCAGGAGCCAACATTCAGCGCCAACCTTTCCCAGAAGACTTGACGCAGCAGCAAGCTCCTCCACAGCAACAACAAGACCGCACAATGGACCTCCTCCGCGTCCTCGGAAGTCACAACAACGGCATCTCTTCACCTGTTCCTACCAACCCTGCTCCTGTTACCGACAACAACCAAAACAGGAACAATGGAGCATTCAGATCTTCGTTTACGCCTGCCAATGAAACACCTGCTGTGGCCACTCCTGGCCATGTGGGTGGTGCTACAAACGGACAGAACACCACCATGACCACCGAGGTTCCTGGTGCGGCTAGCGAAGGCCAAAGAGTGTAAAATTCTCGAATTGTGGATGAGGCTTATGTCGAGCGTCATCGTCGCCGCACGAGAAGAGCATCACGTCAGTATCCATCTTCTCCCGAGTTGGGTGAGGGGTACAGCAGCAAAAAGCCTTGGTCCATCTGAACTTGGAGATATGAGAGAAAGAGAAGGAAGAGAGCAGCAAGGCAACATGAGTAATCCAAGGATTGCGATTTCTTCTATGTTTGTTCATGGAAGCGAGTATTGCTAAGCAGGGATTTCTCTTACGGTTTAATTGGATAGCGTGCACAGTATGAACCATGGAAGATCGTTTTCAACATTGCCAATACTCTTCCCCTTGAACCATCCCAATTGCAGAATCACAGCGTGCAAGACCATAGTTTTGATGTAGGTCTCTGTTCTCTCCCTCAGCGTCTCCATCGTAGCTGTAGAAAGCTCCTTGGAGATTGGAGCATCACGACAAAGATTCAAACAAGCCAAAGGGCGTGTGTAAACTTGACTTGGGCAATCAAACTCTTAGTCAAAACACCATACTCTCCTCTTCCTCGTCCTCGTCTTGATCGACTCGGAGCAACGTGCCACTTCTGTATCCTTCGAGATCGAATGTCTTCCACTTGCTTTTTCCTTGCTCGATGACAACACAATTCCTCCTTCCTTTTTTGCCGTTTGCAACCATCCATTTTGGCACCCATCCCTCTTCGAATTTGTTCGCTACAAATCCTCCTTCCATCAGCTCCTCCATGCTTCGCCACTGGTTCCTCACGTCGTCACCATTTGAGCAAGGAGAAGAAACGGCACGATAAGGCAAACAGAGCAAATAATGTTCGTCCTCGTGACAAAACAAACACAAGAAAGTTTCGTCGTCGAGGAATTCTAGCGCCGAGATTGTGGACGGGGTGGACGAAGAGGGAAGGACAATCTGTCGCCATCCATTACCCTGTCCACCATCTGCTTGCATGGTTTGATCCCACAGTGCCAATTCGCATACCTCGGTGTTGGATTGATGGGTAGGTTGTGCAGGGGCACCGATGACGAACGTCTCGAACACACCGGCAGATGTCTCCAGCATACGTATATCGAGATAAGGCAACACAGAAGCGGTAGCAGTGGTTCTGCACTCAATGTCCAAAGTTCGCGGTGTGGAGCTTTGGTGCCAGAGAGAAATGTGTTGATGCGCGGACTTGCAGACGGCGCTAAGGTGTGCACTCCAGAGGTGAAGAGAAAGCAGGTCCTGGGTTTCGGTGACCTGCGAGCTGCTTCTAGAGCCGTGGATGCAGGTGATGAGGTCTTTTGTTGTTGGTTGGTGTGAACTTCCAATCTCAGGCGTGGCGAACACTATGGATCCCAGTCGACTTTTCGTCAAACCGCCCTCTAGGTATGCAAGCGTATTCGAAAGGTCGAGCTGTGGTGTTTCTCGTTCGGCCATGTCTTTTGCACTCAGCGAGTCTGGATCTGCGGCTGCGAGATCGATTTGGTGCCTTAGCCATCTCGAGAATGCTCGGAACTGGCGCTGCTCGGTGCCCAGTATCTGCACTGCTTCGTGAACAAGGAGCTGGAGAGATGACAAAGTTGAGAGAATGGAAGTGAAAGCCTCTGGCGGTACGTCGAAGTGAGGTGTGTTGGAATAGTAGCGAGCCAGACCTCGGAGGTTCGTCGCAACGACAGCGCTGCGTTCGAGGACAGGAAGTAGATTTGTGTGTAGAATCTTGGAGAGTTCTGTGTATAACGTGGTCATTGCGTGATCCCATCTCTTGTGGCCACGCTCTGCTAGTTCATCGCGTAGCCATTCCAGAATTGTTGGTGTGAAATTTCCAGTCATGGCGAGGTGATACAGATTATCTTCCAGCACACCCTCACTCTTCTCCTCCAATGTCTCATTGACATTCTCCATGAATCTAGAGGGCAGATTGGTGTGGGTAGTCCAATCACTCTTGGCTGACACGATGCTGCATGATATGTAACCACACAAGTCACGAAGCTGTGCTGTTCGCGAGACGATCAGATGCAGATGTGATCCTCCAGATGTCATTAGTGGTATGTCGAACAGACTGATGTGGAGGTTTCTAAGGCTCTGGTCAGACTCGTTCGATGCTTCATCATCACGCTCTGCTCGTAAGAGAGCGTGATGTTTCGAGCGAGGATGCGATGTGTACTTGAGAGGTATGAGAGAGTGTGGCGTCTCGTCGTCATCCTCCATGGGCCATATGATATCCGAGCCGGGGAAATCTGGTGTATATTTGATTTCGAGAATATCATCGACAGTGACTCTGTTTCTGCCGCTCGCATGACCAACAAACATGACGTCGGCTGCCAATCGATCTTTTCTCTGCATTGAGTCAAAGTAATCGTCTAGGGCTGCCTGTGTCGCAAACATGTCGTATCGTCCACTTGCAGTATGTCGAGTCGGAATTGGACTGAGACGAGGCAATATAGATTCGACGTCGAGGAAAGCCAATTGACGAGGCAGGTCTTTCAATAGAGCTTCTTGTCCTTGAGTCTCCAGATCCTCGTCTTCATCAGCCTGTGGCTGATCACCAGGCGTCAGTCCAAGACGATTCCAAAGGTCATCGAGCACTGACGGATCCAGTGCAGGTCTCGTAGACTTCTCTGACTCGTTGGTTTCTCGTGTTAATACAGTACCCCAACCTAGACAAGTTATTCCACCCCGGTCGACTTTGGACTTTGAATCTGCAGCATCAATGCTGAATGGATCATCACCGCCGTGTCGAATAATCTTTCCAGTTTCTCCAGAGACAATATCCACAAAACCGGTGTTGAGAGCTACAGCCAGGCATTTACCTACGATCGTGTCAGTCGCTGTACAGACACGGTAATAACACAGAGACAAACCATCACGAATCCATTCGAGACCAACGATAGTCGTCGATGGAGTCTTTCGCTTGACAATGAACGCGCGCTGGCCGCCAATGCGGTAGACTTCGATCACTTCATCTTGTGTGATAACTGCAAGCAGATCCGTCCGGGGACAATAGGCAAGAAGATGAGGACTGATGGTATACGACAGGGCCTTTTCCGACTGCAGCGGAAGGCGATACTCTTCAACCATTATGATCGCTAGCTGTGATCCATAGAATCATCAGAATTTCAGTTCGTGGAAATTGTCAAATGTGCGATGCTGATGGTCGTCGAAAACGAATGGTTCAATGTTTACGTGCAGAGTGCCATGTCTTGGCGCCTTTTAAGTTGCAGTCGCGATGCACAGAAAACAAACGAGAAAGGAAGTTACGCATGCTCCATCTCACAGGAAGGGTCAAGATAGGAAAGATGTAGATCTTCTGGGACAATAGCCAATACTCGTTCGCTTTTCGTGACACAATCTAATTACGCCTGTTTCGACCATAAACCCTTACACTACCTGGTATCCGTCCGCCACCGATTTGATGTCCTTTGAGAAGGAAATGTCCTGGCCCATGTTCAACAAAGTTACGGATGAGACCTGAAGAACTGTTAGTAAGATAAGATGCAAAACAGATAGGATAAAACTTACGTCGACTTCAACGTATGGTCTGGTCTTTGCGAAAGTAACGCTCATGGGGAAGAACTCGGCTTCGCTCTCTGCCTGAGCCTCAAACTCGAAGCTACCGTTGGCATTGGCGTCGTCCACGTCGCCAATAGTCCAGTCAATGCTGTCGCCAGACACTTCATACACAGCGTCGAAGCTGGAAACAGAAGGCTCGCTAGTTTGGTAGGGTATCGAGACAGTAACATCATTGAGTGCATCTCCACCAGTAAGTTCGTACTCGAGGGTGATGTTGTATGTGCCAGATCCAGTTTCGTTTACCCAAGCAGTGAAAGTGATCGGGGGNTCGCTAATATCTTCAGCCTTTGCAGCCAGTCTCCAGCGCATGACACCAATAGAGTTGTTTGCAGGGAATCCTTTTGAAGTGTCGGTGAGTTGGATGATCTTGTCGTTCTTGAAAGCAGCCTTGTCAACCTTGGGATGCGAGTTGAGCTGTGCGCCGCGGGTGTCACCCAATGCGAGGGCGAGTTGGACTTGTGTGAGGGAAGGATCGGTGATGCGGAGTTGGAGATCACCCTTGACTTCGAATGACTCGAGAGAGCCCTCTCGGCTGAGCTTGGCTGAGATGGTCTCGGCGACTGTGATGTGAAGACCCTCGCGGTCCGAAGAAACAGTGGGAGCGGCGGCTTGAACGGGGGCGCTGACTGCGGGAGCTGAAGGGACGAGGGGAGCCTCTGCCTCGGGACCGAGATCGCCACGGACTTGCTCGAACATGGACGTCGTCTTTGTCTTCTTTCCGAGCTGCATGCCCTTGCTTCGGGCAGGAAGAGACTTTTGGAAGGACTTGTTCTTCTCGGCATTGTAGGAGTCGTAGGTATCGGTGACGGCGGGTTGGGTAGGCGGCGGGGTATAGGTAGGATATGAGGGGGCCGAGGGTATGTTGCGACCAGAACGAGTGGCTTCCTTGCGCTGCATCTCGAGTTGCTTGGCCTTTCTCTTGCGCTCCTCGGTGGCTTCGAGTTCCTTGTTCNNTAGATGGTGTGTAAGCATGTGGTGTTTTGGATAGGCACAAGATGGGCGTACCCTTGAGATGATGTCCTGAATACGCTCCTCGTGCGACTCCATGTCGAGGAAAGTCTTGATCTGGCTCAGGGTGAGGTTCTCGCGGTAACCCAGAGTGACCAGCTCATCAAAAGCGCTCAGAAGCTCGAAAGCGTTGCGCAGAATCTCGCGCTCGTCCAGACTTCTGCAGATACTGGTGACAACCTGGGCGAAGAGGTGCAGCGAGTCGATGTCCTGGAGAATGTTGGATTGGCGGTTGGTGATGAGGACCATGTATAGCTCGTCAAGGGGCTGGTAGACGAAGCGGACATTGTCTTGCTCGACGGTTGTGTGCTGGGTGCCGCTGTCGGCAAGCTTGGGAAAGGATGCAAGAAGGCCTTCGATTCTCGATCGCTGCATCTCGCGGAACTGGCGAGAGAGGACGGCCTTGCCGCCGCGCGTGCAGATGGATGCTGCCAGAACAACCTATACCATTGCATTAGTTGTCGGTGTGCTTATACCATGAGACAAGACATGTTGGTCACCATTGTGTCGGCAGAAGTGTAGATCAGACGGAAGAGACAAAGGGCTGTGACAAAAGGGTGGCAGAGGAGGGTATAGCTCGTTGTTATTCGGACCTTAGTTGTCCTCTCCTAAACTTCCCCACGCTCCGTGTCTCCTGCCTGCCTGGCCATTCGTCGTCTCGCTGCCAAGGAAAGAGCCGGCCAAGCCTCTCCGCGGCCACTTCCGCCCGCCGTTCCCACTCCCACTCGCGCTTGCAATTGCAGCCTGCCCGTTTTCGTCCTTTCAACCTCTTTCTTCTCTCCACTAACATCGTGTAACGCGACTATCGACAGCCACCTGTAAATTTGTACATTTGCACACGTCAATAATACTATCGACACCTGCCTACACTGCCTCGCAAGTGTCCGAAGAGTCTGACACACTTTTACATATTACGACGCTCTGCATGTGCATCAGTGTGGCAAGCCGCTAGCCCACGTTCCACCGCTCTCACGTCTCCGGCATTCCTTTGTTCTCTGCGCACAATACACAGCCCCCTTGCCGATTTCTAGTTCCACCAGCACCACCTTCCAGCCGTCATGGCTACCACTCTCCAACCTTCCTTTGGCCTACAACAGCCTGAAGATTCTATGGAGATCTCATCTGAGTACGGCAACATGGACGCCGATATCGATATTGATCTCGACGCCCCCGACACCAACATGCAGTCTTTCCAATTAGACGACCACCAAATGCAGGAAGACTCCCGATCCGACCGCCCGGACGACGATCTCATGATTGACGACTCCAATCTCGACGACACCGATCGCATGATGCAAGATGATGCCCCACCTCCTCAAGAGCAAGATGAGGAGTTGCTAGACTTCAGTGAAGACGAAGAAGATATTCCTATGAATCCTGTCGAGCCTAGCCAGATCGACGTCAACTTCGTCGCCGAAACTGAAGCGCCCGCACAGCAACCTATAACTACCGAAGAATCTATTGAACTTGTTCAGTCTGAAGTCGCGTCTGAGCTCCTGACTGAAGGTGTTCAGCCCATCAACACTGTAGTCCAACCATCGGAACAGGCTTCCGAGCAGCCTCAGATCGAACCTGTTACGACACAGGAACCTGTGTCTGAACAGAACGTAAACAATGACCAGTCCGAAAATCTCGCTCAAGAATCTCTTGATCATGTCGCTCACCCAGAGGTCCAGCCTGCGCCTCATGAAAAGTTACAGGACCCACATTCTGCAGACTCAAGTGAAAAGCTTGAGACACATGCTCAAGAGTCTGTTGTTGAGTCTACTGAGGTTCCCAACGCAATCAACGAAGCTCCGGAAGAAAGCACACAAGTTGCTCACCAACAATCAACGAACAATCAAGACCCAGAACAAGGTAATGATGATGTCCAAGTCGAAGCTGGTCAGGAAGGCGATGAGCAGCCCGTCAAACGCACTCTAACCCGTCAAGAGACTGATCTCTCGAACTATACCGTACCTGATGACTACTCTCGTGAGAGGCAAGTCAACTCGCCCACTGTGACTGGCCTACACCCCACCATAGTTGAGTACCAGGAGAACGAGGTCTACCTCTTCCCTTCGAGAGACCCCGCCGTGCCTGAGCAGTATCTACTGCAGAACGAAAATCTTGTGACCACCAGTCTTGGCGATCTGCTCCAAGCTTGCCGCACTGCTCTTGGTGATGGCGTCAGTGAAGACGAAGAGCTGGTTTTGGGTGTGGAGGAGCTGGACCTTTATGTGAGCGAAGTAAGTTTTGGCACATCATTCGCTACCTCCTCTTCAATTGCTAACAGTTTCTTTCAGGACTCGACACCCGCATTCTCTACCAGCTTTTCAGAGCTACTTGACATGTACCTGCAGCTGCACAAGCTTGATGGCAATGACAGCCCTCCGCCATTCCGTGTGTCCTTGACTACCAAAACTAGATTCAGCAACCGCTTGGCTTCGATCACTCAAGCCATCTCCGAAGGAAAAGGCTTCTCGTCGCTTTCCTTCTTGCAGTATTATGAATATGATGAACCCACCGAATTGCCCGATGAGGACTTTGACGATGACTTTGACGAGCTTGTCAAGCCTGATGAATCGCAGCAACTGATTGACGAGGGTGTTACCACCGTTGAAGGCGCACAAAATGTCGCCGAGGACGAACACACCGCGGAGAATACCTCCGCTTCCCAAGCTGAACAGCCACAAAATGAGCAGCCTAGTCCTGCTCAAGAGGGTGAGTATGAAGCCGATGCATCGACTGAGCTCCATGTGCACAACGATGCTGCCGACCAGTCCGAGTACAATCAGGACGATACTCAGTACTTTGACGCCCAAGGAGGCGAGTCTGAGTTGCTGGGAGAAAGCCACATCGAGGAAGAAGATGGTGGTGCTCCAGCTGAAGTTCAATCTACTATTGGCGATCTAGAGGCTGCAGCCGACGATGAAACCCATCACGATGACCAGCATGCCGAAGGAACTGTTCACGATGAACAAGTTTCTGAACACAACGAGCAAGAGGAGCAATATGAAGAGCATGCTGAAGAACAGCAAGAGTATGAGACACAAGGCGAAGAGCACGTTTTCGGTCAAGGCGAGTTCTTTGATGACGAGAATTACGACTACCAAGACGGTGAAGTACACGAAGAGAATGGCGTTTATGCTCCCGAGGAGGGAGCAATCAATGACGAAAGCCACTACCAGGAGGAGCACGAAGCCGAGGTGTCTGTCGTTGGAAAACAAGATGATAATGTTGTACCTCCATCCGCAGAGGCTCCTCACGCCGATGGAAACGGCCATGACGATGAACAAGATGCGCGACAGGACCACAGCAATGCCAACCAGTCTGTCGACGATGGCGTCGCAAATGTCGAGAATGACAATGGTATAACCGATGGTACTGTCATCAAGGACAGCACTAAGCGTCAGCCACTCGCAGTCGAGGACGATGACTACGATGAGATCAACTTTGACGACGAAGACAGCTACGATGATGACGGCGCCGGACTTGCGCCGGTACTTACAAACACGTCAAGCAAGGCATCTCCCGGAGCAAAACGTTCATTTTCGGAGCTTGACCAAGTGGACGATGAGCAAGACAGCAAGAAGGCTCGAGCCTCATGAGCGATTCCTATCTCAACATGGGACGCCATCTTATACTACACCACTACGAGCACTCCTGGTTAGGACGTGCTGACCACGACTCGAGAAACACTTTCTGGATCCGTCGTCAACGATCACAAGGCAAGCTGGAAAGACGACTTTGCCTGATTCTTACTATCATCCACTCCTTTTCGCCTCTGTTTTCTCAGCGTTACAACGAAAAGGCTCTCTGCTAACCAATAGTGCCGGAACGAAGTTCTAACCATTCCACGCAGGTCTTCATCAGGTAAGGAGCGAGGCAGATACCCAACTCAACCCGTCCGTGTTCATGGATATGATGACGCATATGCGAAGGAGAAGACAACAAAAGCTTGGGCGTTTCTTGGGAGTTGTGATTATGGGTTGAGCGAGTTCTGGCAGGTGCATCGTTCTGATGTTTCTGGCGTGCTTTGATTTGCGATTCGCGAAAAACGATACCCCCCTGCTGCTTCTGCTTTTCTTCCATTCACCCTTTCCCTTTCCATTCCACAGTCATACTAGTTTGCAGTTCAGAGTAGCCAGAATGAATCGTTTCTTCTTTCCAACACAAGTGTCAGACTGATGCTTGTAATTTTTGTGATGGAGTAGACGGGAGGCTAATCCTCCTTTCTCTTCTCGTCACCCTCACCCACACCATCCAAAAAGTCCCTGCACGTCTGGACGATGATCTGGTGATCTTGCTGCTGCTTCAACCCACTGACGACAATAACAGCCACCACACCCTCGACGCCCTTGACCCTGACGGGGAAGCCACCACCATGGATAGCAAACTCCTTTGCCTTGTCCAACAAACAGTACTTTTCGGCAAAAGCCTTTTCGTCACCGGCAAATTTATTATGCATGTACCAAGTGCTAGACCCAAATCTTAGCACGGTGGCACTCTTNCTAGCCACCCAAGCACTGTTGTCAGGCGTGACGCCACTCTTCACGGCGGTATAGAAGAGGGGAGTGTTGTTTGCGAGGGCGATTGAGATGACGGTTGGAGATGCAAAAGTAGAGAGGCGGGAACGCAGCAGGCAGCCCAGGGTCCAGGCGTCGGCGGCTGTGAAGGTGGAAAAGAGGATCGAAGAGTCGATTTGGGAGATTGCCGAGAGGTCGGTGGGGGGTTTGTGNAGGGGGTAGGGTGTTGAGTCTGCCATTGTTGGTGGGGGGATTGTTATGGTTGTTATGTTGGTTTGGGTTGGTAGACTGGGGTTTGAGGCTGGAGGAAATGGGTTCTCTGTTGTGTATGGAGTATGCAGAGAAGAAGAACAGGTGTGGGCACGAGGTGTAGAGCGGCATGGAAATCGTGAGTGACCGCATGCAGGCATGTGCCAATGCCAAGGCCATGCGGCGCTACGTCCACCGCCTGCGGCTTGCGGGGCAGAATCGCTTACCTCCGAGAATGTCTTGCAGAGCGTCAAGGGTCTGCTTGTACAGCAGAGCTTGCATAAGTTTTGCCGCCAAAGTTGCATGAGAGATGAGCAGTGCGTTCTCTAGCACTTCCGCCCAAAGCTCCAGCCCATGGAATTTTTCTAGCAACCCGACCATCATTTTTCTATACACACCCGACACTTGCGCCCTTCCACGTAACACTCACAAAAATGGCGCCCATGGACGACGATTTTGTCCTCACCCTGTCCGACAATGAAGACGGCTTTGCCGACGAACTAGCAGAAGTCGAAGCAGAACCTGCGCCCGTCTCAAACAAGAAGCGCAAGCGCGATTCCGACGTCGCCAACCTCAGCAAAAAGGACAAGAAGAGCAAGAAGCAAAAGAAGAAGCAACAGCAACAAGCCGAGTCAGACGACGACGAGGAACAACAACAGGCCATCGACGAGGACCTAGACCCGGAGTTTGAGTTCCAACTTGGCGATGGCACGACGGCGAATATGGAAGACTTTGACGGCTGGACTGCTCACAATGCGCAAAAGAATGCTGGCAAGAGATTGGTTGATATTGATGATATTATTGCAAAGAGGAGGCAGGAGAAGAAGACGGACGGCGATGCAGAAGCTGGAGACGAGGAAGAGGAGGACGAGTTTGCTGGCCTGAGTGACGGCGAAGACGAAACTCTTGCCGAAGATGCTTTTGGTATGGGTGCTGCTCCTGGAGTCGAGAAGGACTCTGAGGATGAAGAGGAAGACGACGACGAGGGCAAGGGAAGCGACGCCGAGGATGGCAGCGAGGCCGGAGACGAGTCTGACGACGAGTCTGTTGCTGAGCATGTCCCTCACCCTGATGACGAGGAGTCGGACGCTTCAGATGTCGAGGAAAAGGAGGATGCTGAAGAGGCAGAGAAGCGTGCTGCTTTCTTCGCTCCCGAGTCAAACATGGACGGCGACAAGGACCCTGCAGCAAAGGCCGTTGGTTCTTTCCAGGAGCTGAACCTCTCACGTCCCATCATCAAGGGCTTGTCGTCTGTTGGCTTCGCCGCCCCTACACCCATCCAACACAAGGCCATTCCCGTCGCTCTGCTCGGCAAGGATGTCGTCGGAGGTGCCGTCACTGGTTCCGGTAAAACTGCCGCCTTCATCATCCCCATCCTCGAACGTCTCCTCTACCGTCCCAAGAAGGTCGCCACTACCCGCGTCGCCATTCTCATGCCTACCCGTGAATTGGCTCTCCAATGTTACAACGTTGCCGTCAAGCTGGCCAGTTTCACAGACATCACCTTTGGTCAAGCCATTGGTGGTATGAGTTCGCGCGAGCAGGAAGCAGCACTCAAGCAACGCCCCGACGTTGTCATTGCCACACCCGGTCGTTTCATCGATTTCATGCGCAACTCGTCCGCCTTCCAAGTCGACACTATTGAGATTCTCGTCCTCGATGAAGCCGACAGAATGCTTGAAGATGGTTTCGCCGACGAGTTGAACGAGATTCTGACCACAATCCCCAAATCCAGACAAACCATGCTATTCTCCGCCACCATGACTTCTAGCATCGACAACCTGATTCGCGTGGGTCTCAATCGCCCTGTGCGTCTTATGGTCGACAGCAAACGCCAGACTGTCGCAGGCTTGACCCAGGAATTTGTTCGTCTACGCCCCGGCAGAGAAGAAAAGCGCATCGGTTACCTCCTCCACCTCGTCCACGAATCCTTCAGCACAAAAACCATCATCTTCTTCCGCCAAAAGAAGGAAGCCCATCGCGTCCGTGTCATCTTCGGTCTGCTCGGCCTCAAAGCCGCCGAGTTGCACGGAAACATGTCGCAAGAGCAACGTATCAACGCCATTGAAGCTTTCAGATCCGGCGCTGCCCACTTCCTCCTCGCCACCGATGTCGCCTCCCGTGGTCTGGATATCAAAAACGTCGACGCCGTCATCAACTATGAAGCACCCCAAACCCAAGAAATCTACTTGCACAGAGTCGGTCGCACGGCCAGAGCAGGCCGCCAAGGTAAATCGTGCACACTGGCCGCAGAACCCGACCGTAAAGTCGTAAAAGCCTGTGTCAAGACGGCCAGATTGCAAGGCGCCATCATCAAATCCCGCATCATCGACCCCAAAACCGCAGACGATTGGTCCCGCAAAGTCGACCTGTTGGCTGTAGAAATCGAAGATGTGCTGCGTGAAGAGAAGGAAGAAAAAGTGCTCGCGACGACGGAAATGCAAATGCGTCGTACCGAAAACATCATGACGCACGAAGACGAAATCCTCTCTCGTCCAAAGAAGACTTGGTTCGAGAGTGAAAAGGACAAACGCGCTGCCAAGATTAGAGGAAAGGAAGAGTTGAACGGAGCAATGACGCCAGGAGCCAAGTTGAAGGGTGACAGAAAAAAGCTCTCCAACAAGCAAAAGAAGAAACTCGAAGACAAGGACGAGAGAATGGAGGGTGGAGGTTGGAAAAAGGGAAAGGCCGAGAGAGATGGCAAGGGTGTGCTCGAAAAGGAAAAGAAGGGCAAGGGAGGCAAGAGGCCGCAAAAGCCCAAGGGTCCCAGGAAGTCCATGTAGAGATGATTGTGAAGACCGAAGATATTTTCGTATGTACTGGCATATCCACTCAGAAGTTATCCGTGGACGAACTCTCAGCGGAGGCTAATCCTTTCTTTTTGAATCTGGTGCAATTCTATAGCTATCTAAGAGGACCTCTGTCACTTGGAGAGGCTGCACGTGAGAATCAACCCCTGTAGACCATAAAGATGAACCCCTTTGCTATCTCTCCCGGTCCATCACCTAGTATTGTAGTATGCTATAAAAATGCACAGTTCCCTTCCAAGCAGAGATGTGGCCATGGAGATGTTGACTCGAAGTTCTCGGGAAGTAGTTTGACCTCTCCCCAATCCACTGTCCATGCGTCGAGGCCTACACGGAGTACGATCGGCTCTCGACCGTTATCTACTGCATCACGAAACTCATTGGTGATTGCAAAGGACAATCTTTCTGTAGATGGGAAGTCCCTACGCAAGTCACTGGTGGCGTCAGCATCTGTCCGGTCTTGCTTGAAGATCCAATTATGTTGCGCAAGTGCATCTCAAGCTCGACCTTGTGGTACGTAGTTGGCAGACGCTGACTCTTTGCGTCATATCCGCAGATTGTGACTATCTCAGTGTTGGAATCGATATAACCCATTCCCAGGAGATCGTCGGCGATTTGTGTACATTCCTCGGCATGCGGGTCTTCTCGTGACTTGCTGGGATGGTTCGGATTAGAGCTATGCCTAGTGACACAGATGACCTGTTTAGACAATGGCCAATGAATAACTCTCACTCGTGGCAGCTTGTCGTTGAGCTCTTTGAGTGGAATCTGAGTCTGGATAAGGTCGTCATTAAGGTAATCGCAACTTGTCACAAGGCCGAAGATGTAGATACAGAGGTCTCCAGCCGTAGGGAAGCCTTGATTGCAAGACAAACATTCATAGGGGGCATTCTTCAAGTCGATGGTGTCCTCAATCTCTCCAGTGATATCACCGAGGTCTGTTACCATAGGGCACTGTTGCATGCGAATATGGGCTTTCAGAAGGTCTGCATCGTAGAAGCCCTTTGTACATCTAAAAGGACACACGAACTCTCCCTTATGGTTGGAGCAGTCGGTATGGTGGTTAAACATCAGATGATTGATAACCACCTCCCTCGTGGCTTCTGGGCGGAAATGTTGACCGCAGCAGCGTTCCGGGCAGACCCATGCCTCTCCTTTTGGTGCGACTGCGTCCATCTCGGGTATGGTAGTCGTAGCAGCCTTTGATCTAGGCAGTAGAGGGAGCTTTTGTGTTGGATCACTGGCCCCTGAGCGATGAGTCGTGTTACGAAGATTGGAAATTCGAAATCTTCGAGAAGAAACCACGTCTGCCGCTTGACTTGATTGCATGCCATTCCAAGGAAGAACGAAAGATCTTGCTATAATTCCATACTGTTGAGGAGCAGAGACGGCTTCTAGTGAATGCTCGCGGCACTTATTCATATGGGCAGCGTAGTGTTTCACTGTTCTCTGAAACGCAGTCCTGCCGGTGTTGTTGGTCGCCATTGAAAGTTTCGAACCTTGAGGCTGCTGGTGCACGAATTGATTTGGTGTTCCACTCAAGAACTCATTGTTCGCATATTGAGGACGCAGAATATCTGCTGCTATTCCACGGATGTTGGGATATGGAAAAATACCGAGGGGATAATGTCGAGATCCAAAGCGAGGTGCAGGGTTAGTGGGAGCAGGCATACCCTCAAAGATACCAAGACGAGAAAGTGAAGACATGTGTGCTTCAGACACAGCACGAGGAATTGTGACGACAGAGGCCGCTTGAGAAGCAGATGACCCGGCTTGAATAGAAGGGTTATCGGCTTGAAGAGCAGAGGAACCGGCGTGACCAGAAGGGACATTGGCTTGAGAAGCAGAGCGAGCGGCGTGGAGAGCAGAGCGAGCGGCTTGAAGAGCAGACCGAGCGGCGTGACCAGAAGGAAAATTGGCTCGAGGATCAGGGCGAGCTAGTTGGGAAGGTGAAGGCGCAGGTCGAAGACTGAGGCCCGGCGAATGAACTGTCTGGGCGGCGATCACAGCAGCAGTATCACTTGAAGTGACGTTATGGTGTGTTGCGGTGGAAGCAGTGGAAGCAGCGGGCTGAGAGAGACCGGGCTGAGCAGCATCTGAAACTCGTCTTGGTGTGATTGATGCTATCATGGACGCCATGTGCTTCTCGCGTAGCTTCCTCGCTTTGATGGTTTTCTTGCTCTCCATTTTGACAGGTAGTGGGGGACAAGAGTGAAAGAGAAACACGAAGGCAAGAGAAGGCTGATGATGTGTGAAGTCGGCGAGAAAGTGTGATATGATTTGGAGGACGAGGACGAATCGCACGTGTGGAAAGAAGTGGAAGTAGAAGCGAACGTGAGTGAAAGTTGGAAGAGGTCGAGGTAGAAGGAGTTCTGGGATGGTGGAGGGAAGGAGCAATCAATCAAGTCAGAGGAAATCAAGTCAGATGAGGACCTGTGATCTCGGAGAAAAAGAGTGAACAACTAAGTCCACAGAAACGCTCACTTACTAAACCTGGCAGATACTATCGATCAGTCGAGAGGTTCAGATAGATGCATACTTCATGTATCGTCACGGGTTTCCCGAGCACCTCTATTGTCAATGGCGTAATTAGTACAATCTCAAGCTCAGTTCGTCTCTTTCCCTCTGCCAGTGCATTCTCAGCCAGGGAGCAGATAGGTGTATGCTTCATGTATCGTCACGGTTGCCAAGAGCACGCCAACCGTCGGCGACGTAGTTAGTGTAATCTCAAGCTCAGTTCGTCTCTTTCTCTCTCCTAGTGCATTCTCAGCCAGGGAGCAGATAGGTGTATACTTGATGCATAATCACGGTTGTCAAGAGCACGCCAACCGTCGGCGACGTAGTTAGTGTGATTTGGAGATTATCTACGCTCATTGCTTCCTACATTGTCTCTCTCACCAGGGCGCAGACGAATGCATGCTTGATGCTATAACGAGAGCGAGCAAAGCACTTCAGTCACCACCAGTGTAGATAAGCTCAGTCGGTCCATAGACAACAATATTAAGCAAAGGGAAGATGCGTTCAGCGTTGTCTAGAGGAAGATTTTACAAAGATATCAGAGAGTCAAGGCCCCAGATGGAGATAGAAAGATGCTAGACTGACACGATAAACGATGAGACTTGATGGAGACGATGGCTCGAGGACATGCGGAGGATCGGTTCACGGGTGGCCGTTGGTTTTGATGTGAAAAATATATTGCATATCATTGGGATCTCACATCAATTGGTTCTGTGGTGTAGTTGGTTATCACTTCTGTCTAACACACAGGCGGTCCCCGGTTCGAGCCCGGGCGGAATCATTGTTTTGCCGTGCTGTGCATCATTATCTATCTATAGATTGGACTGGTATAGGTGTTGGTATGGGAGGGTAAACTTTCGGAAGATTTGGGCAGGCGCGTGGCTCGAAGGCAGCTTCCACTTTTGTTCGAACGCCGACGCCGAGTTCTGGAGTCAACCCACTCTCCTGCATGATATAGTTACATATGTTCGTTCAGTCACAATGCAAGCTGGAACGATAGCCTTTTTTGCCAGTATCATATGTACGTCCTTTGATGAGTCGGCTGTGTGATACTTGTAACTACCACCTCAACATACAGTCAAGGAGCTTCAAAACTCAAGCCGACCTCCCTCGCAGCCTTGGCCGTCAATAGGCACCCAACTCACGCAGGAGACTCTTCACAACCAGCCGAGGGCTCTCAGAACACCCCGCATCAATGTCCAAGATCTCGTGCTACTTGCAATGACCTTGTTGACTTGGAGAGAGTCTCAAAGAGTTGCGGTCGTGAAATGGTACACCGCCAAGACAAAGCATTGCCCCAAAGCGGAGTTCACCGACGGCTGCTTTGGCTTGCCCGCTCTGCCTTGACCGGATCGATTTCCACTCCTCCTCCCTTCTTCCCTTTCCCTCTTCCCTTCTTCGAGATGTCTGCTCCATCTGTTCCTAGCAAGCCTCAACACTCGCGCCATGATACTGCGCTGATCCATGGTCTTTCGACCTCGGAGGTCCAGGCCTTGTCCGAGGCTTGTATTGAAGCTAAGGAGAGGGCTTACTGTAAGTTGAGAATGACCATTTCTTGAATATCTTTCAAATCACTTCCATGTCAAAAGTGCAGAACTATTCGTGTCCTCGATTCTTTGCTTCGACGTTTCCATGCCCAACCAATGAAAGAACGAAATAAACAGATTGCACAAAGTCATTTACCAGTACTGACCTATTTCTTGTAGGCCNCCTACTCCAAATTCAGAGTCGGCGCTTCCCTGCTCTTGAAGTCAGGCCAAGTGATCCGCGGTGCGAACGTCGAGAACGCAGCCTATCCTGTCGGTACCTGCGCCGAACGCACAGCCCTCGGCACAGCAGTAGTTGAAGGCGCACGACGAGGAGACATTCGCGCTCTGGCTGTCGCTACGGACATCTCACCACCGGCCAGTCCTTGTGGCATGTGCAGACAGTACATCCGGGAGTTCTGCGAGGTGAGTTCACAGGGGGATTCTGAAGAAAAAGGAGAATTTCGCTGATGATGAACATAGCCCTCGATGCCAATCTTGATGTATGACAAGGATGGCAAGTCGACAGTCCTCACATTGGAGCAGTTGTTGCCCATGAGCTTTGGACCGGAGAGCTTGCCTATGCATTGAATGGGTTGAGGAAGACATGATCTTGGGGTGGCTTTCTTGTATTGGCTCTTGGTTGCATCAAACTGGGGACCGCGTAGCATTATAACAAGTTTTGGTTTTGGAACGATACCGTTGTCTTGCAGCTCTGAAAATTCTTGCTCGCAGTGAAGTGAGTGGGGTATCAACTAGTCTATATAACAAATGAATTTCTTGTGGTTGATGATGGCCGTCTAGTGAATCAGAACGACGGGCTTGCCAGGCTCAAAAGCATCAACACTCTCCCTGATGTTGACCCAGTATCTCAGCTTGACAGCCTCCTCTTTTGCAGCGTCCATATCGTCCTTCTGGAATGCCTCTTCGAGCACGCCGACACTAGCGGCAATCCTCCTCTCGTTCATCTCCTTCAACGGCTGCAGCTCTTCCTCAGTAGCAGCCTCCTCAATAATCTCCCTCGTCTCCAAGACCTCCATCAGGAGTTCTGGGTCCTCGACTTTTGCTGTTTCGTCACCAGCTACATCGATCCCTCTCATCTCTAGTAGATACTGTGCCCGTAGCAATGGGTTCTGCAGAGTCTTGTATGCTTCATTGATGCGCGAACTCAAGGCTTCGGCCTGGCGCTTCTTCTCTTGGGGTGCAAGGTCTGGGTGAGCTTTTGCTTGTAGTTGGAGAAACTCTTTGCGCAAGAGGGAAAGGTCGAGAGTAAAAGGACCTTTTGGTGGCAGAGCATCTGGGCCTAGCGACGGGAAGAAATCGTAGTGAGTTTGAGGTAGAAGGGTCTCGCGAGATGTGACATTGGGTGTGTCGCGACGGGGAGTCGTCGTTGTGATTGTGCGGGCGAGAGTAGGTGTGAGGGTTCGGAAGGAGAGTGATGTCGAGGCGCGTAGAGGTGTGCGCAGGCTGAGGGACGCGCTGTTGCGGGTGAGTGTCGATAGTGCTGCGCGCATTGTGAATCTTGTGGCTCAAGAGTGATTCGTAGATATGTCTAGGTGCGAAGGAAGATGTACTCAAATGTGTGTTTGCGCCGCCTCCAAAAAATGGCCTTGACATCATCCTCAAGCCTTCCCTTTTTGGTTAGCGTCACCCCCGCGGCTCGAAGGCTTTCTTTGTGTTGCCTTTCACGTGCCTTCCTCGACAACACTCCTCCAAGCCGTCACTCTTCGTCAACTAGCAGCGCCAACTTCTTGGAAGGGACGACCGCTACCCTGATTCTTGGCTATACCATTCTGGAGCATGGACCGTGACATTGTCGCCTCACAAGTTTGCAGTGTTGATGGAGCTGCTCGCGCATGCTTCTGCACCCAGTTCTCGAAAGGATGATGAAAGATTCAAGCGCCAGGCAAACGCCTATCTGTCCTTTGAATCTTCGAGCGTGATTCCTATACACCAGAGTCAGAGGGTCATAAGTACTGGTATATCCGGCGCCATGACTCCTTCAGTTGCACCAGTACACTATAAGGAGACCCCAGTATTTCTAGACAATACTCAGGATGCTTGGACCGCCTTGGATTCCCAGCTCTTTCCACCTTCACAATCATCGGATGAAGAAAGTGTTTTAGAAAGTGAGAAAGAAGTTGACCAAAATGTCCTTCCACTACCGATTGGTTCATCACTGTCGCCTCGCGTGCCACATAGCGCATTGCCTCCAGATAAGTCTGCGCTCTTGGATGTTTCACTTATGCCCGCTCCAAAGTCGAGATTCCTCACATCTCGCGCAAATTCTGGACTAGGACCAAAACAACACATCCTGACACCAGCGAGACCGTTGCAAGCTACCGAGCATGTCACACCGAGCTATATTCATGACCTCTCAACAATCTATCCTGCCGAGACACCTGTTCGGCGGGTGTCGTTACTTCGAACTTCAAACCAGCCTCTGCCGCAGGACAACTTTTCGTCTCCAAGCGATGATATCCCGTCGCAACTTCCGAGCACATATTCGATCAGTGACATCAACTCTGATCCCATACATAGTGATCAGAACGATCCGCCGACAAGTTCTGCTTGGGGAAGCCTGCCCCGAGGTAGTGTACCTCAGCCTTGGAATGGCGTCATCGAGGAAGAATCACCTCTGAAGGGTGTCAGGTCGCTTGGAAAACGACGTGCTCAAGGATCGTCGCCCCTGAAACAGACGCAGTCGCTTGAGTCTCCTAGAGCAGATATGTCTGCTCACGTCAAGCCAATCCAATCTTCTGTTCCAACTGGACAAGACAACATTTCTTCTGCTTCTCTAGACCGTGCAGTGTTTTCAAAACAACAGCAGCGAGCAAAACCCGTACGACAGGAATTTACTTCTTCCTTTGAGCTACGATTTTCCTCGGCCCCGCAAGCTCGAGGGCTCCATTCAGACAATGGTGCAGATGAATCTGCTTCGGCTTCGGTCAGACAAGAAGATGTAACCACTCGGGCTGCGCGGTCGTCTTTCGAGATGAGCTTTTCCTCTGCGCCACAAGCACAAGGAACCCAGTCGGGCGATGTGGATGATTCAGCTATTCCAACGATCTTGAGGCGACAATCTCTTAATCAACTGATGCCGACATCCTTTGACACTAGATTCTCTTCGAGCCCCGAAGCTCAGGGAACACAGTCTAGTAGCACAAATGACACGGTCATTCCCCAAGCGCTACGACAACATACTCTCGACCAGCTTTTACCCACATCTTTCGAGTCTCGCTTTTCGTCCAGCCCGGAAGCTCATGGCACGCCGTTCGTGGAGAAGGAGAGTCCCGACGGGCAACCTCTTGAAGCATCGTCGTCGCCAAGCTCAAAGATCGACTTGTTCCAGCCACGTGTTAATCTACCTCTGACAAAAGCAGTCATAGAATCGTCCTCAGTAGTAGGAGAGTTTGTGCGGCGCAGATCAGATGTTATCCAGAGTGCTGGAGCTCTGGCCAAATCGAGCTCATTGCAGCCCATGTCTTCAGGCTTCAGGATAAGTTCTGCTGTCTTCGAGCGGGAATCATCCGAGACCGCGAATGGGATATCGACTCCTATGTACGACGCTCGTGTCGACAAACGGTCTCTACTTTCGGCACACGTTGCAGAATCTGAACTCGCGGCTAAGCGACGCAAAATTACCTCTCTGGCCACCCCAAAGTCAAAACCAAACACCCAAGAAAGAGAATTTCTCGATTCTCTGTCTTTACAGATCCATCCACCGCCTCCGCCTACTGGGTTGGAGACCTTTATCACTCACGTCACGCCGCAACTTCAGAGTCAATTCTGGGACAGTGAAGAATTGCAAGGAAAGTACAAGCCTTTTCACCAGCGAGACCTCAGACAAAGTGAAAGAGGGTATTGGCAGATTGACACGACGTCTTGGAGTTCAAAGGTGCAGATCAAGTTTTGGATCTTCTTGCAGTCGAACATTGGGAGTGGGGTTAGTGGATGGGGTATCTGGTGTTTGCGTGAGACCACTCCTACAGACGAGGATGAAGATGCGGGAGCCGAATTGGGTACCGTCAAGGTCTTTTGCTGGGGAGAAGTCGTGGGACACATTTGGTTGCTCTGCTATGTCGCCAGTCAGGCTAGGCTGAAGCGCGTGGAAAGTCAGTGGATTGATGCGAGTGGAGAGGTTGTGGTCAGGATTTAGGAATCTTGTCATTTTCGATTCTGGATTATATGAATTCTTGGTTCCGAATCTCTTTGTTGTCTGTCAGAAATCAAGGAGATAAGATGCTCAGTGTTCTCGACCTTTTCAAAGAGCCATGGAAAGGGATAACAGCAAGCTCGGCTTCCTAAAGTCGATGGCCCCACTCATTTGGCAGGCGTAACATCTCACAACCACTTTTTCTCGGGAACAGCCCACAACTGTGCTTCGTCAGTCACATCGCGACCATCGACACCAACCAATCTATCCTGAGTGACCTGACCCAGAGGCGCCGCCAACTCCGTGAGTTCCTCGGGAGAACAGCGACGAAAGTCCAACACAGCGGTGTGGTCGGCGTTTAGTGAGCGTAGTACCCCATCGGGGCCGAGGTGAGAGATTCCATCTGGATCGCTGCGCCAGGGGCCTCGTGCGGCGGCATCGGCATTGTTGCGAAAGATGGGTTTGCATGTGTTTACATTATCAGGATTCTCTGTTTTTGGTGAGCTGGTTTGGGTTGGAGTTGTCATTGTGAGGGGTGTTGGGTTGTAGGGAGGGGAAGAATGGATGGATCAGTGGACAATAGAGGAAGGCACACTTTGCAAAGCGACACGGTGCGAATGCTCCTTTTAAATGTCTTGCGATTCTAGGCTCCAGTGTCGTGGATGCATGAACCATTCTGGTATCGTTTCGCCACCTCATGTCGTTGGTTGTATCTTTTGCGATGCTAGGCAACCACGGCCGCCACATTCGCCTTCTTCTGTCTGTCTTCCGCTATGCCACTAGAATGAATCATCTGATCAAATCATATATCCAACAATCAACATACCAGAACATGACTCTTGTGTTGCCTGGTGGATGCGAGAGATTCGATACATTATAATGACATGACAAAATTCGCCATATCTATCCACAAGACCTTTGTCAACCTAAGCATGTTTTGCTTCCAACAATTAATTCTGAAGCTCTAGTACAGACTAGGAATACATTGAATGAAAGTATGATCACTCATGGAAGGGACAATTGGCATGCCGCGTATGCAATCCACATTGGTTCGCATTCATAAACATTATAATAACAAACACGTCAACCACCGGCGCCCAAGACCAGAGGTATCGGCCATTTCATTGTCGACAAAATACCATCTCGCTTGTATGATCACTTCCTAGAATGGCTGACGTCCCGGCAAGGCAAGAAAGGTGAGAAGGTCGGTGATGTTTCTCTTCCTCTCTCCCCCTTCTGAACTATGACAACCTGTTCTTCATGAGTTGCATCAGTATCTAACATATTCAAGGATCACAGGTTGAAGGCTAGATAGGTACGAATTGTATGTTTCAGTGATCTGCCCTGTTTCTTAATTGTCGTTTGAGAACTCGATGTACCGAGCTGCACTGATTTATCCTGCGGTACGAGCTCTGGATATCGGCCGTTGTCCATGGCTTGTCTCGTGACACTGGTATACTCTGACAGAGATGGAGGAGAGAGAGCAGAAATGACCAGGTCTACAAAGCTCTTCGTGCTCCTTGACTTTGCAGATGCATCTCAGTGGCAGGATGGAGCGTCTTGCATGCTTATTGTAAAGCATCGAAGACAGCCGACTACAGGTTGCGAAATGTGGACCTGACAGTCTTAGTTCGGACGCTGCAGAGATGCCAGAAGTAGCCACCATAGATTCGGCTTGCTACAGTCTGCGCTTTCTATTCGTGGTTGAACAACGATCGTTGTTGCGTGACGAACAAGGATGACAAGATAACGTACGCCATCGTTGGCGTCAATGTAACATCAAACAGCTGTTGGTAGGTGGATACTGGTATGAGTTTGGGCGATACTGTCCACGTTGACCAGCTCAATGTTTCATGGCCGCTCAAAACATGAAAGCTTTCCCAGATACTGGTTGCATCATCGTCCAAAAGTCTGCACACAGATCTCCACCTAACCAAATGTCCTTCAGGAACCCTTCCATGACCTTGACGGACCCGAAAGATAGGTACTCGCCAGCAATCTCCAGCGAGCTCAGTACAGTCTGTTGGGCATCACGATCGATGCAATGCGTACCGATCATCAGACATGGAAACAGCAAGCAATGTGCAAGCTTGCCAATCTCCGGTCCCTGTTGGAGTGCATCTATGCCCTCTTGTACACTTTCCTGGACTAGCACATCGGAAATGTCGAGATTGCAGAGGGCACGATACATGTATATCCGAGCGCTAGTTCGATATGCTGAGCAGAAGACCGTGAGGGCATCGATAGACTGGCAGCCATCGTTTGGTAACGATGATATCGCAAGGTTCTCAAGACGTGATTCTGTCCTTCCAAGTGTGAGCTGGATCTCAAGCAGTTCTCGAATCGGGACTGGAATGCCAGTCATACGCGTATCATGGCCGAGTTGTGCTAATTGCGCAAGTAACGCCATGATATCGACGAAGGCGTGGTCGTCGCTGATGCCTGTCCACCACGCCTCGCTATCAGCAAGTTGAAGCCAAATATCTGGGCCAAGGTGTGGTGCTTCGCCGCCCAGGATTGCATATGTGAGATCCATCGTGGCGTAGACTGAGAGCAGTAAAGACATCGGTCCAGACTTGATTGAGGAGACCTCCGTCATATGGTTTCCGTATTGCAGAATAGCGCGACCACCGCGAAGATGAAACGCTGCTGCGAGACCGTCATCTTGCGGTTCTATGATACCATCGAGCATGCATAGTAATACGCTGGACGGGAATGTAATGGCATGAGATAGGGTGAAAGAGTCTTGAAGTCGTGTGCGTAGCGATCGTATAGCTGTCAACCGTGCTTCCTTGATATGTGATAGGGTCTCCTCCTGGACGGCATGATTCTTGAACAGACGATGTGCGTTTGCGACAGCAATGACTGCTTGGTGAATCGAAGAATCGGTCACGAGCCATGCTGGGTCAATCCCGGGTCCGCCGTCCATTAGACTGAACCTTGGAAGGATTTCTCGAGAAAAGTACAGCACCTGCCAGTCATCAGTCGTGGACGGTGACTGGATCTGTGGCGGAGATGGAGAAGGTGATGATTCAACAGGTAGCAGTTGGCCTGCAAAACGTCCTCGAGCTGCCACTCCGTTTGCCCATTTCAGGCGTCTGCCATACTCGCATTTGACGCCAGCATCCTGGCAACGCATGCATACTGGCTTTCTTATATCGCACAAGACCCGACGATCTTTGCATCGCCAGCATGATCCTTCCGATACTCTGATTCTTTTGGGAGGCATGATGGAGGTCGGTGTGTTCGTTATCTGCGTATCTGAGTGCTTGGCGATGCAAACATGATATAGGTGAGGGGAACCTTCTGAGATGTGATCAATCTTGCGGTGCGAAGCCTTCCACAGGATCCAGAACCCGAAGTTGCATGCCCGGCTAGACGCAATGGCAGCTGGTCGTGAACATGCCGAACCTTTCAGAAAAGCTTATCGACATGCTAGGAGAGGCCAATGCCATTTTTATGATGCGATGGTATCAAGTAAAGCTTTGTATGAATCTTCGAGTCCTGTTGTGCTCATTGTGAACCAGTACAAGAAGAGGGAAGAAGTCCAGTTGGCGGACGCCAATCGACTCCCTCTGGCCAATCGATCACCAGCCCCACAACTATGTCTCGGCAAACTAGGCCCAAAAGGGACGTTATCTTGACCACCTTCCTTCCTCCACGTCTTCTCCTCACGCATACAATCGGCACAAGATCTAAGATGCACACGGATTCAGGCACGTGTCCAATCGTATACGACAAAGAAGTGTGCAACGGTGATAAGACCAGCCGGTCGACGCCGCTTACTCTAGCTGAATGGTTGCGGCGAATGGCTGGTAATCCTCCTCTCCCTTCCACTGATCTTCGTACAGAGACTCGCCCATCTGAGATGCATCCATACCAATCATGACATCTNNCTGTAGCCATTTCGTTAGCGTCTTTAGCAACATGGTAATGGGTGTGACTTACTTGTCGATCGCCAACACCTCCCAGCCTGGGACACAATCGATCAGAGCAATGAGGATGTACGACACACTGAACGCCCAGGTGAATCCAATCAGGGCTTCCACAATCTGAACACCCAGTTGCCTCGCGTTACCATCGAACAAGACACCGCCGACTATCTCGGTCACTCCATCGAGAGCAGCGACCTCCTTCTGAGCAAACAGTCCAGTCGCGATGGTGCCCACAAATCCGCCAATACAGTGGGTTGCAAAAGTGTCACCGTTGTCAACCCACTTCCACCGTCTTGCCATGTCGGTGAACTTGATACGCAAAGCCTGTCTCGAGACAACAGCTCCAATGATGCCAAAGAAGAATGCCGTGGCCATGTCGATGAAGCCCGCTGATGGCGTTATCATAACCAATCCACTGATGGCCCCCAAGAACGTTGAGTCCAGTGACCACTTGCCGGTCTCGTAGTAGGTCATCGAAGCCCAGGTGATCGCACCAGATGCAGCACAAAGATTGGTCACACACATGGCCATTACAGACTTGAAGTTGAAAGCAAGTGTAGTGCCAGCGTCAAACGCAAGCCAGGAGCCCCATATCGTGACGAGAGCAAGCAGTTGACTTAGTGTGTTGTGTGGTTTGTGTAGAACCAGGTGAGTTGGTGTTCTTTCTGCCGATTTGCGCGAACGGAAGAGTGGGTATGAGAGGTAGATGCTGAGGGCTGTTGCGGTGGCTCCTGAACAGATATGAACAGGGGTGCCACCTGCGAAATCGAGGACACCGAGTTCTCCGAGGAAGCCACCGCCCCAGACCATATGCGCTAGCGGGCAGTATACGAAGGTGGCCCAAAGCNNTGGTATCACTGTCAGTATGTTTCTACACGAGCTCGGTCCCCATTCGGTACTTACGAAGATGAACGGGATAAGGGGCAGAAGCCTGCCTCTTTCGCATGCTCCACCAATGGCGATGGCACAAACAGTGGCGCAGAAAATGAGTTGGAACTCGCTGAACAATATAGCAGGGATCGTTCCTACAGGCTCGGCCAAAACATCAAGGTGCATGAAATGCTTGAGGTCGCCGATGAAGCCATTGCCTTCTCCATAGGCCAAGGAGTAGCCGAAGAGCCACCACTGTATTGTGCAGACAGCTACAGCTAGCAGAGCTGGCATAAAAGAAGCCAGTCCACTACGCCTTGTTGAGTAGCCAGAGTATCCAAGACCAACGGCAGGAATAATCGGCCAGCAGAAGACACTGCAGACAAGGATGAATGCTGAATCTGTCTTGTCACAAGCCTCCCAGGCCTCGAGAACTTGGGCGGCGACGACCATCTTTGGCAATGAGCAATGTGCAACTTGTGTGATCTTGAAAAGTTTCAACTTCGAGCACCTTGATGTATTTATGTTCCCCAGAGTCGCAAACACGGAGATAACAGAGGTGTGGGGTGACAGATAGCGATAAGGTCGGTGGTCCTCAGAATGTCCGTTTTGGGTATGTATCTTGGCCGAGCTAGAACTGGGCGATCTTACTTCCATGTCCATAGGTAGTTTAGTGCACAAAATACAGACAGACTGGCTGATATGAAAGTACTTGCTGGCCAAGATATTATGATGCTACTCTTGCCTTCATTCACGAACATTCTGGCGATCATGGAGCCAGTTCTGATATGTCGACGTCGATATTCTGTGCTCGCGCTCGTCTATCCGTAATGTCCAAGACCTCTAGTGACGGAGCCAGAACGAGCTTAGCCAGAACTTCGTTCACTCCTGTGCGTCCATCACTTGATCCGAGCGTCCACTCATCGGGTAACAGCAGAGGACGATAGTCGCCGTCCCTCATATCCGGTCTGGCTTGGCTCAAATTTATGGTATCAAGATTGGTCACGAACCGACAGCTCTTCTGTACCAACGAGAAAAGCTCAGCCCAAGTGCCGTCGCGTATACAGGTGTGGGCAACGCGTATACTAGTCAAAGTATCTGCGTGCTTTCCCAATAGCTGAGCGAGGACATGGTACGATATTGGCGTGTATTCCAGCCAAAGTGACTTCAGTCCATCTGAATTTACGGATCCCAGAACAATGTCGGCACGTTCAAATTGCCGGTTGGTCAAGAGCTGTGGTTGTTGTTCTGGTGTGAGCCAGTCGTCGCGGTCAAGGTCGTCACATCCCTGTCTGTACGTCAAGTCTTCGAGCGAATGCGCATAAGATAGTATATGCTTGGTAGAATGAGTGCCCGCATCATTGAAAGTGTTGTTAAAGTCGAGAGATACAGATTTGAGACTAGACAAAAGCTCAAGGTCTTCTGATCGCATGTTCGCTGTATCGTACCCTCGCTCATCCGGGTCAATTGACAGAGCATCAACTGTCAGTTCAAGCTCGGTAAATTGCATCTTGGTGTTGAAGATTGCTTGAAGGCAAGGCTCCATGGTTGATTTGAAACAAAGCTCCGGCTCTCCATGAAAATGATTGTACTTGTCGAGGAACAAAGTCACTGGATCCCATCGCGGTACCTCAAAGTCCGATATATCCAGAATGACGGGCGTCTGATAACTACGGAGAGAAGCAAAGGTACGGGAAAGTAACACGACTGCGTGTCCCGAGATCTCGAGTTCATACTCTTTCGTAGATCTGTTCATGGCATCTTGCATCTTCGCTTTCGCCCGCTTGACCTGAGCTGAAGTCGGTGGAGGAATACGCCGTTGCATGTCTTCGACTCGTTCAATGAGTGCCCGCATCTCTCGGGGATGAACGCGACCAGACGAAAGATGGACTTTCCGCACATGTGGTCCAAACTGAGGATGCGCACAAATCTCGGCCAATTTTTCTAGACTTCGGCGGGTCATCAAAGAGCAAAGATTGAACATGTAGTCTTTCGCTAGATGCGTGGTTGCGACGGAGGATATCCTTTTAGTCGATAGTCGTAGTGCTTTCAGCTCCTTCTTATTGAGATAGTCACAAATTTCATCAAGAATCTCGCCCGGTATGGCATCCAGCCGCAGAGTTTGGTGATGCGACATGATTGATGATCGTCGGTCTGATAGTTCTCGAAGTTCTTGTGCTCACAATGTGATTATGCGGACACGGAGTGTGCCGTGATTATAGTATCGTATCGCTTCGTCTGACGTCCTGGATTGGTAGTGACTACTTGCTCCGACGATGAGAAGACTACATACCTAGTCGCGAGAGGTGCTTGGTAATCGCAATATTTTGTTGGCAAAAGTTTTTGAGCTTTGACCGCAAGGAGAGCAGGGTCACCTCACACAGACTTGGTCCGAAGTACAATACATCAGGTGTGCGTCACTCATTCTTTTGTCTCGAACACCTCGGATGACTGATAGATTCTATGTCAAGTTTTAAATGCTCTAATAATCATCGCCACAACACTCAAAACTGACTCTGGTATTTGTCTCCAGTACCGGTCTTGACAGCCTCTCTCTGCCCGATACGTTCGACCCAAGCAAGTACATTAGGGAAAGCATCCATGTCCTTCTTCTCGAATTGAGCAAACTCCCATTTCGCAACCCAAGGCCAAGTTCCGATATCTGCAAGACTGTACTTTCCCTTTCCAGATCCAGCCAGGTATTCTCTTGGCTGTCCGTCACTGTTCGCTCCCGAGAGGTGAAGCTCGAGCACACCAAACACACGCAGAGTCTCATTGCGGAATCGTTCAATGGCTGCGGGAACCTTTTCCTTTGAGAATTTGCCAAAAAACAAGAATTGGCCGTAGGGAGGTGCGCCGGAACCATGCCAAAAGAAGAGCCATTGCATCATTTGAACGCGCTCTTGTGAATCTTGGAAAGTCAGAGCGTAGTCCTTGTCGTATTGTTCTGCGAGATAGAGCAACTGGGCTGATGTTTCCATGACAGGTATGGGATTGTCTTTGCTAGTGTTGTCGACGATTACTGGGATCTTGCCGTTAGGGTTCAGTCTCAAGAACCAGTCCCCTTTCTGTTCATTCTGCGAGAGCCTAATGAACGAAGTCGTCCATGTGATACCGTAGAGGAGGGCAAGTTCTTCAAGCAGAATCTGTACTTTGTGGCCGTTGGGCGTGCTAAAGGTCAAGAGATGGATACCCTTAGCCTCGGAGACCGCGGAGGGAGTAGAATCGATGTAGAGACCAGACATGATGTGTGGGTCCAGAAGTAAGGGTGAAGGATGTTCGAGAAGCCTTTTAGACAGAGGTCAAACAGAGTGCTAAGCCCCGTGTATTTATCGACACCTTGACCGAGTCTGTCACCTGACTATACACCGACTACGCGTTCACAGTTTAGCCCAGTTGATAATAATTGGAATCTTGAGCAGGAGTTAGTTACTAAGCCACGTCCCAGACGGATGAAAGAACGTCCGAGCAGCAGATCGAGAAAGATCGTCGGCGGGTGGGCGGAACCGCCTTAGCCAAAGCCAAGCAAAAGACAAGCGGATGTCAGCCATCATGCATGTTCGATCATGGACAACCATTGTTGTCGTTGTCGACTGGGTGCATACAAGAGATTTGACAAAAATTCGTGTTGGTATTCAAGGTCGGCTTTGGCGTTGATGTCGCGAAAGACAAGAAGCTTGAGGATAGGCGTCGTCAACTGCAACGTATCGCATAGGATCAATGGCATGACTCGGAACAATAACGTTGATGGTCACGGGAATTGAGAGATATGTTTCCAGTGTCAATTGAGGCTCTTATTGTACGATCTCAAATGTGGTCTTTTGTCCCTCTCTTCCAGCCTATATCTAGACTGGAACGGTGAGCGGATTCATGACCGACGCACCTCCATCAACAACCATATTACTACCAGTAATATAACTGCTAAAGCCAGATGCCAAGAATCCAGCCACCCTCGCAACCTCTTTGGCAGTGCCTGACCTCTCCAACCCTACAATCTTTCTCCTGACCTCTTCGGTCTGCAGATCACTGGGTGGCAGCTGATTGCTGAGTCCTCTCATATCCATACCCTGCAAGCTGACTCCTACATCAATCTGACCAGGGCTGATGGCATTGATACGCACGTTACTGCCTTTCAAGACAGCCACGCCAGAATGAACGACACCGAGTGCGGCGTGAGATGACATTGTGAAGGCGGGACCCCAGCAGCCGCCATAGGTGCTGGCAACTGAGGAAACGACAATGATGCTACCATAAGCTACATCTTTGGGAGCAGCATTGGCATAGTTGCCTTTGGGTGTTGTTTTTGCCATGGCGGGAGGTGCGTACTTGAGTGCGAAGAAGGGTGCCATGCTGTTGGTCTCGAAAGTCTTGTAGAGGTCTGCAGGAGCGGTTTGAGCGATCGAGGGTGGGCCAAGGAGACCGGAGGAGGTTACGTAGACGTCGAGNACTGGATCTGTGCTCAGTCGGGTGTTATACATGGTCAGAACCCTATGAACATACCGTCCCCAAGCATTCAAGACATCGTCGATCAAAGTCAAGGTATCCTCCTCTTTCAAGCCGTATGGGTAGCCGATGACCTTTGTGTTTGGCCAGAGCGCGTTGACTTCATCGGCGAGTTCTTGATATGGGTCGGAGGGAAGGTTGGAGCAGGCGTAGATACAAGCGGCACCGTGAGCTATCGTCCAGTCATTAGTCTCTGTTTGTTGGAGAGTTGCCGTTGAGGGTCACCTACCTGCCAGCTCATGGACAATGGCCTTGCCAATTGCTTGTGTCGCGCCTGTAACTATGCACACAAAGCCATACTACCAACCGTCAGCGTTTCACTCGGACACTGGATCGCGTTATGTTCATACCAGCTTGCCATCTGCTCTGTACGGTGAGAAGTGCTGACTCTCATCTTCCTTCAAAATGGTGTTCGAGCTCATCTTGTTCTGTCGTCTTGGAAAATTGGTGCCAAGTAGACTTCGACGCGAAGTGAAGCTGATAGCGACATCTTTCGGCTGGCTAAGAGACTATCTGTATCGCCTCACGTCTTGTTGAGCCTGCATGCAAGATGGCTTTGTTATTCAAGCTTCATCGTCATACAGCTCTTCCGTGGAGATAGCGCGTTGTCGCTGATAAGCATGCGTAGTTTGCAGAATGTAGGAGTATAACTCAGTATGTTGACCGGCAAGCTATCGGAGAGAGCTGATAGGCACGCGTGGTAGAGCACTCTACTTGACTGGACAACCCTCAGGACGATACTCCCTCTGCTCGCGTGCCGAAACTTGTCACATTCTTCTGTTTGTCCTCTTCCACTGGACATCAACCGGCCGATATACTAGAACAACTGATCACGCTCGGTACGAGATATGTCCGCGAGGAACCGTAGGGACCACTTCTATCCACGGATCGCGCTCCGATTTCTGAGGTATCGTGAGACTTACATGGACATCATGTAACAGAGTTGTTACTCGAAAGTAGCTGGCTTTTGATTAGCAGAGACTTGACGACACATCAAATTGGAGAGAGTTGTCTCGACTCTGAGCCAGCGACAAGATTACTAAAATGGAAAAAGCAACTAGGTCAGTAACACCTCGAGACCCAACTTTTTCTCCTATATCACCATACAGCCAATAAACCGCATGTGTGATGTCGAAACCAAAGTTCATCCAGCTCCGTTTCTAACTCGACTTGTTCGGTCACATACGATGCATGTATTTGCTGAGATATTGTCTAAAGATCATCTTATAGCAGCGCATGTATCGACTGATCCTGGTGCCTCTGCCTGACTACTTTGTATGCCTGAGGCTTGATACTAGGAACATGCTCTCTACTCTGCAGCTCTAACCAACTCGCCAAATCTACTCTCTGTGTTTTCCGCCAATACCCTGGGCACACCAACCTCAACAATACATCCCTTGTCCATGACAACAACTCTGTCAAAGTCCATTATCATCTCCAACCTATGACTGACCGCGACGACAGTATACTTCTCGAATTTATTTCTGATGATCTCTTGCATGACCTTCTCGGTAGCTTGATCAACGCTCGAGCTGACTTCGTCAAGTAGCAATATACCGCTCTCGGAGCCTTGTTTTGCTCGGTGGCTTCTCCGCAGCAAGACACGAGCGAGGGAAAGGAGTTGACGTTGGCCAGCACTGAGAGTACCTGCGGACATACTTGCGGTCAATCCACCCTTTTGGATGACAAGATCCCACAATCCAACAGTTTCGAGTGCATGTTGGCATTCTTGAAGGTCAGAGACGTCGAGAGGATCTAAGTTTGCCTCGAAGCTAGTTCCATCCGGAAGGAAGACGGCTTCCTGGGGAACTGCGAGTATGCGTTGTCGCAGAGCTGATCTGTCAATCTTATGGAGCGGAAACTCGTCAATTGAGATATTGGCCGAGGTGTCTGAGGTGGGATCGAGCAGCTTGAGGAGGAGGGCGACAAGACTGGACTTGCCGCTGCCTGTACGACCGCATATAGCGACCTTTTCTCCTGCTTTGATAACGAGCCTGACATCTCGCAGTGCCAAATGAGTTAATCCGTCACCTGATGCTTCTACACTACTATGGTCTGGTCAGCAAGTTCCAGGATCGACTTACAGGTCTTTCTTACCCATAGCTAGCAGAAACTCCGGTCAAGCGTATCGAACCAGTCTGAGGCCATTGAATAGGAGGAACTACATCCTCATCATCCCGATCTTCGGGTCGTACGCTCTCATTGAACGCCTTGAGTCTAGAGATGGCTCCGATCGAGGTCTCTAACTTAGTATAGAAGATGACGATACCAGAGAGGTTTTCGCCAAAACTCATGAGGGTAACCAGTGAAGCACCGGTAAACCCAGAGCTAGAATGCAGGCGGACTGCGAGAGTTGTCAACACCGCAGCCATGATCATTACCACGACATCGAGCACAAGATTTAGCCATTGTTGAACCATAAGAAGAAGATATGCAGGACGCTGACTATCGTTGATAAGACGGGTATTCCTCTCAAGTTCTTCGGACATGAAGCCTGAGAAACTGATGTCAGCAACGATTCTTGTATCTACTTGATTCAACTTGAACCAAATTTTACACAAGTCATCCGAGTCGAGTCCTATTCGCGTGTAGATTGGCAAGATACTTACCAAAAGCCCTCAAGGTGGAAATGCCTTTTGCGGTGTCAAGAAAATGTGTACTTGAACAATTGTGTCAGCATGATAAGAATGAAGGCCAAACGATCCGCGTTTGGAGCCAATGGTTGGGTAGGAACTTACTACAGAGGGCTTTTAGCCTCAAGACCAAGCAATCTCAACTGTCTGGCCGTTCTAAGATAGAACTTTTGCACAAAGTACAACAAACCAGCCAGAAACGGATAGCTGATGGCCATGTAAGGAGATGATGTAGGCATCACCGCTGCTTGACCCACGGCCGAGAACGCCTGACCACAAATGTTAGTACTGCTTAACAGATACTTCGCCTTCGGAAAAAACGGTGGGTCGTCCCAGACTTACCGCGAAGAGGAAGTTGAGCAGCGCATTCGGCAGTTCTGTGTCCACCAGATTGAGATCTTGAGAGAACAGATTTGTTACCACACCTGTATCTGTGCCAGTGAAGAAGCTCAGAGGCGCTCGAATCAGTGTCTGTAGAGCATCCTTATGGATACCAGCACCGACTCTTTGTACCGAGACGATGAAGATGACTATGGCAAGCAGAAGAAGCGAGAAGAGTCCGCAGACTTGAAACAATGCGTAGAGGCCGGCATAGTAACCCCAAGATCGGATCGGATGGCTGCTTTCAACATCGCTTGACCAATAAGTGAGCCCTACAATCAACATAGTAAGCAAACTATCAATGTTTAACTTTTTTGCCTTCAAAACTCACAAATGGTTGGGAAGTTTGTGAAAAAGCCCCAGAGAGCAGCAGAAAACACTGCAAGCACCGCCAGGACCCAGCCCATGGCTTTCAGGTAGTGCTTGTAAACAGTTGCTTCGCCGTTCTGTCTTGTAGCATGATTCTCGGACATTAGAGATGATGCTCTGGATGCTGCTTTGGGCAGCGTGGAGGGTTTTGGCTTCTGCGTAGCATCCCTCGATGATAACGTCTCAACGGGAGGCTTGTTTGCCGAAGGTTTCCATGACCGCAGTCGCTGAACATAGCCTTGATGCTTCATTAGCTTTTCAAAGTTGCCCTGTTCCATAACAGTACCATCGCCAAGAGCAATTATGTGGTCTGCAGAAGGAAGATGATGTACACTATGCGTACAGAGCACGACAGTTGTTTGGCGTCGCCTGAGTATGCCATCAGAGGCAAAGACACGACTGAAGACTTTCTCTTCGGTGTCGGCATCCAGACCGCTGAAGATATCATCAAGAACGAGTAGATCTGTATGCAAGTAGAGGGCCCGAGCTAGCGAGACACGTTGCTTCTGACCACCGGATAATGTTATACCATCGGAACCTATGTTTGTCATGTCGCCCTGGGGGAGTGTGTCGAGATCGAGCGACAATGCTGTGGCTTCTATCACCTCATCGTAGCGCTGAGCGTCGTAACCAGAGAAACCGATGATGTTATCTCTCAAGGTGCCATTGGAGAGGAACGCTGTTTGTTCGCAAATACCCACATGCGGGACGCTATTGCTTAGCATCACATCGCCTTCGCAGAAAGGGATTTCGCCCAGAAGTGCTTTGCAAAACGTTGATTTTCCGGAGCCGACAGGTCCTACGACGATTGTGAGAGCTGACCTCGTTATGTGAGTGCTCACATCGCGCAAAACATATTTGCCTGCTTCCCATCCGAACTTGGCGTCTTGGATTTCGATCGCGCTCGGTGACTCGGGTTGTCTGGACTGGGCTTGAGCGCCACCTCCGATCTTCTCCGCGTGTTGTATGGTCTTGCTCAGGGATTTGCGGAAGTCTTCGCGGGTGTCGCATTCCAGATAACCCTGAACACGCCTCAAGCAAGCCAGTCCAGATAAAACTTGTGGCACCGTTTGGAAGACCTGTGTAAGCGGATTTGTCAACAGTGTCAAGTATGAGAGACTAGTGAACGTCTTCGAAACATCCAGTGACCTCTGTGCAAAAGCGAAAGTCAAAGGCGGTCCAAGCAAAAATGGCAAAAATCCAAGGAAGGCAGCGATGATGTCCAACTTGCGGAAGCGAGCACCGGAAGCAAGTTCTTCAACTCGAAGGTCCTGGATGAAGCTCTCAACGGCTTGCGAAAGCCCAGAGAGCTTCAGATTCTCCATGCTACCAATGACAGTCGCAGTCAAGCCTACTCTTTTCTGAACTCCAGTCATCCATGCTCTTTGAGAGTCTCCGGCGAACTTCATAAAGATTACGAGAACAGTGAAGGAAACAATCACAACGCTGATCGGAGCCACGAAAACTATGCCCAGTTGCTTGTACAAAAGCCAACTGGCAAGAGCGGCTTGCACGACACTGGCCCAGACCTCGTGCAAAGATCTGAAGCCGACATCGATACGTTCCATATCGGTACTCATGAGTGTCACTGCGGCGTTTTCATCCGCAATGTCAATACGAACCTGAGTGGTTCTAAGAAAGATTTCGGTGACGAGTATGGATCTGGCCATAGTGCGGACTCGGTGGTAGCAGTACCTATATCCATACGTCAGTTCGAAATCTAGCCATATAAACTGGGTGTGATACCAGTAGAGAGCCGAGGAGATGGCGATGCCGGTATATATCAATACGCTGGCTCCGATAAGACCGTAGCCAATATCTGCCTCGAGTTCGGAGCTTGAGAGATAATCCAGCATCTTCTCGATAAACAGAGGCTGACAGAACGTGAATGCGAGAAGAGCCAAACGTGGGATGATGGGGATCAGTAGTGGGCCCTTGAGAGTACGTATCAGTACCTTCAAAAGACCATACTTATCGCCCTTCATCTTGGCATAATCAATGCGCGTGGAAAACTTGGCGTGTAGTGTCTTTCCATCCAAGGCACTGTCTAGAGGATAGAGGTCATTCAAAGTTAGAACCCCTTGTAGCCGTCCATGAACATCTTGTTGAGCCAGGCATAAACGCCGAGAGAGAAAATGCCGCTGGTCTCCTCGGGACTGTGAGCTCTCTTATCCCACGCCAGCCATTGAGACTTTTTCTTGGCCTCAAGAAAAAGAATAAGTAGTTTGAAAGCAATTGCGGCGCAGAAAACACTGCTGTATAAGACCTGAGGAGCAGCATTCGATGATAGGAAGAAAGTCCTCGCTTGTGCTGCATCTGGCAGAAGCGTCAAGGAGAGATAAATACCGAGCAGAACAGAAGGTCGCGGGCTTTTGTTGTGATCAGCAAGACTAAGAATGATCATAGTCAACGCAGATACAAGTTTCAAAACCGACGCCGCCAGAAAGATGCTCGAGGCTTCGAACTTAGACAATGACGCCAGGATTAGAAGTGCCAGTTCCAGACCCAGATAGATCAAAATAGCGGCCTGGCATATGGTTGTTAGTGATGTATGACTGACTTTCGATGATAGTAATATGTAGTACGAGTTTGATAGACTGTAACATTGGCGCCTTTACCAGTGTAGGCTTGCGAAGTTGAGAGACAGCTCGCCATGATGATGCGACAATGAAGAGCACAGACGGCACGATGGAGAGGAAGATTTGCTCGAATGTGATGTTGAAGTCGAAATCAGCTTGATTGAACTCGAACAAGCCGTGTTGTCCAGTGTCGAAAGACATCATTGTTCATCGATGGCCAGGAAGGTGCCAATGGCGCTCGATGCTTCCAGCTGTTAATTCACGAAAGAAAATGCGACACAGGCACTTTTTACTTCAACAGCGCGGACGGAATGAAAGTGAGAGTAGCGCAAGCCATTCATCCTTGATGCGATGTGTCTGGTCGTGTCAGTCGCCGATTATTACGGCTCAGCACAGATAAGAATTCGGCTGCCTGGATGTACCCCACCACGGAGGAAATCACGACAAGGCAGCCTTATTGCTGGTTTATATACGACAGAGATGGATATCAATACAGAAGAAGAACAAGTGAAAGGGGTATCTCGTACGTAATGCAAGCAAATTGTTCCTGCACATTGACGCAACAAAGTCGCGATGCGTTGTCATCAACCAAGGTTGCCCCATCAGCTTGTGCCTCGGTTAATAACGGTCGTCCTCATCCTCATCATCCTCAAAATCTTCTGTCCCAATATAACTTCTGTCAATTGCGAAGATCCATTCGCTCTTGTCTCTTTCCGTCCTTGCCGCGAATATCCACGCCTTGGTGCTACCGTATACTGCAAACACATTTCCAGGTGCTGCGACAGCAGGAACACCGTGTCTGCCCACGGCCGTTGGCGTGCCTCCTTCGCGTCTGAGCAATTTTGCAATCTGTGGAGCCGCATCCACACGTGAAGAGTTGAGATTGATAGCACCTATCTCTTCGTGCTCAGTTGCCGTTGCAGAATGAATGTGCATGTATGGCTGACGGAGCTCAACGTAGCGTCGGATCCAGCGTGAGGGTTCCCGAGCTGCAGGGTCAGGGGTTAGAAGGTATCCAGCCTTGAGTAGGGATGGGTTCTTGGGTATAGAGTGAACAGTGGCTAGTGACAATGGTATGCCTGTGCCGTTGGTGGAAGATGCAAAAGCCGCCCCCTTGCTAGGTGAGTCTGTGTTCGCCTCTGTAAGGATCAGTTTGCCAATGGCTGGGTCGGCTTTCCAAAGTGTAAGTATCTTCTGCAGGAGGCGGTTTTGTCGTTCGTCCGGTGCTTCTTCAGTTGTCTGTGACGGCATTATTTCTAGGGAAAGACTGTGCGAGCTTAGTGCGCCTCTCGCAGCATCAATCTCTGCCATCTTGCGCTTGCTCGAGCGACTATCGATGTAGTCATGAATCAATGACACACCACGAGGTGACCAGCCTTGGAGCAGCTCTTCGCCCTTGATGTATGTGTTTGACGTGCTGAGACGCCACAGATCTCCAGCTTTTTTCGAGGGTATGGGTTTGACAATGACGGAGAATGTTCCACTAGTGGAGCGAACAACACGTGAAGAACTGAAGAGCGACGAGAACAGTGATGTTTGCCTCATGAAAGATCGTCCTCTCATCTGTACCGCCAAATCGGTCACGAACTCTATAGGTTCAGCTAGCTTAGGCGAGGCCATAATCCAAGCGAATGACAACTTGACACAATAGCCCTCTGCCGTTGGCCTGTCGAGCAGGAGGGATTCATGAGAGCTAGAGTCCCAGTGTGAGACGATGTGGATGCTAGTCGTACCATCAGGGTTGGTGCGGACAACCGGTGGCGATACAGGAGTCAACACCACATCTGTCTGCTGCGAGCTCAGATCAGGCACCTTGCCGGACGGATCGACTAGATGCACGTTACCAACTCGCAGCGATGTGACTTCCTGGAGGGGCAGAATATTGCCTGAAGTATGCGTCAAATTGAGTGAGATGCGACGTTGAAGACCTTGGTGTAGCTGATATGTGCCTGGGTCCATTATGTTCTTCTGCACAACCTCAACAGGCTTGTAGGATCCATCTTCTCCGATCTCGAGCACCTGAACGCGGGCAAAGACGTCGTGTCCTTCTTCGTTGTAGTATTCATGCTCTGCTATACGAGAGTTGTTGCGCTTCAGTTGAGGCCTAGCAGCTGAGTCACGCATGTCGTCCCAACTGAGTAGCTTGTCCAGATGTGTACCGGTGACTCTGGCGAATACAGATACCCGCAGAGACGAGTCGCGTGGACTGGCAAGGGGCAAACTCATGCTGTGCACGCTGTCGAATCGAACTGGTCCTTCATCAAAGTCGGATACCATCTGTGTGGTGGATGCACCGTCTTCCTCAGAGATACCTGGAAAGAAGAGCTGCGCGTGAACTTCAGTTCCTTCCTGCTCGGAGAACCCCACGAAGTCATGCATAACCACGTTAAACTTGAGCATGGACGAGGGTGCCTCAGCCGACGAAGGTTCTAAGGACAGTCGGACAATGCCGACCATCGTATTGGTGTATGGCGAATAAACATCGAGGGTAAAGTCTTGTACTCGACATTCGAACACAGCAGCTAATGAGATATCGGCGTCTCCAACCCGTGTATACTGCGGCAAGCATGACTCTGAGAATGGATTGTCCAGACGGAAATGCTTAATGTACTCTGGCCTATCCATGTATTGAAAGACCTGACGCATCAGGCGCACACGAGCACGTAGCTTGTGTAAAGACCATAGATGGACGACATTATGCTTAAAGTCGATGACTCTGATGGCGGTGCATGGCTTGCGAGATGTGTGCAGGGCCATATCGTCATCGGCGCTGATGTCGCTCAAGACAAGGTCGTATGAAGATCCGTACGTATGTCCCGCATCCGCAACGGTGAATTGAAAGACAACGTTCTTGTCCATCTGTTGACTCATCACTTGTGCTTCTTTGAGGATTGCCGCGTTTTGCAGGAGAGCAGCAGCCATGGCGACGTATCGTTGCTGACGCCAGTGCTGGATACACGACTTGACAAGATGGAGTTGCTTCTCTGTCAGGCCGGTCTTACGGTCGACAGGTTGGACGGTAGTGTTCCTGAGCTCCTTCAGTTGACGATCGTATTCGTCTTTCTGTGCTTGAAGTCGTTTTTCCATGTCTTCCTTGACGGCCTTGAGATTTTCTTCCATTTTGGTCTTCTCGGCACGTATCGTCTCCACCTCGACATTCATTTCTTGAGCAGACTGTATCTGTGCTCGGTACTCTTCTTTTTGTCGTTCAAGTTCCGTTTGAAGCCCTTCTTTGGCCAGCCGTATTGTTTCTTCCTCATCTTCATCCTGTGGCGTTGATGGCATTGTCAGAGCAGTGTCCAACGAGAAGTTCTCCAATGTTCCGTTTGACAGATATTTTTCTCTAACAGGGAACGAGCTGACTGAATCAGAGTCATCTTCGTTCAAATCAAATAGTCGGCTTTCCGGCCTGCCTCTCCTAACAGCTCTTACTTTCTGCAAATCATCAAACAGATTGTCCAGCTCGTCGTCTGTGAGAGCTGCAATCTTTTGGTCGGAGCCAAGCATTGACGAGACAGCCTCTCTTCGTGCAAGGTCGTAGTCATTCTCTCGACCACTCAGACTACGCATAGGCATTGGTGAGGTGCCTCTTGAGTCCAAGTCATAATCTGGGTTCAGCCTACTGACGTTACTCCACGAGCGATCATGACTGACAGATGGTGAAGGTGATGAGGGATCGCCGATCTCATCCGCTGTAATTGAATGCTTCAACCGGCTTCCTTCTTCGGCTCGTTCTGCTCTTGCTTCTTGTGGATGATTGAAACGGAAGATATGGAAGTCACCCAGTATGATACGGTAACCACTGCGTAGTCTCTTAGGCTGATCCACACGCTGACCGTTGACCATGACGGCGGCATTTTCTCTGGGAACTACGGTAACCACATCATCTTCGTTTTCAAATGTGCAGTGTTCGTGCAAGATCTTGGAACCATTGAGTCTGATTTCTGCAGTCTTTGCTGTGTCGACGTTACCGACCGTTGTCGTGCCAGGTTTAAGATTGTAGACCAGGCACTCTGCGAGCAACGGATCATCGCTCAAGTTGACAAGATGCGGCATCTTCTTGGGTGTTGACAAGCCAACAAACCCTTTCTCAATGCTGATGCCAAGCTCTTCCAAGGCAGCTTCACGCTCCTTATGGATGAGCTCTGTCTTTTGTAACTTTTGCTCCCAGGTCTGATTCAGATCCTGGTAGAGCTTCTCGGATTGATCTAATTGCTCCACAATTTCCGCCTTTGACACTTGTTTGACCGTGCCATCGGCTTGTGTGATGGAGACCATCTGCTTCTCCAAAGGCGTGTCCGGCGGGTATTGCTCACCAGCAATTGCACCACCTTCGCCCACACTACCACCAGTGGTAAGTTTTGAGCGTAGTTGGGCAAGTTCCTCNTTCAACTCTCTGATCATACGAGCGTTGGCGTCTTCGTTCACAACGGCGTGGTTCTTGATGCGTTTTGCAGAGTCTGCGTAACGGAGTGTAGAAAGAGTTTCGTCGAAGTTAATATCGGCAGGTGAGATGGCAGCAATCATAGCCGTCATGCTGTTGCCACCCAAAGAATCCTTCAATAGCCAGGTCAGGACCGAGTCACGATACGGAACCTGAGCATTCTTCTTNTTGGCACCAGGCTTGGCGCTGGAGAGGTCGGCCAAAGCAGCAATAACACGACCAAGTGTAGATAGAGACCGATTGATCTCAGCGCCTTCCTTTAGACGCGCGCCAGTTGCACCTGTAGACTGAGCTCTTTCTGAACCAGCCAAATCGACCAGCGAGATCTTGGCGGCCTTCTCCGTGTCCATTCCCGTGTCTGCGTCATGGCGTTTTTGGCTCAAGGTGAGGGTAAAGACAGCATGCGATCTACTACTGGTCTCGTTCATATTGGTGGCTGCGACGGTGCGGGCCTTGTTACCCTCATCCATGAGGTGATCGATCTCGGCAAAGGAGCGAACAACGAGTTTGGCGAGGTCTTCGACATACGGACCGGTCGAAGGATGTTCGCGAACTTTGAGGTTGCCTTTGGTCGAGGGATTCAACAGATCTCGGACGCGCTCGTTGTAGATCTCGAGGTACGACACCTCGACAGTACAGTTTAGGTTGTTGTCCTTTTGGGCCTCCTCGATACGCTCAAACATGGCTCTGCAAATCTTGGGGATGACACCTTCTTCCGGGCCATAACCCATCATCGAGTAGGACTTTCCGGAACCAGTCTGACCGTAGGCGAAGATACAGTTGTTGTAACCGCCAAAGGCATTGTCCAGCAACGGCTTTCCGAGATCGTCGAAGAGGTTGTCCTGGCCGGCATAACTGGCATCTTTCTTGTTGAAGGACCAGTAACTCTTGTCGAAGGCGAAGGTCTTGGACCCCTCATTGGCGGCCTTTGCATTCTTGTTGGCGACATTGGTTGGTGGAGAGAGCACCGTTTGCTCGCCTTTCATCTGCACAATACATTGTGCCCTGCGATCGATTTCNTACATGACGACAAGATCAGTCTCATGCGCATTGGTGTCGAGCGGTATGGGGGAGGTACCTCTGCTGTTGAAAGGTCGCACTCTCACCACGACCTTGATGTTGCCTCCGCCGCCCAGCGCCATGTTGGCGGTATTGTAGATGTCGTGAGTCGTATATCGTCTAGGACCAGGAGCAGAAGGATTGAGTGCGCCAGAATATAGGCGACATGGCGCGGTTGTTGATGGTTGCTGCTGCTCCTCGGTGCTTTGATTACATTGAAGTTTCCCCACAACAGCTGCGTCACTCAGCCACACTGTGGCTGGTGCTCCGAGGCGACTTGAACTTTTGAGCCGCCCAAATCTTTCCATATGCCAGGCGCATATTCGGAAGAGGTTCATGCAAGACTTCTCGATATAATCAAAAGCTCATCAAATTCTACTCGATGGCAGAGGACATGTTCAGACCTCCAGTCAACCGCGCCATGCGCGTCCTGGACCGCTCCTTCTTCCAGAAGAAAATTCCTGCCTCGGCCGCTCGCGTTGTTGACAACAAGACTATTTCCAAGTGCAGATCTGAACTGTTCAAGGCGAACGATGTTCTCCGTCTTGAAAGATATCAGATTGTCAGACCAGATCCTAACGAGGCTGATGCAAAGGCTGGAAAGAAGTGCATTCTGCTGAGGCCGCAGGTCGACGAGAAGGGTGAGAGATCATGACACAGTTACTCTTGCAACACCATCTGATACGCTTGTANNGGCGCCGATTACCCCTGGAGCAAGACTGTGTCCGAACTGGAAAAGTCCAACATGATCAACATCATCCCCTATGAGGTTCACCTTGATTATGATTACTGGGATTATCGTAAGTCATGATAGATATCCAACTGTACACGCACTAATCCCAGCANNGAGGAGATTGCGAGCGCCGTTCTTCCTCAAAGTCAAGAGCACGATGAGATTCCATCTGGATTCACTCTCGTCGGTCACGTTGCACATCTGAACCTTCGTGAACAGTACATGCCTTACAAGAACATCATCGGCGACATCTTGGTTGACAAGAACCCTGCCGTCAGAACTGTCATCAACAAGATTGATGATGTTGGTGAGGAGAGCGAGTACCGTACCTTCAAGTATGAAGTTCTTGCTGGTCCTGACGACATGGACGTCGAGATTCGTGAAGCCGACTGCACATTCAAGTTCAACTATGCAAAGGTCTACTGGAACAGCAGATTGAACACCGAACACCAAAGGCTTGTCGACTCGTTTGCCAAGGGTGAAGCCGTTTGCGATGTCATGGCTGGTATTGGACCTTTTGCAGTGCCAGCGGGCAAGAAGGGTGTCTTTGTTTGGGCCAACGACCTCAATCCCGACAGCCACGCCAGCATGCTTGACGCTATCAGCCGCAACAAAGTCGACCAGTTCGTAAGGCCGTTCAACCAGGATGGCCATGTCTTTATCAAGGACGCCGCCCACAAGCTTCTCACGACCAAGCATCATGTACAAGTCCTTGCAAAGCAAACTCGCACCGAGGCCAAGGCGACCAGAGCGCCACCCAGGGTCTTGAAAACCATCGAAGAGCCCAACACCTTCTCCCACTATGTCATGAACTTGCCAGCGAGCGCCATCGAGTTCTTGCCTGCATTCATCGGCCTGTACACAGAGGAAGACAGAAAGCTACTCCCTGCCGACTTCAAGCTTCCTATGATTCATGTTTACTGCTTCGACACCAAGAGCGATGACAACGTACAAGAAGGCATCAGCATTTGCAAAAAGATATCTGAGCAAATCGGCTACGAAGTCACACCGCAAACCCCTGAACTCAGCATCTTTGATGTCAGAGATGTTGCACCCAAGAAAAGAATGTTCTGTGCTTCTTTCCGTCTCCCAGAAGAGGTTGCGTTCGCACCCAGAAAATCTTTGCCGACGAGATAGAGCCACAAATTGTTCACCGTGGTCGCGTTGTCATTACACGTACTATATATCAAATCTGCAAAAGCTTTCAACAACCCTATCTCGCTCAAAACGCCACATGTCCATGACCGAGAAACATGAAGCCGAATGCTCGTCAGTCATGTATAAGTGCGTACCAGCGAAGAAAGTTTCTTCGTTGGCGCCATCCAGCGTCCTCAAAATTTCTCGCGGCGTTCGCCAACCAACTCGTCCTCCGGATCCTCAAACGGCGATCTCACTCTCACCTGATCATCAGTCGACGACCTCCGGCTGACAACATACTCCGCGGGCCCCATGCTTCGTCGGGCAGGTCGTGCCTCATAGACGCTAGCATTACTTGAATACAATGTACTGGCGAATGACCTTTGAGAGGGTGACCTAGCAACAGCTATCGCATTGGCGTCGGAGAAAGGTGAGGCGAGGTGAGCCATAGGAGAGATTGGCGATACTGGCGATACTGGTGAGATTGGTGCAAGAGCTGCGCTCTGTGTGACTATACTGGGCTGACGTCGTTCGGATGATGTATGGCTCAACATACTTCGTGCTCGGTAAGGTGGTGGTGGGTCTTCGGTAGTGGCAGCCGAGTGCACGGAAAACGTGTCCAGACCAGTAAAGTAAGTTGCATTCTGAGATGAAGTGATCACGAGCTGAGGAAGCTGAGGGGCTGCCGTTGCCTCATCAATCGGCGACAACATAGTTGTCTGAGTCGGACGATGAACATCAGCACTAACTTTCTTTCCTGCTACCTTCTCTATTATCGAAACCGGTGCCGCCGCGTCAGTGACGGAGGCATCTCCGTTGTTGGTGACAGTAGCACGCTTTCGTCGTCTGCGCAGGCAAGTTAAGGCCACAAGACCGCCTGCCAATATAATCACTATTGGAACAACAACGCCGGCAATCAGAGTCGTGTTTGGGCCGTGATGAGCTTTGTCTTGAATGTCCAGGCCGGGAGTCAAGCTTCCGGGGCTAGTCTCGGAGGGCGTGGCTGTGCTGGTATACGATGGAGAATATGAATGCCAGCCAGATCGCCATGCTGGTTGCGTCCACGAAAAACTGGTCGTCATACTTGGCGTGGCAGTGGTTTGCAGCGTAGTTCCGGGTGTGAGGGTTCCATCGCTCGTCAGTGACTGAGCAATTGAATCAAAAGCACTCGTCATCGTCGTCGCCGTCGCGCCATCTTCTAAAGTCGCTGTTGTTGCTCCAAAAGCAAGATCAGTCGCCGTTGAAAATGCTGACCCAGTCTTGTCGTCGTAGCCACTGCTACCAAACTGCTGGCCATTGTTACCCAGGTCATCGTTATCGACCTGTGGAGAGGCTGTTTGCGCAGCTTGTTGAGCAGAGTACAGCGACGCATAGTAAGAGCTACGCGCCGCCCAAGGAGGCTCTTGACGAGCTACAACCATTTCGACAGCGATCAAGATCTATAAAGCAATATACCGGTCTTGGTTTCGAGAGGTTGAAAGAAGCAAAATCGATTCCACGAACGTCGAAGAAAGAAGGAGGGTTCTGCTGAGGAGATGAGACATCAGCAATTCAGCCGTCTTACTGTTCTTACCTTGAGCTCCATGATGTACTGAAGTACTCTCCTCACTCATGCGGCTAAGTGTATGCGGAGGAGCGAGTGGGGTTCCGATCTGCCGCCCACGAACTTTCTGCCGATCTTTCTTGTCGTCGACCACGTTCAATTCAAAACCTCGTTCAACAACCTGCTCTCGCGACCGCATCTGCCTGCCATTCATCCTGTTTGCCGTCGGAACGGTGTATAAGCCGTCGACTCTAATCTCGGCCCGAGATACATTCCCACCACCTGCCTCAATTCTCTACTTGCAACACTTCATGCGCACCCACCTGCACATCTGACTTCTGTACTCGTATCACCATGTGGGGCTTCAATTCCCTACAGGATATATTCCCTGCTCATCACCGCTTGCTGTCTATTTATGCTGTGGTGCAGCAAGGTCATCCCGACTAAGCTTGGCCAGCCTTGTACCGGGAAGCAATAGATGTCGGCACTTGCTTTGACCGGCTCTGCGCCTCGTTGGTACTACTGTCATACGTCTCTATACGTTGACGAAGAGCTGAGTCGTTTTCTCCAATATGTGTTGCAAAGAGTCCTCACAAGCTGCAGAATCCAAGCACATAAGACGTTGTCACTTTGATCAACAAACTCACGGTGGGCTGAACCAACATTTTGAACTATCTTGTCACGCCAGTAGATAATGGTACTACAACCACGATATAGACGATGCTTTCGATAAGCGAGAAGCTATCCACTCGAAGCTATCAACCTCACATGCCTGACCAACCTGGATCAGAAAACAGTCCCGTTTTCTGCAACCACACCAGTGGCATACTTGAGTAAGACTCTTGGACTGCTGAACTTCCACCTTCATGTCCATCCTGTAGCTCGCAAAAATGACGACACCAGATCACCTGATGCGTTGATCTTCGTAATCATCTCCTGCAAAGCATCCACTTCGTCCTTCTTGATATTGCTATCGCTAATGGTACCAACCAGCTCCATATTTCTTTGATAAACTTGTCTTGCTTCGTCCTTTTTACCTTGTCCTGTCAAACTCTCCATCAACTTTCGCATCACACCTAAATACTGCGGGCTATTGTCGCCCAATTCCGCCTGCAGCAGTGGCATCAATCGCTTTGAGAGAATCTCTGCTTTTGCATATTTGTGCTGCAGGTTGAGCACGTCGATGAGATTGGACATTGCGGCGAGATCNAGTCCGAGAGGGGGACTGATGTAAAGAAGACCACGCCAGGATTTTTCGGCAGCCGCGTAATGCTTCATCTCGGTCTGGAGCATGGCTAGTGGAAACAAGGCTGAAATTCTTGGGTCAACTTGATGGGTGCTGGTTCCGTTGTCTGATGGCTGTGCGGGTCGTGTTTCCGCTGCGACCATGTCTTGTAGAAGATCTTCCAGTTGGGCGTATATGTATGTCAAGGTCATTGGATTTGTGAAGATGGATAGGCGCTCCTCTAGGATATGGGCTGGTACTGCTTGTTCGATGGCATTACGCAAGTTACTCGGTATGGATTCCCAGAAGGTGGAAAGGTCATTTGTGACCATTTTAGAAGGCAGTGTTAATTGAAAGTTGGTCATGAAGGTATCGGAGTAGCGGCATCTGGTTCTATAAAGGTGAATATCCTATGCTGCTGCCTAGTCGGCTCAGGGGCAAGGTATACGTGTACCTTCTGTAAACGAATCTTGCCCTCGAAGCGTTGTTGCCATGACATGTCACCCAGAAAGGCAAGCTCAAGTCTAAAGGTCGTTCCTGCTAACTTTGAACGTGACTTGTTCTGTAGTAGCCACCTTACGCAATCGAATGATGACACTAACAGCAAGAGCCGCAAGTCTGCCACTCACACACCCCCTTACTGGCACACTCACATCAACGAGAGACGTACTACTACAAGAACAAGCCTCGTCGACAATGTAGTCCCACGTCGTGTCGCAGGTCGATAAAACCTCCAACTTCCTCTTTTCCCCCGCGTCTACGACGTCCTTATATTTTAACGGATGTAACGCAACAACAAAACGCAGTCCACGCGAACACGGGAGAGAAGTAAAAAAAAACTCGGATTCATCGACCTTGTTCGCGACGTCTGCTTCCGAATTACTCAGCATAAGCAATCTTGCTACCAAGGTAAGGCAGGCTTTCTCTGTGTCGAGATGGAAGGACTCTCTGGGCATGAAAGAGCTGTTTTTGGTGGAATCTTGTGTGGGATATGTTAAAGTTGGTCTTATGAGCTTTTATAGGGGTAGAGGTGTGGTTGGTATTCCTGGCATGGGAGTTTGATTGTGGAGTTCCTTGCATAAAATATTGCTTGCGTCTCAAATCCCTCTGGGCTTAATCACGACTGGTTATATAAAGACCGTGGGTAGCCATCTGGTATGTCAGATGTCCAATCTCTTTGTGTCCCGCAGTGTCTCTGTCTTTAGGAAATCTATCGTTAGAAAACGCATTCTCAGGGATTCCACTCTATAGAATGGAAATCAAGAGATGGTTACGAGCACCTGATTTCTAACACCACTTCTAACATCGAATATGAGTTCGCTTGTTGCTCTAAGTGAAGTACTGCAAAAGTTCAATCTTAGGTGCTTTGATAAGAAGATATGCTTCTCTGATTGACAGCCAGAGATTTTCCATAAACATGGAAGCCGTCTAGGTAACAAGAAAGCAACGAAAAGAACAGAGGTGAGAACAAGCACAAGAATCTCCGATTTAGTAAACATGTTTTAAGAACAACCCGAGGAAGTTGCTTTTTTCATGATACCATGGTAACCCCACAATTGTAATATCACAAGATGAATGCTCGGCGGTAAGATCTACAGCATTGGAAGACACATAAACAGAACCAAGGGACGAGGTCGATGAACCGCAGTTCTCGGCTTGCAATCTCCGACCACATATTCCTATGCATACATAACAAGACTCGCTCAGTATCAGGAAGTGCAGCGATGTGGTCTAGAAATTACTGACCTATCTACTTCCTTTCCTGACTCACCCCTGATTAGGTAGACAGAAATTTGTACATCACGCCTTCATTTGCGAACTTCCCAGATTCACATCAACCACACGATAATAGGCTGATTCCAGGTTGAAAATCCTGTGTATACTATTCCATAAGATCCAGAAAGATCTTTGTGAGATCTTTCTCCAGCCTCCACCTAGTCGGCTTTTTATATGTGCTAGACAAGAAAGTTCGTTAGAAGAAGGCTGGAAACACCTTCCAACTAACAACTGAATGTATCTTGTATGAACAAAAGCAGAGGACCCCAAACTATCGCACCAAGTTCATCGTGTAGCTCAGACTCATTGGGATGCAAGAAGATGGAAAGGTATATCATGATTGAGGACTATGCAAAGCTCCCAGCTCTTTGTCCTCCATGCACACAAGTCATTTACGTGCACACCAATTCTTGAGCACAGAACAATCACAGAATGACTGGGAAATTGGCATCGAAGCCGAAGTAGGAGGATGGCACGCTTGAGTTCCGCTTGTGTACTTTGAGAGACATGCCAAAGGAGAAGGCAGAAAGGTCGGTGATGTAATAAAATCTCCTGAGCAAATCTCAAAAACATCAAGATTTTGCTTTTTACATGAATGCTTGAAGTTTTGTGCAGGAGAGAGGTAACATGGTTTCGGATACGTCGACCTGGTCGCCCTCCTTGCTCTTCGTTTTGGTTTTCTAGTCACAGGCTTGTTATTTCCAACCATCATTTGTGACCATTAATTCCTGTATCAGGATGGTGATGAGGTTGATAATGTTTATGACGGTATTATAGACACTCAGACCGCAGGTGACATGAGCTCTATAGTACTTTTTCGAAGAAATAATCGTCGAATTGCATCATGTGATCATTTCTGTATTATATGTTTCAGATTATCCTCATCAAACTACTTCATCTCACAACCTCTGCATTAACAACAACAGGTGCAACAGCTAGCCTCGTGAATTCCTTTTCCTCCGCCATCTTCGCCCTTCCAAGTTCCTCAATCTCTGCTTGCATCTCTTCGTCCTCGTCTCCCTCATCCAAATCTTCGAGTTCACTATCCCTGCTCGACACTTCTGAGAGAACCAAACTCGGGACCTCACTGCCCCTTCTTGGTATCAAGAAAGCTTCTGGAGACTCGAATCCTCTTTTCCTGTCCTCTCTGTCTCCGAACACGAATCGTTTCACTTCTGCATCGGTGACTGAGAGGCGGCCAGCAAGTGGTGGCCTGGTGCTTCTCGTACGCTTTCTTTTTTCCGACGTTGCTGAGGAGGTAGGGGTTGATGGCGCAGATGACGAAGAGAAGCTAGTAGAAGTTGGAGATGGGCAATGATGATAAATGTTGATTCGTCGCTCGTAAGCAGAATCCCAAGCTGCAGTCCAAGTATCAAAGGAGTGGTCAGGGATCAATGCTGCCTCTACGCAAGCAAGTGGTTTCGTTGCATCTTGTTTGATGGGGAGAATCGGTGTCAGAGAGTCCTGGCGGGAACGAGGCGAGGGCTGCTTGTTTCGCTCAGCGAAATATGACTCTGCCGCTCGGCCGGAGTCTTTAGAATGTGGCGCAGCAGGAGTAAAAGCTTTCATTGCGTCTCGTGCTGCATACTTGGGCTTGTACGCTTGAGGCACAGAAGCCGATGATGGAGTGGTGACTGGCTCATTTTGCAGAGCGGTAGTAGTATGCCAACCAGTAACAAGGTCCTTCGAGATCGTTCGGATCAGACCGAGACCAGGTGTCGAATGAAGAGATACTGTTGAGCGCCGGTGGCGTGGTGATGTTGAACCTCTGCGTGGAACCTGTGGTGGCGTGTATACCGAAGTTGACATTGTGCAAGATGCTTTTGAGTGCTCAGAGTAACCGATGAGATGGTTGAGATGTGACGACGTCCAAGAGAACAAAAGATGTGCTGGAAGGTATCACTCAAGCTAAGCTTGATGAATGTGATGAAGGGGTTACTTGCTGTGGATGGAAAGAGCAATCAGAGAGCGCCTGCCTGCACCGATATATGTTCAGCAGCTGAAATCAGCAGCAAGATCATGTGCAAACACACATGCCAGAAAGCCAAAACACAAGAACATCTACACAGCCCAACGAACATCGAGACAAGATCGACAGTAAGGTGGAGAGAGCACGGTGCTACATGTGAAAGGATCGAGCGCAGCACCTCTCGTCATACCAAAGTCACGTTCGGCGCAGGTGAGATGTGGTATCAGGAAGTCGCAACCGGAAGCGGTTTCGCCCAGCATCGCATCGACTGAGACCAGACGCGCTGATCATCTCAGCAGAATACCGTCAAGAGACTACGATTGGTCAGATAGCATAGGAGGAACCACTAATAGTCCAGCTGGGCTGACCAAGAAAGGGACTCCCATCAAAAACTTTGTGCCTTGGCCAACCACAAGAGCCTCAACGTAGCAAAGGGCCCATGGGGTATCGATAAACTCAACCTCTAAACCTTGTAGCCCTGAAACAGCCTCATCCTAACTCACCCTACCAATCCCGGTCCTCCGCTACAAACAAACTCCACTCCGAACAAAGACGACGTTTGACAGGTAGCTAAAGCAAAGTCTATACTCTATCGATGAAAATCAGGTCTAGCGAGTTGTATACGTGCGTACGTGTGAACGACGACTATCAGACTGCAGTTGTTGGCAACGCAACTGCAATCGCCCAAGCGACATCGACTTTCCAAATCGTATTCGCACCATGTACAGGTCCTCATCGGAGAGGGTGTTCAAGGCGACAGTCTTCGCTTGTGTACTAGCATCTCCCTACGATGGAGCAAGGAGGTCACCCAGCCCCAGAACTCTACTCCTCATCCGAATCCTCTTGGTCAAGGCTGAGCCAAGCAGTTCTGCAACGCACGGCCTCGGTGCGCACAGCTCGCTTTCCATCGTCGAGACAGCCCATCAACCGCTTAACAACCTGTCTTCTATACGGAACCACCGCCTCCCTCTTGAACTGAGTTGGGAGGTGTGTCAAGCAGCGCAGAGCAGCCTTACGAACCTGCGGTGTGTTTTCTGGGGCTGCGGTACATGCAAGCAGACGCGAGATCAACGACGAAGCGTGCTCGAAGAGTGCTGATGCGTTTTGCGTAATGATGGTTTCCACGGAGGCTAGGGTTGCGGATTTGACATCTTGATGGGCTTGATCTTGCAGATCGAGAGATTGCAGTAGAAGCGGTACGAGTGTTGACAANGAGTTCTCGATGATTGCGTAGGGCAACCATCTGAGTATTCCAGATAACGCGACAAGGTAGTTTGGTTTTACGGCCGGTTCGGCGGTTTTGCTCGAGGCCGAGATGGCAGGCACTGTCTGATTGAACGATTTCTGTTTGTAAAGGCCAGAAATGTAGCAGTGGTTCTCTTTGGACAAGATGTCGTCAGGTGCGAGGATCGTGACGAAGCCGCGGGCTGCAACGCTTCCGAATGTGGGATCCGATAATAGTTCCAACAAGCTTTGAAGATAAGCTGTTGTGTATTTGTTACTCTTGCCCTGGATCAACAAGCCCTTTGCAACAGAGAAGGCCAAGATTATCGATTCAGAAGAACGATTTTTTCCAAGCAGAGATGCTACGTCCGTAGAAGTGCTGATCAAAGATTGCTCTAGATCTGCTGGGGGTACGAACTTGTTTATTACTAAAGCAGTCTGTCGAAGAGCCGAGAGTTGCACGTTTGGCAACGTTGATGAATTGTTTGCGGTACGAGCCAGAGATCCGAGAAGGTTTGTAGCTGATTCGGGAGTCATAGTCTCACGCTGGAAAGCAGCGTTGAGATGTAACGAAGCGATGACGGCAGCTTTCGAGTAGGCATCGGATGCGTCCTCTCCGAAAGAGCTAAAAGAGGACTCATACTCCGCCAACACTTGATTCTGCAGATGCATTGTTTGTGATTTGAGAATGATGTTGCTAATACGGCCAATGATGTCGGTACTTGTGTGGTCGCTTAGTGAGCGCGAATCGCTTTCTAAGAGACCCAGGGCTTGGTCTAGAAGTGGCTTTGCAATGTCTGAGAAATACGAAAATTTGATGACTCCATCTTCAGTTCCTGGTGATCCATTGGAGAAAGCAAAGAGAATAGCCATGAGAAGCGCGTGGACGTAAGTGATGTTGGCCTGTTGGTGTAGAGCAGCCTGAAGCTTGTTCTTCAGACGCAGAACAATCGTGTCGAAGACCTGTGTCTCTGTACTAAGCTTGGTGAATGCCTCAAGCACTTTCTCGTACCCCGAGCCCGAAGTGGGGTTGTCTGGTAGCTCAGCAAGGAATGTGGGTAGAGCCTTCTCCGATGTAACGATTGGGCTTTGATGAGCGGCCACGGCCAACCCACTAATAGCCGCTCCCTCGACCTCGGAGTTTGCAGCGGAGCGTTCTTGGATGATAATATCCGTGAATGATTCAATGATGCGCGACACGTCGCTATCGGCTAACAACTTTGGAATCTTGACCATACCAATGAGACCTGCGATCGCAAAAAGACGGAATGATACTTCAGACTTGGGAGCGTTGACAACAGCTCTGAGCATGGCTTCGAGAGATTCCGCGCTCCAATCGCGTAACGCACTCTCATCAGCACGATCTGCCACGAGGACGCCTTCCGCATTGTAGATCTTCCACTGATCCGAGACATCCTTGGTCGCGCTAATCAACGAATTGAGGACTTCGATGAGACCACGTCGCTTGGCAATTGACTCGGATGACTGGAATAGCTCGAACAAGTGAGGAAGGATAGCCTTTGTCATTGTGTTGGCAAGTTCTGGAGAGGTCTTTGCAATGCTGTTGATGATGCGACCAGCGGCCTGAGATTGTTTGGTAGGCGCATCTTCGAGATGTTCGTTGCACTCTTTGATGACTGGTTTGAGATACGCGGTGAGTGCGCCCTCTTGAACCTGGCTCAATTGGTTGGCGATTGCAGCGAGAATAGCGAGCGCTTCCTGTGCCAAGTCTTCCTCTTCGACGTTCAGAATCTCAAACTTGAGCGAGTCCCAAAGTGTGACCGAGTACAAAGAAATGGTAGTGGGCTCGTAGTTGACTACGCAACCCTTGATAGCAGCTAGAACATCGCGCTTAGTATTGATAGAGCTAGAATCAAGCTTATCGAGAAGGGCCGGGAACGAGTACGGAGCGAAGTCCGAGGATGCGGAAATGCAGTCCTGAAGGCGTCCTTTGAGATCCTGTGCAGTGATACCGTAAGGGTCACCTGGTGGCGGCTTGAATGTAATAGGGAAGTAGTTGAAGACCGAATCGAACAGATCCTGGGCATGCGGACCAAGGTCCCACTCGGTCATAGGAACTTGAAGGATTGAAAAGACAATCATCAGATTTCTAGGGTCCTTCTCTCCGTCGAAGTAGGTGATGAATCTGGCCAGGAAGTCATGGTCGTCGTTATGCAGATCCTTGAGCGCCTTGCGATAGTTCCTGAGTAGCAGATCCAATAGTTGAAGGATTGTGAAACGCTCGCTTTGCAGCTTGTGGTCCCTGAGAGTCTGAGAATCACTCACGAAGCTATACCAGTATTAGTCGCGTGCTTTACTGCCTAATTGGACCGGAACAACCCACGTATTTGCAATGTTGGCCGCAGTATCCGAGTCCCATTTACCCAGCTTCTCCAGGGCCATAAGTGCCCTTGCACAATGGCCTGTACCCTCGCTATCATCGGCAACTCTGGTAAGAATGAAGCCGCATAGGAGATTACGCTGTTGACCCTTCAAGACCTTGGGGGCGACTTGTTCCAGGACATCAGCCAGGTAGGAAAGCGACTTGATTCGCATGTTTGCATCCTCGTGATTGATGTATTCTCCGGCATTTTCGATGAGTTGGACGAGCTTGAGGTCCCCATTGGCAAGAGCAGCAGCAGAACTAGCGGCCAGCCTTCCAGCCTCGTCCTTGTTCTTGTCGGCCTCGACCAGGTAGAGCTGTATGTCGGACATGGTCTCGTTGTGTTACAGTCAATGGTCTAGTCCAGCACCATCTGGATTGCCTCTTTAGGTGGTTTCTTTGACGGAGATGATTTTGGAGGGCGGCGGGCGTGTTACGCAAATGACGTGCGTATGTTTTGGACGGCGGAGGCCCAAGCTCTGCGGAGTTTCTGGCCGCTGATTGGGCAGGCGCATTGCCGAAACATTTTTTTTACATGATGGCACAGGTCTTGGTGGGGGAGTGTGACTCGGAAGACATAGGAAAGATTTGAATAGGGCAGGGACAAAGTGCGCTCTTTCTTTGTTTGTACTCACTCTTGTCGCAGGTTATTAAAGAAAGGCTTCAACAGCTATAACAAACCCTTTGAACCCACATTCAGAGACGATTGACTTGGATACGAAGCCATCATTATGAGCACCAACCCCACTTCGTGCAAGGTCGTCCTCGCGGCCAACATCGCAAAGAAGCTCCAGGCGGAGGTGGCCGAAGGACTGGCCAAATTGAGTCGCAAGCCTCACCTGGTCGGCTTCCTGGCAAACAAGGATCCAGCGGCGCGCATGTACGCCGACTGGACCGGCAAGACCTGTATCGACAAGTGAGCCCGACCTTCTTCTGCGAGCCCCCTACTCACCCCCTTGAGGGCCACCATGAGAGGGCGACAAGACAAGCTGTCTTGGGCTAACATGATCANNAGTGGCTTTGCATTTACCCTGCGCGAGGTTGAGCGTGAAGAGCTCGAGGAAGCCATCCGCGATGCCAATGCCGACGACAGCGTAGACGGCATTCTGGTCTACTACCCCGTCTTCAACACCTCGCGCGACCGCACCATCCAATATGTCGTCGACATGCACAAGGACGTCGAGGGCCTGTCACCCAAGCTCATCAACAACATGTACCAGAACATCCGCTTCCTCGACCCTCCTCACAACACTCAAAAGTCCATCCTGCCTTGCACTCCTCTCGCCATGATCAAGATCCTCGAGTACCTCAATATCTACAACACCATCTTGGACTACGGAAAGAGACTTTGGGGCAGAAGAATCACAGTCATCAACAGAAGCGAGGTTGTCGGAAGACCCCTGGCTGCTCTGTTGGCAAACGACGGTGCCGAGGTCTACTCGGTCGACGTCACTGGTGTGCAGAGATTCAGCAGAGGCCAGGGTCTGCGCAACCAGCAGCACGTTGTCGAGGAGAAGCCCGGTATGACAATGGAGGACTGCCTTGCCATCAGCGACGTTGTCATCAGCGGTGTGCCCGGCGACAAGTTCAAAGTCCCCGTCGAGAAGATCAGAGATGGTGCCGTCTGCATCAACTTCTCCAGTGAGAAGGTTAGTTGTTCCCGGAACGGTAAAAGAATCGGAAGACTAACTAAGACCTCCCAACACAAACAGAACTTCACACCTCAAGTCAAAGAACACGCCTCAATCTACGTGCCCGCAGTCGGCAAGGTCACGATCATGATCCTGCTCCGCAACCTCCTGGTATGCACAGCCATGGCCACTTACTTCAAATCCCTCACCCCTGCACAACTCCTTGCCATGAAGTCCGTCGAGACGGAAGAAAATACATCAAACCATCCCCTTGCTTCGGAAGAAAACACTTCAACCCCTCCCATCGATTCAATGCTTTCATCAAGCATACTCGAAGCTCCCAAAGACGTTGAGATTTTGCTCAATCAAACTGCTGACGAGTTGCAGCGCATGGTGCAGAACAACCCTGATGTTGACGCCAACCCGGCGGAGGCTATTGAGAAGAAGGGTACTGTCGAGGAGGTTGCTGCATAGATTGGAAGTTGAAGTGTGAGATGAGCATGGCAGGGGTGAACCTGGAATTGGCGTTTTTCGATCGGATATAAAGGATAGGGGGCGGAAAGCTTATAGACATGGGCCGGTAGCAATGACAAGATCTTTGGAAAAAGAAAAAACATTAAACCAGTCTGATCATCAACATGCATGAAGGTGATTCACAGTTTATTTCATTGTTTTTGTATTTCTTCTTATCCCGAAAGAAAGAACCATTTGATTTGATGACCCTGAACTCCACGCTCTGAAAAAGAACACGACAAGTACTTTTTTTCCTTTTGTTGATCAACGATAACCAACATGTTGTGTTGGCGATTTGCGATCAATATGCATGCTCTAGTGCCAGCAGCCAACCATCTCTTGTTTGCTTAGACACGAATCTTCTTGATCTCGACACCACCATCGGTCTCGACATCCTCGCCTTCGTCGTCGGAGACAACAGGGCCGCCCTCGGTGTCGTCGTCTCTGCTTCTCTTGAGACCCTTCATCTTTCTCGTTTGCATGTCGTTGAGGTCTTGCTTGCCGAGATGGATGCGGCCGACCTTGTCGCCGATAATGTCGGTCTCGATGTTCTTCTTGCTCTTTGCCTGTGATTGATTTGGTCAGTGGACTTGCGGATCGGCAATAAATAGTAGTAGGACGGCAAAAAAACATACCTCCAGACCCTTGGGCTTCTTCATGGCAGCCTTCATCATATCCACATCGGCCTCCTTGACTCTGCCGACGCGGAAATCCACTCTGGGACCCATCTCCTCGACCTCGACTCTCGGCAGCGATTGGCCAGACTTTTTCGTGCTGATCATGTATGTGCGCAGACAGATCTTGGGCGCGGGCTGGGCATCCTCCTCTTCAGGCACGGAGATGTGCACCATGTACTGCAAACCCTCCACATCGACATTATTCGTGTCTTCACCCTTGAAGAAGTCAAGAAGCAGAGATTTGGCCATGGTGTAAGTGTTTGAGACGGGCGAATCAAACGCAGTTCCGGAAAACGAAACCAAAGGCTTGAGTCCCACGCGAGCTTTGGCAGATTTAAACTGCGAAATCGTCCGGAAGGTATCCACATCAACATGCAACTCCAACATCTCCAACACCTTGTGGTCGAAAAACCTCACAAACGTGACGGTATGGGGACGCTTCTTGCTGTGCGAGCCAAACACCATGAGACTGCAATCATTCTTCTCTGCGAAAAACTCCAGCGACGAAGGGTCTTCGAAAGGGTGAATGTCGTTTTTCTTGGTGAACTTTTGGGCCAAGGGCCGTTTGAGTGAGTGTAGGTCGCCCATGCAGAGTTGGACGATTTCCGAGCACGACGTGTAGCGCAGGAAGAGGGTCATTTTNGCGTTTTCGTGCAGTTGGGGCGCTTTCTTTTCGAGGGCGCGCTTGCTGCGCGCGTTCTTGGGTTTGCTGTGTAGCTGGGTCAGCGTGCTGGTCTCGGTAACCGCTCGGTCAGGATATGCGCACATCTGTCTCAACATCATATTGGCGGCTCGTCTGTCTGTCGTTGTTGTATAGGAGCAGTTGAAGGGTTTCTGGGCGGAATAAATATTCCAATGCAAGGCAAACTTCTGAAAGTCTCTCGGTCCTCTTTTGCGCTTATCGATAAGCTCGAGGTCTTGGCATCTCTTGCGGTTGTACCGACCCTGCCATCAAGTACTCGGCCATTTATCTTGAGCTCTGTCTTCGCGTTACTGGCGAGCAGATGTTTGCAGATACTAGAAAAGATTCTGTATTCACATTTCCATATGAGCTGCACGTTGACTGGTGAGGTAAGAGACATGAGATCCGTCCGGCTCGAAACCAATCCGGCGTCGCATTGCTGTCCGTTCACTGAACATATGACTTTTGGTCAGAATACGGAATGCAGTCATATCGACATGTGATATTCACATTATTGAATTATATACCAAGACTAGGTGCAGGCGTAGGACGAACCCTGCCACTTCTTCTGATATTTGCATAAGTCCTCCCCAACACTCGCATCTTGCTCAGATACGGATCATCATCCAGATAAGCGCCTCTAAGCCATCTTTCGCCACCAGCAAATGCTGTCCTGGCATGCAGAACACGGCGGTTGTCAAAGACCACACACTCACCAGGTGCCATTTGCCGGCTGTAAATATTCTCTTTCATTTCTGTCATATTTCGAAAGATTTGCGCCGCTTCATGCCATGCTCGTATGCTCCTGGCGAATGCCACATCGCCCTTGGTGTGGTTGAAGGGCGCTTGGAATGGGGGTGCCCAATTCACCGCCGCCATATAATTCCACACACCGTGCAGCTTCTCAGGCAGTTTGTTTATGCCCTCGCGCAGTTGGAACGTGCGTCGACTGCGAAAGTAATGGTGATTGTCATTGTCATAATGAAAGTTGACTGGCGTCTCGCAAAGAGCCTCGAACGCGGCCTGGTCCATATCATAGACTGCTTGCATAGATTGGTAAGCATCGCTGAACAGAGACACGCCACCTTGATCAGATGCACGAAGACAATGCAGAAGCTGCAATCTCGGAGGTTGCTGCATGTAGAGCAGATCCATGTGGAAGCCAAGATGCACATCAGTGTAAGCAACGTTCTTTGCGTTCGAGACACTGCGCACATCCCATGTCTCGCCGTAAAAAGTGTTCTTGAGAGGCCCGATGCGGTTGGCCGTTTGAATGACGGATGATTCTGCCTCAGGGAGGTTCTTGATGAATACCAGGCCAAACATTTGAAGTTGTTCTAGCATGCGGAAGAGCACCTTTTCGTCCGACATGTATTCGTTGTATTCGAAATCGACCATGCGTTCCTCAAGCACGGACTTGTTCCAAGCCCATTTTCCTCCTGTATATTCATGAGTCTTTGGATAAAGCGTCGAACGTACGAGGAGTTTGTTGGATAGTCGAGTTACATGATCAGGACCAAAGCCGTGGACATCATGTTTCCAGGTGATGACAGTCTCGCTATCAGGCCCGGACCCAGAATCCAAGGATCTGATTCTGATGTTGGAAGGAATATCGGCAGAGTCAAAGCGTTTCTGACGCGTTGATATGTCTACGCACTGGGAACAGGCGCACGCGTCGCGAAGGAAGATGTTATCGAAAATCTTGCCCCTGATGCTAACAGTCTCCAAAGGGTTGAAGTTGGTATCTGCGAGAGGTGTCTCAGTTGGCATCCTGGCAGTCGGCTTGGTTCGAGTGGGAGGTTTCCGTAGTGCTTCTGAAACCATGGGAGATGATATCTTGCGCGGCTTGAATCTTGCTGTTGTTGAAGGTTCCTCGGCTTCTGTATCTTTCGATTCTAGGTTGAGCTCTGCAATAAGGATCGGTGAGGTCTCCGGGGCAGGTACAGTGGGGTCAAGGGTACGCTGTGGTGCTTGTGACTGCTCTGATGCCTCAGTCAATGGCCGTGACTGCTCTAATTGCTCGATTGATGTTTGTGACCTGTGTGTCGCAGCCTGTTCTGGCAATGTGTGGTTGCCGCCTTGGTCAGGAGAGGCTTTGTAGACTGGAGGCGGTACGCGACGAGGCTTGTACCCGTCGGTAGCAGTCCTTCTTTGTGACTCAGGCAGCGTCTCTTTTGTGGGCTTGAATCGGGGTGGTGAACGAGCATTCTCTCTGCCAGCCGTCTTGGTCCTTGGATTCGAGGATTCTTGGGTTGGCTGAGAAGCAGTACCTGGTTGGTGGAGAGTGCGGAATGCAGTGTGAGGGCCCCGTTGACGGGTCTGCTGTTGGACATCTTGTTGTTCGTACTGCTGTTGGACAGTTTGTTGGTCATACTGCTGTCGGGCGGGTTGTTCGGGCTGTGAGGACTCGGGTGTACGAGGAGGATGGTCGCGAGGCTTGTTAAGGTCAGGATACTCTTTCTCCATCAGGTCGAGCATCTCGTCGTAGCTTGCGCGCTTTGCGGCGGATGTCTGCCACCGGCGGGCGAGACATTGTGATACGGGCACATGGCGTGCTCTGCGCAAGACGGCAGCTGCTGGTCGCACCGCTGCACTCATTGCCTCTTTCTTGAATCAAGCAAGAACCAGAAGCGACGATCGAACAAAACAAGCGGTTGTGGAAAGAGCGACTGACTGTGGAGTTTGACCGCGGCTCCCAAGCTTTGTCCGCTCCTTCTTCCTCGGCTCTCCAGATTCAACTCGCTCTTTCCTCCAAACCGGCAGATGCATGTCTGAGAACAAGGTCGAGCAGCTCCGAGATGAGGGTTCTCGCATCCAAGTTGTCGCCGCTGGCGCCATAGCCGGCCTCGTCTCAAGGTATGCGCCTCCCCTCTTCTAACCAGAAAGTCACTGACAGAACATTTTGCGCCNNAGGTTCTGCATCGCTCCTCTGGACGTCGTCAAGATCCGTCTACAACTGCAGAGTCATTCTCTCTCTGATCCGCTATCATACGCTCAGAACGTGCACAAGGGTCCCGTGTACAAGGGCACCCTCTTCACCCTCAAGACCATTCTTCGTGAAGAAGGCTTGACCGGTCTATGGAAGGGCAACGTGCCCGCTGAGGGCATGTACCTGGCATATGGAGGCATTCAGTTTCTGGCATATCGCTCTGCCACACAGGCCATCGATGAGCTTACGCCCAATTACAAGCTTCCAGGCACTGCTGTCAGCTTCATCGCTGGAGCTGTTGCCGGCACAGCTGCCACCACTGCCACATACCCTCTCGATCTTCTTCGCACCCGCTTCGCTGCTCAGGGAAACGACCGCGTTTACAACTCTCTCCTGTCATCCATTCGCGATATTTCAAGGAATGAAGGTCCAAAAGGCTTCTTTCGTGGTCTGGGTGCAGGAATTGGCCAGATTGTGCCATACATGGGTCTCTTCTTCGCTTTCTACGAGTCCATGAAACCTGCGTTTGCTGGTGTATCCATGCCTCTGAATTCGCTTGGTTCTGGCGACGCCATAGCTGGTGTGCTGGCCAGCATGATGTCCAAGACGGCTGTCTTCCCACTCGACACGGTCAGAAAGAGGTTGCAAGTTCAGGGCCCCACAAGAGCAAAATATGTGCACAAGAATATACCCGTCTATGACACTGGTGTTTTTCGCACCCTGACCTCAATTGCAGCCAAAGAAGGCGTACGCTCTCTCTACAGAGGCTTGACTGTGGGCTTGTTCAAAGCTGCTCCCGCCAGTGCCATCACTATGTGGACGTATGAAAGAGCTATTCACAGCTTACAGTCATTCGAGGTCTTGGAAGGAAAGCATTGAGTCACACGGGAGCAGGGAGCTCGCCGGTTTGCATTGATGGCCTTGATGGTAGTCCTTTTATCTACAATTGAGATGCAAGTTTCAACCATACCGCTTTCTATCCCTTATGAACACTTATTCCATGCTGTCGTCGCGCTTACCTACACGCGACCTCTCGTCTCGGAGCTCCGAAACCTCAGGCTCATTAATGCCGCAACACCGGTCACTTCGTACGTACCTGAGCTCGCCATGTCCCTCCTCCGGAGCTATTCCCCTTGTAACCGTGTGTCGCATGACACCAGACGTAATCAACTAAACCCAAAACATGTCATGCCCAGCGTGGGGTAGCTTTCCCTCGCTCTTGCTTTCTCTGGAGATCATCACGGAACTTGTCAGGAGACCGCCCTGATTGCAGCTTCCGACTTGTCGTCAAGCAATCGGCCTGCGTATGAGCTGGCAATTGTTCGAGTGCTATCTGTTTGGTTGTGGAACTGTTTGCTGCTCGAATTGACAATCGTGAGAAGGTCGCACCCCCATGTGAGCGTTTCAGAGCTCTCTCAAGGTTTACCCGCTACTGCACGCCTTCCGTTGCCATCCTATGGCACGCAGATCCATGTGCGGGGTAAAAGTATGGGGAAGAGGGCAGTTGCAGGTACCTGGGAAGGAGCGTGATGGATCAGCTCACCCCAAGCCTGAAGAGGGAGCTTCCTCATAGCTAAGCTCTTCTGCCTGCGACTACAAAAGCCAGGCACCTGCTGTTCCTCCTGCCTCTTTCTTTCTCTCCCATCGGCTCATCTGAGTCTCAAACAACAACTTTCAATTACCTTTCCAACCCCCACATTACAATACCGGCACGATGAGTGCAATCGCTGAGGACGGTGATGGCACTATGCCCGAGCCCGTCAAGGTCCTGTTCACTCTCCACTCAGGCCTGGATGCCCTCGACTTCATCGGTCCTCTTGAAGTTCTCAGCCATGCTCGCCATGACGCCAATGACCCTGGTAAGTTGCACCAAGAGCATCACGTGCTCGTGTATCATCATTTTGAGAGCTCAGTAACTGATCGATTTCCTCGCAGGANNAGCAAGGCATTTGAAGTTACCTTTGTCGGCGACTCCGACTATGTCACGTCTGCTCAGGGCGTCTCGTTCAAGACCGACATGACCTTCCGCGAGGCCCACAAGCATCTCGCCAACTACGACGTTGTCATCGTCCCTGGTGGAGGCACGGATAACATCCTCAGCATCCCCTACTTCGGCAAGAACAAGGCCACCGAGCCCATGGCTCTGATCAAGTCGTACGCCGAAATCCAGACCAAGAACCCCATGANNGAGAGAACTCTCATGTCGGTCTGCACTGGCTCCCTCTTTGTGGCCGAGACTGGCATCCTTTCTGGATTGTCGGCCACCACTCACCCCGACTACATGATCAAGATGGAAAACCTCAACCAAAGTGTTTCTCATCGCGACATGTCTGAGCGCTTCGACGTCATGGAAGAGCGCTATGTCGTCAACAACCTTCGCTTCGACATTAACGAAGAGGAAGACAACCCCTACATCCGCAGACGCTCCGACTCGCACTCGGGTCGTCGTCCCAGCAATGCTCGCAAGGGCAGCTTTTCTTTCAAGCAGAGCAACACTCGTCGTGAGAGCAATGCCAGACGTGCTCAGCTCAAGCTTGGTGGCCTTCGCGTCATCACCAGCGGTGGCATTTCGACTGGTCTCGATGCTGCCTTCTATCTTGTCAGCGCTCTGGTCAGCCACGAGTCGGCCAACGAGGTCGCTCGCAAGATGCAGTACGAATGGCACAAGGGTGTCGTTTGCAAGGGTGTTGATGTCTGATTGACCCCCTCATGTATCAACAAAAGCTCGGAAGTCGACGTGACTGTCGTTTCCAGTTTGCAGCAAGCATTGCAGCAGGAAGCGCCTCTGAAACACGAGGCTCTCCTCGACCAGCAATCGCTATGAGAATTGCTTTTGTACTGTTATGGCATTTTTCGACCTGGAACATGGTTGAAAAGATGGAAGAAACTCCAGAAAACCCTACATGACTAGCTAGCTATACAGCTTGATGATGAGAATGAGATATGAACACTTTTACAAACATATTGGATGCTCGTGTACCTTTCGTGAGCGAGCGTGACAGAGGAGGCAGGAGCGAAACAGCAGATGGAGTGAGGTGCAACGCGGAGAAGACAATGCCAAGACCCGCAAGACCCCGCGGTGACTTCCCAATCTGACGTCGAGCGCTGCCCCTCCAAACCCGTCTCGTTCTTGTAAAGACGCAACTCACCAAACAATCATGTCCGAGACAGCAACTCTTCCCCCTAGACAGGTCGTGTACTGCGGCGGTGAGTGTCATCGACTGCTTCTTCCCAATCTCTTACTGACCTCGTCGTCACAGTCTGCAGTCTCCCCCCCAGAAGTAGGTCAGGCAGCGCGCCAACAAGAACATGTCAAGAGCAAGGGAAACTGATTGGACATTTCAAAACAGTACTGTGAATTCGGCGGCACGACAAAGAAGTGCGAAGAATGGCTCGAGTCCAAGCACCCCGACCTCCACACCAAGCTCTACTCTGAAGGTCCGCTTTCGACCCATCCTCACCGCCTCACAATACTCTTTTTCCCCATCTATCCCTCGACTCTCATATCTCCAGCCCACCACTGACCGTCTCGCAAAACAGATGCCGTAGCAGCCAACCTCTCCACCCTCTCCGTCGATGCCCAAAAGCGCGCCGAAAAGGACGCAAAGAAAAAGGAAGCCAAAGCCTCTGCCGCCGAAGCCCGCCGCGCCGAAGAACTCGCCACCTCCAAGATCATCATCAAGCGCGTCGAACGCAACAAGCGCAAACACGTCACCGAAGTCTCCGGTCTGGAAGCCTTTGGTCTCGACATCAAGAAGGTTGCAAAGGAGCTGGGCAAAAAGTTTGCGACTGGAAGTTCTGCGACGAAAATGCCTGGTGGTGTGGGTGAGGTCATCACCGTGCAAGGAGACTTGAGTGAGGATATCTTGGAGTGGTTGTGTGACAAGTATGAGCAGGTGCCCGAGGACAACGTCGAGTTGGTCGAGGACAAGAAGAAGAAGAACAAGGCTGAGCCGCCCATGGTTGCGCCTCAATAGTGCATCACTTTGGGAAGATGATACCTGTTGAGAAAGCTTGGATCTTGACGCTGCTAGCATGATCAGTGATGACTGGGGAGGTTTGGAAACTCATGCATAAAAAGAACTACGATCCTCGGTTGAATTCTGCCCGCAAGGTGATTATTGAAGATACAAGATCCCATTGAGCTGATATCAGTGACCTCTGAGGAAATCACAGATGCCACGACATGTTTCGGTCTCTTGACAGGTAAGCTCGAGAATGCAGCCGGGACCAATTTATGATATTCAGCCGTCTTGTGCTCTCCCAGTTCGATCGTTCCTCGGCACTCGTTTCGACTTTTGTCTAGAACACGCCTCACGGTGGTCGCTCAAGTATGGTGTTTTGCCCAGAGACGTGGTGGTCTCGCATTACATGTACACGAATCTTATAATTAATGGAGTTTGCGGAAGCAGATGCTGAACTGGTAGATCCGATGGTAAGAGTGTTTCTCTAGTTCCTCTCCAGACTGTTGCTACTTTGGTGGCTTCTTGCTTACTTTTCTACTTTGTTGTAGCGTGTATCTGACGGAATGGTCACAATGTTTGGAGCGGATTCGCAAGCGGATACTTGGTCTTGTGTGGAACCGAAGATCGTAATGTAGCTGCTGTCAGCGGTCCTGAAGGACCTGTTTTCGAGCTTATCATCGTAGTTCAAGATGCGTGCGGCGAATGCGCATTGTAGCGTAGAGGTTTTTGAGTATGGCTGGCACTTTCATCATAGTAAGGAGTGACGAGGTGCGGAATAGAGGAGATGCTTGATATTTTATGAATTGGAAAGGTTCAATGCGCGATGAGGATCTCGCGTTGGCAAACGGCAAGCGCAAACAAGCAAATACGCTCTGACGGGTGCTTGCTTTCACACCTTCTTCCATCTCCAGATACAACCGAGCAGCCGCTTTCTCGCCGTCTTTCTCGCGACTTCTTTTACACTCTCGGCCACTTTCGTCTCGATAGCCACAGCATTTACATCTCCAACATCCTGTAGACTCTCGATCTCGTCCACTTCGGCAATCTTCCAGCTTCTCAGGAACAGAGCACACACAGCTGCGCCAACGTACATGAATCCAGTGAAGAGCTGTGCTCCCAAATACCCACCATCGAACGATACAATCTCCAGACCAATGGGCTCTGAAAATGTGCAAGGAATGACGAGAACCAGCCAGCAGATGTTCAACGCAGCGGGGACGTTGCGCAGACCGACGACCTCGGCAGTGACGGGGGCAATGGTCGTCCAGAATGTTCCTGCGACCGAGCCACCAAAGATAGCGTAGAAGATGAGAACGCCAAAACTTTTTGCATTTGTCCAGATGACGAGGGCAAAGAGGCCAGAGATGAAAGTCATGAGAGTAGCCATGTTGATGCGACCAATGTTGTCACTAAAATATCCTATAGGTGGACGACCAATAGCCTGACCGAGATTGAAGATAGCCGAGACGGTAGAGGCTTGAGTTGCTGTGAGACCGACGCTGCGGGCGAAATTGGCTAAACTGAAGAGCAAGACCACATATGCCAGCATACTGAACCAACCGAAACCTGTGAAAAACATCGTTAGCCAGCTCAAGTGTGGTGGATGTCAACGAGCATANCCTAGCAACAGCAGATACTCGGTCCGCTTGAACAGCTGCACGTCGAATGCCAATTGCGAACTTCCAATTGCCTTGTTTCTGTCTCTCACCAACATCGCACATATACCATTGACCACACATGCAATGATTCCCAGTACCCGGAAGGCCCATGGCAATCCAATACTGGGAATCATTGCACCAGTCGCCAACGAGTAGACCAAACCTCCCAAACCAGACCCGGCAGTAGCAATACCATTCGCCAAACTTCTTTTCGTGGTGAACCACTGAGGCACAATACCCACGGATCCAACAAACAAGAATCCCATGCCAAAGCCGAAGCAGACACCTTGACTAAGGAACAGTTGCCATATCTGACTCGCAAAACTTGCCCCGATCAAACTTGCAGTCTCGAATGCTACCCCGGTAAACAGCGTTGTCTTGGTCCCGAACTTGCGAGTAAAGATTGTAGCCACTGGTGAGACGAGCAATGCACACGCAATTGACAATGATCCAACGAAGGCGAATTCCAGATAAGTGGCTCCAGGGAAGACGTCGTTGGCCAGATAGTATGCGAGAAACACACCGTAAGAGGAGTTCAGTCCCCATGTATGAGCATTGATGATAGCTACACAAGCGACACAAACCCAACCATAGCCACCATTTGGTGCTGGGGGTGGTTCAGTCGCAGGGATGACGTCGGTGGTTGGTTGTTCAGTATTCACAACAGCCGCTGGTGACGACTCTTTCTCGACAGATATGCTGGTATCTGAAGCATTCATGTCGTTGATCCGGTCCTTCTCCTTGTCGACATTGTCGATGGAAGAGTTTTTGTGATTCATCTGTGCCGAGGCTGAAAAGTGTACAATCCTCGCAATGCTGACATGCTTTGCTCCAATTGGCAAGACTGATGTCTGAACTTCGAGATGGAAGGTGGACTCAAGGGAATGCAATCGTTATATGAAATATACAAGTAGATACATTGTGCCGTGTTCCGTCATGTGTCATGGCAAAATGAAAGCATCAAACTGCTCAAAGGCGGAGGTGCATGCGGAGAGCAGATTTGCTCGGCTGCCGATTAGCCGACGATATGGGGTATTGAAGTGTCACCCTGTCTCTGTTTGCCATAACAATGAACTTGAGACCATGGCCGGAAGTGGTTGTTTTTGAATACTTGAATATTTATAGAAGTTTCCTGTCATCGTCTTGATGCTCGCTCTGAGCACCTCTCTGCGTGTCGATGTCTTGTCATAAGTCGAATAGTCCAGATTCAGGTGATAGATTGTTTGTGTCTTCCCGCAGTTCAGTAGCCAGCTCTCATTCTCAGAAGGGCCCTTACCAAGACATCGAATATCATGCATGTAAATTACGTAGTCAACATGATGCACAAACTCAGTCGAAGGAACAAAATGACCGCAAAGAAGAAAGCTGATACGGGACATCCTCGGGCAATCTCCTCGAGCCTGAATTCTTCCATGACTCGGCCGGCCTTGCTCGAGTGCTGTTTGATTAACCTGCTGCCTACACGTGCCTCTCCAATACCATCTACGGACGTAAATCTAGTCATGACATGCAATGAACCAGACTTCACCTGAGCCGTTTGCTTGCGACGACTTCTCTTGGCCCACAGGGGCTTCTAAGAACGTTGAGATGGTCCATAACCAATTGCTTGATCCGGCTAAGCATGAGAAGCATCGTCTAATAATGGCATCTGTACCCAACTTGGTGATTCGAATCGAGAGCGCGACCTCAATGATCTTTGGTATAAGCGCCTCAGGATCGTATTCTAGGCTTGGCACGGTCGTGCACTGCACCATCAAGGAATATTTGCTGCGCCGATTATGGATGATCCCTATACAGATTCCAGATTGTCACCGAACACAGGCTACTTCAGAGGTTGTGACCATATCTGGACTTCTCCAGTGTTGAAAAACTGGCACATTCATGGCTTGTGTCAGGCAGAACTCACGGTATGCATCTGATGGTGCATCCTGGATGGAGAAGAGAAGGAATCGGATGGGCGGCCGTCCCGACAACCTGGGTCAGTTCAACCGGAAACAACAGGTCCAGAACTCTTCACCGCGAGTGACAGAGCTAAGTCTTGAGTCAGGAGAATGTTAGTTACACAAAAAGGCTGAGCAGATGCATAGGCCGCATCCACATCACCAACGCTCATATGTATAGCGCACGAAGGATCAAAAGCATAACTTGGGTCCCCAGGCTGCCATTTGTGGCTCCCAAACATGTGGCACGGCAAGAGTGTGTGTATGTCCTTGCTTGGTTTCAGGAGAAGAAGGTCAATCTCTCTGGCCTTGGATCCTCAAAGCCCTTCTTCCTCGAGTCTCCAGTGTTTTCTCTGCTCTTCAGATTGCGTGAACTGACCTTAACCTTCCACTGTGAGGTTCTTTCTGGACTACTCGTGCATTATGATGAACGTTTTGTCAGAAGCAGTGCCGTTGTGAGTGTTTTGTCCCCAATAAGCAAGGTCTTTTCATGTTAATTGTGTCAGTGTTTGGGCTGTGTGCGCTGCAGTGTCGACGGTTTCTAGTAAACATGTCTTGCTTGTTGACAATTATCGTAAGAAGTTTTCATCACGACCGAATTACAGCCCTCGCTAATGTATGGTATCAGACTATCGTACGTGAGGGAATAGTATAGAAATGTGGCTATCGTCGCTGACCTTGCCAGCATTCTCGCTACTTTTTCTGCAGCTCATCGCCGCTGCGGCTTTGCTTGCCCTTCGGGACTTGTATTACCAAACCAGAATCTCCAATGGTCTTGGCTCAATATCACCTTTTGATATCCCCCCAACTACGAGATACTTACAGCGAACCTCAAAACTCGTATTGCTGTCTGCGTGTCTGGCAGTCTTCTTCCCGCTGTGGATACAATCAACGCTGCACTTCGAGAACATCACGGCACTTCTGATGATCCTGGTAGGCATGCTGTGCGCATTACCTACTTGCACCAATACTGACATTGATAAAGCCATTGATCTCATGTTTTGACTTGTCTACAAAGCACACTTGGTTCTTTGTCGTCGCCGCTGGCTTTCTAGTCTTGTTCGACGACTACAAACTCATACCTAACGGCTTGTTCTTCGGCATACCTAGCATACTCATTCTCGGTGTGGCATACGCAATCTATCACGACTATACGGCTAGCTTTGGACTACGTCGGACGGATGAAGATCAAACTTCATGGCTACCGGTGATGATTCTACCCATCATGTCTGCAACGGCTTGCTTCTTGTTGTTCGAAAGCGAGCATGAAGTTGCATTGACTTGGGACTATGCACCTATGCTTTGTCTGAACTTGACCACTACCGCTGTTGCGATTACACTATGGTCATCGGTGCTCCAACAGACTAAGGAGAGCACAACGCTTGGTATCGCTTTCTTTACAGTAGCAGGATTTACAGCTTTCATCTCTCAACAATTGGGGCTGCCTGTATACTTGAGCTACGTACAAGTTCTGGCCTTCTTGATATCCGTCACATGTTGTGCTGTTGGGAAACTCGGCAAGTCGGATCATGGTTCCTCACCCGAGCAGGGCTGGCTCGAGCTACCCATGGAGTCTGACGACGTTGCAAAGCCGAGCAGATCATCCATCAACAGACTCATCTCTAAAGTCAAGGAACGAAAAAGATGGATCATGTACCAGAGACCACCCCAACTGATCTTTCTCATCATCACAACAGCAGTCTGGGGATATTTCCTCACCACGAACCTCTCGACACAACTTGCGAAGCACACATCCCACGACTTGCGACTGGACACCTCTTACAGAGCAAGCTCCAACATCGACATCGTGATGAGCATGTACCGCGAAGCGCCCTCCCACATAATTCAAACATTCTCACTACTCAACTCTATCCCTTCCGTTGGCTCCAAATCACCCCGTCTGATCCTCTACACCAAAGACCCTGGCGCAAACACCACACTCCTCCAACACCAAACCAATGCCACAAAAGTCATCAAGCTGCCAAATGTAGGTAGAGAAGGCCATACCTATCTCCACCATATAACCTCTTCTTGGGATGATTTGGCAACACAGACTTTCTTCTTGCAAGCCTCCATTCACAACCCACGCGAATTCACTGCTAGAGTGGAGGATTACTTCACGCCTCAGACAGGAATGTTGAGTTTGGGGTTTAGTGGTCAGAGTTGTGAGTGCAATAATTGCGGTGATAGGTTTGGATGGCGAGACCATTCTGGCATTGTGGAGGAGACTTGGAAGGAGGTATTCAATCAAACGTGTGGAGAGCAGAGGGTGCTATTGAGTTACAAGGGCCAGTTTGTTGCTAGTGCTGCGAGGTTGAGGGCGAATAAGAAGGGCTTGTACGAGAGGTTGATGAATGCGTTGGAAGAGCCGGATAGCTGGGCGCACCAGCAAGGATATCTGCAAGGGCGACCCGACTCACTGAACGCGCCATACTTTGGTTACACCTTGGAGCGGCTATGGTCAGTGATTCTGCAATGTTCTGACGAGCGCATTGCAGCTCTCTGTCCGACGTTGTTGAGCGGGACAAGAAGAAACGGATCCAACGCAGATTGTCAGTGTCTTGACTCCTCTTGAAGGTCTGTCATTACTTTTGAGAAGGTAATCCGATGATAGGGTATTATAATAATGAATTAGATGTACAGAGTTTTTGCAGGAGAGAAAACAAGTAACCGTCATAAGAGTCAGCAACTACACGACCTCATAACGGTAGTCGATCTCATCTTCCTTGACCTTCAAGTTGGCGGTTTGTAGGCGTTGTCCGGTGGTAGGAACGGGTTTCTTCAAGCGCAGTACCCAAAGCAGCATACCCTCAGCGGGCAACAAAAGCATCCAAATTCTGTTGATGAAGAAAGCAACAGAAGTTGTAAANAGAGCCACCACAGCATCCAGATAGTAGTGGTTGGCAGTTGCAACAATGACCGACAAGACCAACAGAGGGTAGAAAAGTCCAGCCAACAACCAGAGACATCTTCCAAAGGTTGATTGTTGAATTGCGTTGTTCTCAGAACGCCAGTGGATGCCAGAATGGTAGATGAAGGTGCAGCCAATCACGAATGCATAGGTAAAGTGAAGACTAGGCATGGCTGCGAGTTGGTTGACGTTCTTGCCGCCCACCCAGACACTTTCGGCGTTGTCTTGACGGACTGTGTCGTGGAAGCCAAATTCTTTTGGCAAAAGGCGTGGTGGCATGCAAGGGTAGAAACAGAAGACGAAGAATGCAGCAAAGTTGCCCAGCGTCATAGTACGTCTAGCGACAGCGAAAGCTGCATGGTCCGGAGCGGCATAATAATACCATGAAAGGAANACTGTCAGGAGTCAGTCGATGATGCATGAGGTTTTGCTCGTGTGATGGACGCACGTGACGGTTCCTGGAATATGAACCAATGAGTAGATTCGGTTAAAGAATGTCAACATGAGTGGGTGGCCTGTAGTGAAGAAGGTCTGAAAATCAACCTCTTTGATAGGGAAGAAGATGGAAAACATGGAGTCGTGTTCAAAGTTCAGAATGCTGATTCCGTGCTCTTGGGCGAGCTCAGTGACGCCGTCCTTTGTCGCATAGAGAGAAGCGGCGATGGCCTTTGTGAAACTGTATGCCGCGTAGTTGAGAGCCCAGTAGAACATTTCTATCAAAAANGGAAACTTTTGCAAGATTCTGCTATGTAGCTTGTCGGCGAAAGCTGAGGAGTTAGGCATGTCAAACTCCTTGCCCAAGCAGGTGCGTTTCTGGAGTCGGCTTGTCGCGTGACCCTCGTCGTCGGACAGCATGGGACGCCCTTCATTTGAAGGCGACAGAGTTCCAGAGCGGGCATTGAGATCTCCTCGCAGGATACTGAAGTTTTTGCGGCGGTTGATGATCAACGAGCCGACCATGACGGTAACAACAAACNNTTGAAAACAATGTCAGTCTGGTCGTGTGCCTATCGGACAATTGTGTCCACTCACGACCGGCTCTGCCCACTTGTGCGACGCGAATTGTGCACCTCCCAAATTGACATCTCCCTTGTCTGCCATGGCTGTCCGACGATATCCTCCGCAGGTTGTTATATGAATATGAAGATGGGAAAGAACGAAAGACTTGGTGTTTTGGCAAGAGTAGGTGAGAAGCTTTTGAGGCCAAGTTTAGGGGTATTTCCGGGCAGCCCTTCGGGGGCTTTGCTTCCGAGGCGCCGTTGTTCCTGTCAAATTTGGCTAGCACGACGCCAACCTGAATCGTCGGAGATTCTTCCTTTTCGTTCTCGAGTAACTTTTTGCTGATGCTCGTGTGACTCCGATCAGTGGGAGTTGACTTTGGAAGGATTCTTGATGATGTGAGAGGAGCTATCGATTCTCGCTGAAAATCAGCAACTGTCCGTCACGAGGCTATCGTCTGCTTTTTTATGTCCTTGAACGACGCTCCAAAGGATTGCAGTACCAAGTCTTTCGGCCACAACAAGCAAGCCAGGATGAAACACTGCCCCCATACTAGCCCAGGCTCTTTCGGCTCTTGCGGGGTCGTTCGCTCAACAAGGCACCAAGGCATGTCTAAACCAGAATGTACATACTTCATAAGCCCTTGTTGAGCCGTTCAGCTAGATCTTCACTCTGATCATGGATATAGGACGCCCATTGATGTGTTGCTGAGGGCAGTGTTACAGAATCACGTTTGTCGCGTGCTCTTGGCAGTTCATCTAATTTTAAGCACGCGCCATCGAGAGGATCAAGGCCACAATCGATACGGCATACGATTGATTAAGCCGCTTGCGTATGAGGAACTCTTTTTATGCGGCAGCCCAACAATCTCAACGTCGTCGGCTAGCATCTGTTCGAAGGCCGACACGATGAGGCTTACGGACTCTCAACTAGTTGTTGTCGTTGTTCTGTTTCTGCGAGTTGACTGCGGTGCGAGGAAAGATCAACAGCCCGACATATGCCAAGAATGATTGACGATCCTGAATTCCGCATTCATCAACTACACAGGCTCCGTGGACCACTCTGTTGTTCGTTTGAGATCGTCCTTGCAATCCACTTTGACGACTATTGTGACTATTCCCGTGTCTCGCTAGAATCGACCGTGGAGCAAGATGGGCTTAAAAACAAGCTCAAGAGCGGCTTTCAAAGCATCCCTCCTGCTAACAACTATACTATCCAGCGTTGAAAGTTCTGTTTGAGTTCCTGAAGTCCTTTCACAACACCTGCGTCATCAGCTCCATCACTTTTGCAGGATCATGTCAACAATCCATCTGCCCGAAGGCTATCAATACAAGTTTGTACCGGCGACACCACGCCACCAGCATGTGCTCGAGGTCCTGACCCCCACGTACCGACCGTCACACTGGGCATCCTTTGTGTCTGTCTCCTGCAATGGCATCAAAAAGACTGGACCCATCGCATTAGCGACATACTCGCCTACTCAACATGCCTGACCCTCCACAACCTCTCCCACCCTCTTCTAGCTCTCTGCCTCGCAAGCTCCTACACGACTTGGGTCTGCTTGCCAGGTTCATTCGCATCCCTCAAGCTGCCATCACACAAGCACTTTATGGAGATGACGAAGTTTGAACCTGCGCCCCACGCTGAGGAAGATAAATGCATCATCTGCTGGGACGAAGACGCACCACTGGGAAAGCTCCCTTGCAAGCATACAACCTGCAGACCCTGCCTTCAAGCCATGGGCTCGGCTCTCCAGACTGCTTGCCCTTTATGCAAACACCCGCTTTTTGCCTGCCATGATCATTTGATGCTGTTCATCAACAAGGCATCTCTATCTATCCAATCCATCACTGGCATTCTGCAACTCATGATCACCTATGATGAGATTCAACACTGGCGGTACAGAAACATCTGTATTCAGCTGGGCGTCATAGCTTGGATGGGCTATATGCTGGTGGATACCTATGTTCCAACAATCAAAAAGGGAGGAGAGAATTGGTGGAGACCTTGTCCCACCTGCAAAGGCGGTGTAGGCAAGGGCATGGTGATGATGGCACTAGCTTTCATTAGCAGTGTTTCTGTGCTGGGCCAGAGTCTGTATCTCAACCGCGGGCTATTCCTTTGATTGACCTTCATGTGAGCAAGACACCCCGAAGCCGTGGCGAATTCTCGACGGAAGAACTTCAAATGACACTTCCATCAACACAAAAGATTATCGCGCTGCAAGCAACCTCGAAGGGAACAAGAGCTAGAGGACATACATAACGGATGGAGTTCCTTCTCCAAGATAGTGAGTGACAAAGCCAATGACCGCCATCCGTTGATTACTTTTCCTCGAAATCTCGTCCAATCACATGAGAATCGAACATGTCACATCTGCGCAACTTTGGGAGATGCACCAGTGTGTTATCAAAACAGACGTGTCGCAGTTTCAAACTGGCAGCAACTTCGACGAACGCAGAAGCATGTATATGTAAGCTTACAAGGCCACAAGAACACGTGCCGCCCCCACTAATATCTCTTGCAGGTAACAGAACATTCGTCTATACGAAGCAAAGTTGTTTTTCTACTCCCCAACACCACTCAATCCCCACAATCATGGCCACCACTAAATTTTGGGCCATTCCTGAACTCAAAGAGCTAGTGTTTTCCTACCTACACGACGACCGATGCGAGACGGACTTGGCTTCTTGCGCTCTGGTGCACAGTACGTGGACAGAATTCGCCAACGATAATCTCTGGCAAGGTCACCGCGGGATCGTAGACGTTGCATTCCCAACTAATCGCACGATAACCAAAGCAATCTCCAAGCTGCCACGTGCTCGCCGCNAATACTATGCGTCTCTAATTTCCGTGCTTGACTTTAGAGGCGTCGGCAGGATTTTCATTGATGGCTTGAGCATCCACACGACGTTTGAGGGTTTGGAGTTCCCAAGCTTACGCGAACTCATCCTCAAGAACTATGAAAAAGCAGCTGACCGGCCGCCGGGGTTGCACAATCCCAGGTTGTCAAAATATTTCTCGCCTAGGCTGGAGACGCTGAGGTTGGAGTACCGCTCAGACATCGAGAATGGTGACTGGCTTACTGCCTCCTTCCTAGAAGATCTTGCGGCGAACTGTCCAGGCTTAAAACAGGTTTCTCTTTCGGGACCCGGCACGTCGATTCAACCGTCAGACCTTGAGCGATTCTTTCGGAGCATCCGACCTCGCAAAGTGTGTCTCGTCTTTGAGGGTTGCCAACGCAGGTTGATCACAGATGGCGTACTGTCTGCCCTGTCTGGAGGCGGCTGTCTCGAAGATCTGCACTTCGATCACTACCCTGTTGAGATTGGTGTAGAGCCCGAGCTCGCTGGTTTAAGAAGCTTCTGCGAGAGCGCCGTAAATGTATTTCCAAATCTGAAGGTATTCGAACTTGACATGTTCGCCGACGACATTTCCTGGCTTGCGATGTGTTTCACTACTGTCACCACGTTGCGATTCACTTTCAGAGGATCGATGAACAGGTCTATTCTTGGATATATCGTGGAACACCTCGCGAGAATGGCTCAGCTGCGGGTACTCTACATACGCTGGGATGACTATGTGCCATGCAAATTTCTCGTGGCTCTGGCCGCGCTTTCTCAACTTACCGAGCTACGCCTCAACAACGCAGACTTGTTCTGGGGACCCGACTATGATGAACCGGACCCATACTTTGATGAATCGGATGCGGAAGCAATGTTCTCCGGTCTATCTGCACTAGAAACCCTTTACATGTACACAACACAGCATGGCAGTGTTCAAGACTTTCCCAACCACCTCATGGACTCTATAACACGCTTCTCACCCAGACTCGACTCTATCAAACTCGACATATGCCAGAAACTGGATCTGCAGAATATCGCCTCATCAACACGATTTCCCCGCCTTGCAGGCGTCAAGGAGATGACGATTTACAATTTCTATCGTGCATCGTCAGCAGCTAGAGCAGTCGAGTTGCTCGATGAGGCTGCACCTGCACTGGAGTCGCTACATTGCACTCGTCCTGATGAAGACTCCAGGGAATATTGTGCTGCCTTTGACGAGTACCGACGTATATGCTCTTCTCTTTTTCTTTAAGCTACTACTCTGCTGCAAGGTCCGATATCCTAGATTGCCATACACAAAAAAAAGCGATTTGATCAATAGATCAATCACAATTACAATTTTTCCTGCTCGGACCCAGAAACATTTCTCGATTATCCTTGCCAATCTCGAATAACCCTCTTTTTTTTTTACGCACGGCAATTCTGGGATTCTGATTATCATCAGATGACTCTTCTCATTCATACAACTACCCGACTTGAACAACACGACTTGATTTCAGATACAGACGACCATGCCACTTCTGATACTCTGCATCTCAGTCGAGATAAAATCGAGCCATGGCAGGATTGAGGCTTGGGATAAAAGGCAAAAACGATTGTCGCAGCCGTGAATCGAACACGGGGCTCGTGCATGGCAAGCACGAATTTTACCACTAAACCACTGCGACCGTTGGATGAAGCTTGTTCCGGTTCCATCCAATATGATCCTACAATCTCATTTCGCGAACTATCAAAGAAAAAGAGTCGTGGGACAGATACATGAATGTCTGGGAGAGCTCGCGAACAAGACCAAGGTCTACAATGAGTGTTGTAATCTTCCACGTTGATATCAACTGATATTATAAGTCGTGTATTTCGTACATGTCAAGATGTGTCTATATTTCTGCTTCTCCTTCTCCAGAGCTAACCAATTGTATTGCTCAAATCTTAGCATGCAGTCATCTTCTCTTCTCGACAGCTTCTCTGAGCTTTGCAATGACCTCTGAAGGATCTTTTGCGCCAAAGACGGCAGAGCCGGCGACAATGACGTTTGCGCCAGCGTCGGCGGCCACGTCGATGGTCTTTTCGGAGAGACCACCATCGACTTCGATGTTGAGTTCGGGGTAGCGCTTGCGGAGGGCTTCGACCTTGGGCATCATGTCGGGCATGAACTTTTGGCCGCCGAAGCCGGGTTCTACGGTCATGATGAGGACCATCTATTGGGGATTGTGTTAGCCTTGTCTTGTGATTTACGGAGCGAGGCGTTGGTTGCGTACATCGGGAACCTCTTCTTGAGTCTTGCTGTCTAGAATTTCGTAGAGGACGTCGACGGGAGTGCCGGGTTTAAGAGCGATACCAGCTCTAAGGCCTTGGTCGTGGATGTACTTGATGAGTTCCTTGGGACTGGTCTTCTTGTCCGAGGTAGCGGAGGGCTCTTCGGCGGCGGTCGAGTTGATGGCGGCTTCGTAGTGGAAGCAGTACAGGTCGCATCCAGCATTCTTGAACTCCTTGACCCATTTCTTGGGCNNTACTGGCCATGGTCAGCATCTTGTTCCATGGAAGACGGATTGGGGGCAGGTCGGGAGTAGACTGACCTCAGCGATCATCATGTGGCAGTCGAAAGTACCCTTGCCAAGGGACTCGGAGGGCTTGTCGACGTGAGGGCGGATCATTGTGACTACGGGAGCTCCAAAGGTCATGTTGGGGACGAAATGGCCGTCCATAATGTCGACGTGAAGCCAGTCTGCGCCATGGCCGATTGTGTCTGAGCAGGCCTTGCCCAGGGCGCCAAAGTCGGCCGAGAGGATTGAGGGAGCGATGATTGCTGGGGGTGCCATTGTATGTGTACGTGTGCTGGAATGTCGAATGCCCAGTTGTGTTCAAAGTGCTCAAGATCTGGTCGGTCGACAAAACACCGACAGATGCCCCGCTCACGTCACCGCCAGCTGCCGGAGCCGCTGCTCCCGAGCTATCTTCATATCAGGTTCCCATCGGGTCTCATGCTTGCAAAAACTTGGCGAAGAGTTCTATGGAGATTGCAAGAGTCAATTGAAGTGATGCCTCGGCAGATGAAGAGATGAAGGTAGGCACGGTAGCTCTTTTCAAGAAAGAGAAAAGAAAATATGGTAGACAGGAAGACCCTGCTCTTCTCAGTCCATCGGCCTAATCTTTTCTGTGAGCATAAACGAGGCATTCAAACATGGCCATGATATCCTTTCAGCAGTCATCTGTCTATTGCTGTAGTTCAAGAGTACTACATGCAATTTCATGTGGCTGATGCCCAAAGAGAGATTGTCATTCTTCAAGTGTCTTGGTTGATGTTGACAGGACTTGGCGGACGTTGTCGGGTCAACAGGCAGCGCCGAGACGTGCGCATTGCGTCTTTTGGACTGTCCCTTGGATGTTTCATGGAAAACATGACTTCCCGACGATAGCAATTTTGCGACAGTAGTACTATTCAGCATACAGCCCGATCCTTCCATGGCGCGCAATCGACCCTGGGCCTCTTCCAATTAACCAACATCTCCTCTACAGCACTTTACCTTCATTGGACTACCCCCAGCACGCATTGGACTACCTCAACACGCATTGGACTACCTCAACACGCATTGGACTACCTCAACACGCATTGGACTACCTCAACACGCATTGGACTACCCGAAACCTCAGCAACCACCACCAACAACGCATTATCCCCCCCCGAGCATTGCTTCAATGACCACTACCTCCCGCCCATATTACCGCCACGGCTCTCCCCTATCAGTATTCAACCCAGCTCAAGGCTTTGCTGCCGACGCTCCCATGATGCAGCGCATCGACGTTGGCGACTCGTCCGACGATGAGATTCCGCCGCCAATGAAGTTCAGCGCCCTGACGCGCGCTCTCCTCGAGTCTGAAGGGGGTCTCGACCACTCGTCGCCGAAAGACAATGCCGCGCGCGACTACGAAACGCCTAGCAGAGCGCCGCAACTCAAGATTGTCCGCAAATCTTCACCGACACACAGCCAGACTGCCACCTCGCCGCGCATTGTTTCAGTCACCAAGCGAAACCCATCCTCATCACGTCATACCGAAAGATACGCCTCGAGCAGAGAAACCACTCCCGCCCTCGAGTTCGTCACTCCAGCACCCGCCTCCCGTTCAACCCGCTCGTCTGCGAGTAGATCCGCCAGCAATCCCTCGCCCGCTCTCGACCACATCGATCATGACGCGTCGCAAAACTTTGGAGCTTCACAATATGATGCTTCAACAAGGCACATGCCGCCGTCAACCTTCAACAAGACTCGTCACGCGTCTGCAGAGTCATCCGCGCATCCCGGCTCCATACGCGTCAAGAGAGCTCCAGGTGCTTTCTTGCGAGGCGCTCCCGTAAGGAGAGGCTTCCGCCGGCGGGAAAGCGACGACAATGTCAGCCCACACGATGGCAGTGCTCCATTGTCAGAATCACAATCACAACCGGATCACGAAGAGGAGTCCGCATACTCGGCTGGACGCACAAGCAGAGCAGACAGCGCCAATGCTGAGTCTGCTGCTGTATCAAGACACGACTTTGCGCGTTCAAGAAATCACAGCCGCGACGTTTCCGCTCCGTCGAAACGTGACACAAGCATTGATCCACACCGAGTAGCATCTCGGACATCTACCAGAGCCCCTAGCATGGAGCGACCTGCAAGAAGGCCCAGCGTTGAGCCTCAAAGACGGGAGCGTAGCGATTCTCGAGCCGCTTCGAACCATGGAGAAAGCCTCGCTCAGAGGAGGCCAAGTAACGATCACTTGGTTTCACGTCCGGCGCCAGAATACCAACGACAAACACGCCCGACCTCGAACGCTCAGCACGACGCCATCGAGGATCAAGAGAATATTCCTCCTCCGACCTTCAAACGCGACAGACACCATGACTTCAAATACCTTGGAAAGCCAGAGAAGATCGCTTTACACTCAAGATCTCAACCCGTCGAGGAGACGCCCATGTCCGTTTCGACGCATCAGTCGCCTCGCAGAGCACTCACTGCAATCAGCAACAACACTCCCGTCAGACCTGCTCCCCCACCACCGCCGAGAATGAGTGTCTTGGATGCGGCGACAAAAACTGCTGGCGCGAGCACTACCAAGAGCAAGAAGAGACGTCAACACATCCTCATTAACGGAAAGTTGTTTACGCAAATGAACAAGGTTGGAAAAGGTGGTAGCAGTGATGTTTACTGTGTCATGGCCGAGAATTACAAACTCTTTGCCTTGAAAAAGGTCAAGCTCGAAGATTGCGACGAATCGGCCATGCGAGGTTTCAAGGGTGAGATTGATCTTCTCGAAAAGCTGGCAGACGTGGAGCGTGTGATCCGACTTTTCGACTGGGAACTGGACAACGAGAAGCAGATCCTCAGCGTGCTGATGGAAAAGGGCGACCAGGATCTGAACCGCATCTTGACAATTGCGCTCAATGGTACTGATCCAAAGTTTGATCCTGTTTTGACTCGCTTCTACTGGAAAGAAATGCTTGAATGTGTTCAAGCTGTTCACGATTACGATATTGTTCATTCCGATCTCAAACCCGCCAATTTCTTATCAGTACAAGGCAAGCTCAAACTCATCGACTTTGGTATTGCGAACGCCATTGACATTGCTCATACCGTCAATGTTCACCGCGATTCGCACATTGGCACGCCTAACTATATGTCGCCCGAGAGTATCTTGGACACAAATGCACCTACACCTGGCAGCGAACGCACCTCGAATAATGGCAGTCGGCTGATGAAAATCGGCAAGCCTTCGGATGTTTGGTCTCTCGGCTGCATTCTATATCAGATGGTTTATGGTCGCCCACCTTTCGCCCACATTGCCAACCAGATCAGTCGTATCATGGCTATCACGAATTCAAAAGTCGTCATCGAGTTCCCGGACAGGGGTGTGGGTGGTGTGACGGTGCCCTCTGCATTGAAAGGCACTCTTCGTCGTTGTCTTCAACGTGATCTGCACGCTCGTCCTACCGTCAAGCAGCTTCTCAGCCTTTCGGATTCTTGGCTGTACCCTGACGTCGGCAATGCAGTCGCCATGAGCGAGGACCTGCTTGCACAAATCATCGACAAGGTTGTCGAGAGGTGCAAGGATCCCAAACGTGGTATACCCTCTCCTGATGAGGTCAAGCAATACCCTGCCAGCTTCATGTCCAAGATTCGCGAGATGGTCGAGCGCGATGGTGTTGTTGGGTGACATGTCTCCTGGCATGAGTATTTCGTATGTTTGGGCCTTTTTTCTGCTTCTGGTGTACGGATTGGGTTATAAGGGAACTCCCTAGAGCGAAGAGGCGTGGAGTTTTGTGGTCATTCTTTTCCCCTGGTGTTTCTTTCCTGTTTCTTCTTTCTTCTTCATTGTCCCTTTCTTATCACATTTTGTTCTTTTGCGATACCACCTTGTTCTTCTCCTGCTTAGTCTAGTCGTCTTTCTTGCGTCGTCTGGAAGACAATGTCATGACCTCCTTTTTCTTCTTTCCATCCAAGTCTTGTGTTTTCTTCGTCTACTAACTGGTGATATCTTGACTCCAAAGGACTTGTCTTGTTTCCACGATGACTTGTTGTCGTTGATGATATAGTATCACAGGCCCGCTTGACACCCCTGCTGGTAGTTTTCTTGATCATGACCAAAGAGCAAGCGTTTGTTTCCAACGCCTTTGAGGAACAAAAGATTTCGCCTCTTGCATTGATGGCAGGCATGGAAAACCCCTCGATGCACTTTTTGTAAATTATAAAAGGATACTACATCAGAGCTTTTGCAAGTTTTCTCTTTCTTGCTGCCGTGGGAATTCCATTTGGTGATGTTGATTTTTTCACGCAGCATTGTTTAAAATCTCCACGCCAAAGTGGATCCATATCTTGAACCTTTTTTTCTTTTTCTGGACATTTTGTTTGCGTTTCTGGAACTTTTTTCCTGGAAAGCGAAAAAAGATCTCAATAGCTATGTAGAACATCAAACAGAAAGGAAGAATTTTGCTAATGTAAAAATCACCCATTGATGGATTTTTTAAGCAGTGTGTTTTGCTTGTTTTGTGGCAAAAAAATAAATCAAAAAAATTGCTCAAGTCACGAGCATATCAAAGATTTTAGAGCGCAAAGAAGTCATGTTTGTAGAGAGAGCATAATAGGGTTTCTGTTATACTCGCTTTCTACAAAAGCAAATGAAAGGCTATCTACTAGGGGTATATTGGGAAGGAAAGGAGAAGAAAAGAAGAAAGAAGAAGGAAAAAAAAAGAAAGAAAAAAAGGAGAAGAAGAAGAAGAGAAAAAAAGAAAACAGTCTCCAAAAGATCGCTTGGGTATGTTGTGTTCGTAGGGTATGGTATTGCTTAGTACAGCATCTACCTCTTTCTGTGCTCGAATGGATCCACAAGACAATAGGGCAGTAGGCATGAAGAAGTGAAAGAATGTGAAGGGTTGTTGGGATGTATCAACGCCAGAAGGTGAGAAGATGGGTAAAGCAGGCGAAGAATGGTATGAGCGACAAAAGGCACTCGAGCTGCCGGCCGCGCCGAGAACTTGTTGGTCTGCTCAAGAGTGCGATCCTATGTACAAGCAAGACTAGATTTGCTGACAACGTTGCTTGGAGAAGCTGACGGAGCGGCGGACGAGGTGTAGTGACTCAAGTATGGTAGCCGTTGATCCCAGCCTTGGGAGGGTCTCGGATAAGGGTGGGGTGAGGGGCAAGGGATGAATCAGATACACCGCGATTGAGACATCCTGGTGGCACATATCCAATCCGAAGTATGGCATGTCCAAGGGCGGTACTCTGACAGTCTTGCAAGCAAGAAGTGTTGATCTGAAAGTCTTTCATAGAGACGGTTCAAGTGACAGTGACAAGGAGTCGTGACGATGGGAGAATTCTTGATGACGGTGGTGTGACCTCTTCCTTCCTTCTCAGTATGGCCATCATGACAAGAGGATGCGGATAACTTACCACTGCGTGAAGCCGAACACGAGTGATTAATCAAACGGAAGGCGTGTTCCCCTGAGATGGCTGGCCGAACCGATCATTTGCCCATTGACGTAGCTGGGATGCACGGTGAGGAGAGACCACGTGCAACAGACTCGTGGTGGCCGTGAGGGAGCTGAGCAGTATACGACGAAGTGAGCCTGGTCCGTTCGAGATGGTTTGATGGAAGTCTTGTTTCCTATGTCAGTACAGCCAATATGATAGACTGACGAACAACTCACCAAGTCTAGCACAAATTCCTTTGTAGAGAGCAAAAATGTGTTGGTAGACCGATGACCAAGAACGAACGAAAATAGCATCGTGGAGCCAGTCACCGCTTCCGTGCCATGGAGTCGCGGCAATGATGGTAGAGACAACGCGATGGCAGAGACTATAGATTCTGTGTCTTTCGTCGGGGTGTTTGTAGAAGTAGCACACAGCGGGGATGACGAGGCCGCCGAGAATGCCGACGGCGAAGCTTGGCCAATCGTATGCCATGAGGACAATGCTGGCGGAGGAGAGTTTTAGGTGATGCTGAGTGTCAGAGAGATAGGAAGATAGGATGATGCCTCTTGTAGGAAGTAGAGGAGATTGTGATGGAAGGGAAGAGAGAAACAGCAGGTGAAAGTGCCCTGGATTTATACCTACGAGTGATGTGAGGAGTCATTCACGAGCAACCTACACGCTGGAGCTGGGCAAGGTGGAAAAACATATTAGAGTTCACCCCTGATTCCACAGCGGGAAAAAGAGCCAATCTGTTATGTCGGCACCTGTCGCCGTTGGAGTTTTCTTGGGGTCAGCTGGGGCTCCACGAGGGTTGTGTTCAGGAACATGAAACAAAACGGTCCTTACCCTTGTGCTGAAGCCACCGCAGGCAAAAGCAGAACGAAGCGGTCCTGGGACCTGCTCGAAGCAACACAATTTTGACTGATCCGTCTTTGGCACGATGAGGCAACCTTAGACGTTCATCCAAGGACGGGAGTCTGGGTGGGTATATTGTGCAAGAGGCCATATGGAACATTGCTTTTCGGAAACAGCAACTTTTTGCACCAGCTTCCAGTCTGGAATCTAGCGCAGACCTGGCGACGGAAGGCGGACAATCGTCAGCGCTGTTGTAGTGGGGGTGGTCATCTGCGCTTGTGGTAGTTGGGATCTGGACCGAGAGAGCCGCACGACGTCATCTCACGCTTTCTTTGCAAATCAGCCCACTCTTGATAAATTGCGCCAGCAATCGTGGCTGGTTTGACAAGATGGCGCAAGTTTTACTCAAGAGCCTCATGGATAGAAGAACAATCGAGACCCTTTCCACTGCTGCGTGCTAGAGTAAGAGAATTTTGAGAACACTTACCCAGCTCGCTGCACGATCACACGGGCGTTCCGGTCTTCGTCTCTGTGTCCAGTTTTATCAGAGAACCTGTTCAGCAGGTAACAAAATCTGATCCTTTTCTGCTTGCGAACGTTAGCACGTATTCTGATGAGAATGGCAGCAACAGAAAAAATGATGAGATGGATGATTCATGTTTGCAGCAGGCGGTATGAAATTCCTACGAAGTCTGACAGAATCTCCTTCGATAACAAGAGCACCAGCCTCAGGCCATCCCGCCATTGACTTTTACGACCTGACCAGACACCCATTGGTTTTGTGTCAAGAACACGATAGCCTCTGCCACGTCCTTCGGCTCACCAATCCGATTGTGTGGACTGAAGCCCGCAATCTTGTCCAGCACTGCTTGTGGCCTTCCACTTTTCAAGAACATATCCGTGGCAGTCGGACCTGGAGCGACGGCATTGACGAAGACACCCTTGGGCCCAAGAGTCTTGGCCAGGACGCGCACCATTTGTTCAATGGCGCCCTTGGTCATGGTGTACAATACATACTCTGGCGTTACGGTGCTGGCATGGCACTGAGTAGTCGATATAAGGACAATGTGTGAGCCTGGAGGCATGTGCGGAGCGGCTTTCTGTAAAGATGTTAGCAAAAGAAGGAACGCCCTCCATAGTCAAACAAGAAGGCTGACCTGAACGAGAAAGTAAGGTCCCTTGACGTTGATGGCGAAGAGAGCGTCGAAACCTGCCTCGGTGGTTTCGGAGATGTCTTGCAAGCCTAGCTTGGCGGCACTGCAAATCAAAACGTGAATCTGTCCATACTCTGATACGATGGTCTCAATCAGAGAATCGATGCCCGACACAAGACTAGCATCGGCCTTGATGGCCACGGCGTTCTCAGCGCCGAGCTCAGAGACAAGATTGGAAGCCGCGACGGTATCGGAGAAATAATTGATGACGACAAAGTAGTTTTTCTCGACGAGAGCGCGAACAGTAGCGGCGCCGATGCCCTGTGAACCTCCTGTGATCAATGCAATCTTTTTGTTTGTCTTGGCCATGATGACAAGGAAGATGTCAGAAATGATGGAGGTGAGAAGGAGATGAAGATAGTATTGCGCAGCAAGACCGAAGACGAAGGTCAAGGTTAAAGCTTGGGGAAGGGAGGCCTCTTCGATGAAGTTCGATGTGCCCGTTTTATGTTCTTTCATGACTGTGTCGCACCTGCACCTGCACCTCCTGTTGCATGTACTTTGTGAGGTCCGGACCTACCATGCTTCGCAGTCGCTATTCGGTCGGTCGTATGCAATCTCCGTATTTTGAGGCTGGTATGAGTCAATTGGCCTTGTTGAGCTGCACTCATGTTTGTAAGCTTGCTGTGAGTCACTCAAATCTCCATCTTGTGGACCCTCAGCTCCGAGTCCTTCTTGAGTTGTTGGCAAGATTGTTATCGGAGAGGTGTGGAAGGAGCTGTGCAAGTGGGCAAGGTGGGGTTGACATGACGGCTCATCCCCGGCAGAACATTAGATGACGCGTGCGCGACTTCATTCGAGGCCGCGAGCTTGTCGCATCAAACCAACGAGCTTGAGGAACTAGACATTACTATTATCCTAGAGTACACAGCTCTATAATACGATGCAAAAGTACAGCGCAGTAAGCACAAAGGCGAAAATTGACATAGTCGTCTCCAAGGGCCACGCGCTATCCGAAGAAGCCTGACTTGTGTATGGCGTGGGGGTATGAGATGAACTTGGGAGGGTTGACGCGTTGCCAGTTACATTCGTAGGAACTGACAGGTTGAACTTCTGGCAGACGTCGTCGAACAGCCTCTCGAATGCTACATTCATCAGTAAAAGCGATGTGGAAGCTATCCCAACACGTACTGAGCAGATCCGCGGTACCATTTACGCAGGTTGAGTTATGTTGTACGCATGGCACGATGCTATCGAGGATGGTTGTATATCTTATGCAATGGCAGTATTGGTCTTCCGATGTGCAATTGGATGCTTTGATTGCTTGTGTATCGCAGCCTCGGATGCAATTGGGTATTGACGCGTTCTGAGGTCCTGTTTGCGCGAGGGCTGTTCCTGACCATAAAGCCAAGAGCAAAACAACAAAACTTGTCGCTGGCAACATGGCGCTTGCGTGAAAACGAGTGAACGCAAAAATCCTGGGGATTGTTCGAATCAACGACCCATGGTCTCGATATATATGTTTGTCGGACAATGGTTGAGGATCCGGTGAGCTGCAGCCGTGTGTGATCAGGCTGGGCTTGCTCACCCGCACCGCGCTTCCTTGCTTTTTCTGTCCTCACCCTTGTAAGATATATCGCAACATCAGGCAGGAAGTCGATGCTGCTCCCCGCTATCCTGAGATCAACACCGCCTCTGATGCAACGATGCATATATTGAAACATACCCCATGGGTTCTCCATCATTATAAAAGCTTAGCAGACATTCAAAGTTGACGTTGTACAGAGAATCGTTACATTTTGATAAGATACGAGCGCTACATGCCCGTTGAGATCAGTCTAACCGCTACAACGCCTCGCTGAAGAACAGGTATATACAAGACAAAGGAGAGACATTAAATTCCCATCATTAACAGATTAGGACGATACAACTCGGCGGGCAGTGTCGACAGTGATGATCTGCGTGTAGGCAGCTCTCCACCCCATGTTCGCAGGACCGACGTCGCCGGCATGAAACATCATGTGCTTTCCATCGGCGGCCACTGATTGACCGCCAGGTGAGTACAAGTTGTCGGTACCAGTCACCATCATGGGACCGGCCTTGACATAGGGTCCGTTGATGTTGTCGGCGAACGCATAGGTCACGTCGTAGTTCGAAGTCGCAAAGCAGTTGCTGCTAAAGAATAGCACGTATTTGCCGTTGGAGGTACGCATGAGAGAAGGTGCCTCAATAAGAGGACCGTCAAGATCACCACGGTCCAGAAGCTTGACAGGGCTGCCAACAGGGGTAATACCGTCGTCTGCTAGCTTTTGGAGCATGATGGGTGTGTTGACGATGGGAGCGACAGTATTTCCGCAAACACCTCCGTGACCGATCGCGTTTCCGTCGACCTTGTACACAACATATTGAGTCCCGTCAACATCCATGAAGTTGTCCGAGTCGATGGCGCCACCCTGATCAAGCGGACAGACAAGGGGAGTGGCTTGGGGCGTGTAGGGGCCTTGAGGTTGAGTAGCCACGGCAGCACCAACGCAGTGCTTGCCGGGACTTCCTTTTCTAGCAGCAGAATAAGTCATGATGTATTGACCCTTCTTGTTCTTGCTGACACTTGGAGCCCAAACAGCTGCACCTTGGTTGCCAGCATTTGGGTCGACCCAGGCACCGACTGTAGGCAATGCATCAGCTCCAGTCACCGACCATGAGTTGAAGTCTGGAGAATGAGCGACTTGGACGTTGATCAGACTACCACCAACTTTGGCGATGGTTTTATGGTTGTTGCTAGCGAAGGCCCACCATTGAGTGCCGACTTGTAAGAGATCAGGGTCGGCAAAGTCGACAGAGATGACTTGTGTTGGGTTTGAATTGCCTGTTGTTCTCATAGGAGCTGCAAGGGCAAGAGGGAGAAGTCCAGCCAGTATAGAGGTGGTGATAGACCCGATCATGGTGAGGACCGAAGATGTGGAAGTAAGAACGTAGAGGTATGATGTTCAGAGGCCGGACGTGATGATAGATGATAGATGCGTTCTTCGAATGTGGTATAATGAGGAGTGCTGGGAGTAGTATGAGGCTTACCTTGTAAGAAATGGCATCCATCTTATACACAAGATACTTCGGCCGGAGAGCATGACTCTCCATGCTCCAGCTCTACTTTGTGACTATTTGTGGAGAGACAGATCTGGGTCAGCAGAAAGCTTCGTGGAGGAACAAACGTGCTTCCTCACGAGCATCTAGTGGTTAGACAAGGCAATAGAGTGTGTTCGTCGGTCTTGTCCGCATATCACTTATCCCGATAGGTACAAAGGGCCGTCATCAAGGCTTAAGCCCACCTCATCTACCGCGAAACCGCTCCAACGTAGGCTAACCTTATGGAAGTTCGACGCGAAGATAGATCTCCATCGAGCGCATGTCTCTGAAAAATGGCGTGGGCACGTGTTTTCGAAGAAGCATCGAGGCTCTAAAAAAAAGTCAAATATAACGTCTGGCGCGGGCCGGGAGAGAAGGCTCTATTTCTGACCTCGTATAGAAGGGAAGAAGGCCACAGAAGGTGTCATCACAGAGGTTTGAAATGTGCGGTCAGATCAACATGACCCATCGCAGACCCACAACTGGTGCGCCTGCATGAATTTATCGAATTCCTTCGAGCGGAGCGGAAAAAGATGGTGGAGTCAAGAAGCAAGCCCACACGGGCCACAGCACTGCTTCCATCCTCGCGACGTTGCGATGCACGTGACAGCCAAGTAAGATTTTGGTTGGACACTTCCTCGGCACGCCCGACTGGTTGAACGTGGATGCATTCAACGCCTTTGCATCTCTGAACTCTCAGCGACCATGTCTGCCGCTCTATCTTGTCAGATTCGGCGGACCAAAGTCAGCAGCTGAGTGTGAGAAAAGATGCCCGATTTGTTGCATATGTATGGAGCATTGTACAAGCAGATCAGCTCGCTATAACATGCACCGAGGGCTTCGCCAGAATTCGACTCGAGTCTGGACCCCACCATTAGAGTCAAGCGCATCTGCCGTGTCGGTGACTTGGAACCACCGATCATGACTTCTTTTCGCTTGCTTCCTTGACTGCCCTCCCAAAAATAACCCTAGGGCAACGATTCAAGCAGTGACAACACGCTCCTTGGGTACAGTAGACCACCGTCTGAACATGGCATCGCATGCTTGAGCTCCGCCTATCGCCCCGCATTAATATCCGTATATTATCATGGACCGGTCAACTTCACCCATAGTCTTCTACAACCCTGAAGGCATTCGCAAGAAGCCTGCGAGTCAACCACATCGTGTGGCTATCAGATGGATTCAAGAGTTTCCGAACCAGGACCCGGCGGCATTTCGTGAAAGTTCAAACAGACCAGTTGTCGATGAAGAGTCTGAAGCGATTCGCGAATCCAGGATCTATCGAAGGACAGCAACAGGTGAACGGCAACTCAGAGCTCCCTTGTTGAATGCTTATCTCCTTGCGGATGCGCCGCTTCGATTGACCATCGGATCTCAACGTGACCCATTTTCTACCTTGCCAGTACCATGGAAGCCTCCGTATGGCATTATTACGAGTTATTGTGAGACTTCCAGTGCCCAACTGGACGTTTTTCTGTGTCGCTAACCAAGTCCCANNGTCAAATATGCTATAGCTCCAGCCATTGTGGCCGAGAGCTTTGAGCCAGAAGGCAAAACCCGGCAGGAAGCACTTGAAGACATCGAATGGCCAATGGCGTTGTCCGTACAAACAAACGATCCTGCCCTCTTCTTTGCCGCTCTTGCCATGTCATGTGTGCATCTGCCTGAAACGCACGAGTTCAGTCCTCAGAGTAATCCTTTCTTCTTCCGCTGGCTTTCGTCCAAGTGTGTTGAATTTCTCAACAAATCGCTTTCGAACCCTTCACGCGCATGCAGCGACGGAACGCTGGTTGCCGTGACCTTCATATCCTTCTGCGAGAGTATGGCTGGGAACCACCGTATCGCTGCTACCGTTCACCAACCAGGTTTACGGAATATGGTAAACACGCGTGGCGGCCTTGACTCGATTGCCAAGGAATCTGCCGTTGGCGAGAGGGTCACTAAAGCGATATCTGCCCTGGACATAGTTGTCGCTTCCAAGTTTGGATCCACACCGATATTCGAAGATTCATATATGCTCGCCCTGCAAGACGTAGAGATGACGAATATCGTGTCAAGGATCAAGAAGACAGCAGAAGGCCGTCTGGACCCTTCTTCTCCAATGCCTCGGACAGTGATTCTGACCCAGCGACTCAAAGATCATGATATTTTCCAGTCGCCCAGTCGGAGCAGCCCTGTCCCTCTCTCAGAAATTAAAAGCCCGGTCTCACCAAACCTCGAAAAGGCATACGACGCACAAGATCCGTTCTGAGCCTAAGCTCACAGCTCTGGGAGTTTCTTGGACTCATCATATGTCAGTCGGCGATTGGACTAAATACATGCAGTACAATTTCTGCGCACGATTTATTCTCGCAGTCTCTTGCGGTTACAGAGCAGCTCCTGAGACAATTTCAGCTTCCATGACAGGAGCTTCAGCCCTTATAGCCGGTTCAGTCGGATTCACGTCGGAGATGTAGAGGAGGTCATGCCAGATGACATGCATAACTTTCTATACGATACCATGCTCTCTCGTCATCGACATCGACTGCTCCACCACCTTACCAAGCCTGTCAAGCAAGATCCATCTTATCGAATATACGCAACACCATGTCCACCGACCGCTTGTCTCGCAGCATACTGCTCCATCATGAGGCACCACATGAGGAACACATCATGACCGACTATCGTGATGGTACACGCGCAACACGACATTGTACCTACGCCTGCCATCTTTTGGCAAGAGACCCGGATCCAATACTCTACAGAAATTGGCAATGGCGCATACTGTCTTCTCAGTCACTCAGCCAGTTGTCGGAGAAAATAACTCTGAGCTCATCACACAGCTCTGTCTCTACGTCAGACGAATGCGCTCGTCTGCCCAACTGTTACTTGTACAGAACCTACAGAATCGAGTCTGATATCAGCCAGACGATAGGGATAGATAGAAGAACAATCGCAATGGGTCTCACGGTATCATAGATTTTCAGCGTCGGTCACAATAAGAATTCCCAAAGCAAACAAATCATGCCTTGCCCGCAGCGGCTCTTGCGATTGCCATATCGGTTTCCATCTCAACATGCGCCGATCTTGCAGCCCACAGAACTTGAATGCCTCGAGCGGCAACATAGAAAGCAATGCATTTGAACAAAAGTGCGATGGCGTAGATGAGGTTTTGGATCTCATCGTGGTAGGTGCGGAGACGATGTTTGTGTTGCTCTTCTTGGAGTCGTTCTCGATTCGCTTTCCATGCTTCGTCGGTCATGGCCTGAGAAATGGTTGTCACGTCAGTCTGACAACAGAAGCAAGGACGAAACATGCAACAAGGGATCTCGTACCATTGTTTTTTTCAGCGATAGTCAAGCACTATAGCCTTGATTTTGTAGAAGAATAAAGAAATGGAAGCGGTTAAGACGTCGAAAAGCATGATGGGTAGCCAAGACACTAATGAGCTGGTGTCCCGTTCTAGGCTCCACTCACTAGGCTCAGTGATGGAGAGACAAATATACGAGAGATAGTTGAAGACGTACAGTAGCTATCAGAACTTGTCTACAATCTAGCTTGGGCTTGTCCGATCCCCACATCTTCTAGATCCTTGACCTCATCTCCAGGTCTTCCACTATCCAGGTGCTCACGATTTCCGTACTTCCACTCTGACCTGAAATCTCCCTCGAGCGCGTTGGCAATATACTTTCCAATGATCGGCAACATCTTGAACGCATGTCCACTATCACCTGTCGCCAACAACAACTCTCCACCAGGATACTTGGGATGCGTGTCAATGAGATAGTGCGCATCCGGCGAATCGGTACACCAGCACACTTTCGCACCTTTGATTTCTCTGCCCTCGAACTGTGGTATCACGGTGCTGATGAATTGCTTGATGGCGTTCATTGCTTCTTCCGGTATGCCGTCTTGAGGGTACTCGGACGCATAGCGTGGGATACTGTACTTGTTTGTTTTCCCTGTCGCAGGATCGGTGTATTCTCCTTTTTGCCATTGGTAGCCAGGGAACTCGTTGCAGATCTTGATCAGGCGGCCTTCGGTGCTGGGTTCGAAAAAGAAACCCAATTCGTGGTTAAGAACGACTGGCATATCTTTGAATTGGGCTGCTTCCTCTTCGGTGAGTTCGAGGAGGCCATACGTCCAGCATTTGCTCCATAATTGGGTGGAAAGTTCAGGTAGCAGGGCAGGGGAGGCGGCACCAGTAGATAGGATGTAGCGGTCTGCGGTGTAGATGTCGCCAGACTTGACGTTTACTCCTGTGACTTTGTTGCCGGTGGTCTCAAGGGATACCATCTCACCTGCTGCTCCGGAGATGAAGCGTACGCCCATCTTGCCTGCCTCATCGGCGACCTTCTTAATTGCATTTGCTGCGTGCGCCCAGCCGGCTTGCTTGTTCCAGAGACCTCTCCAGTTGTCGATGTCGCGAGCGTTCTTCAACTGAGGCACATATTTCGCAATCTCGTCTTTGCCTTTGACGAAGTCGATATTATGGGCTTGTCCTTTGGCCTTGAGATTCTCGTATGATTTCTCAAGATGAGCTACGGCTTTCGGGTCGCCGAGAGTGGTCAAGATCCATCCAGTTTCGTGGAATATATCCTTGTAGAGCGGATCTCGCCATGCCTGTATTGCTTCTAGGGCCATTTCTGCATAAAGTGGTTCATCGTATTCTGTTCTAATGATTTTGTTCTGTGAAGGTAAGAGCGAAAGTCAGTGGAAATAGGTGCGAGATAACAATGTGGTGCGTACGATATCATAACCAGCAGAATCGAGACTTGGGTATGGCCATTTGTCGATGCATGTGATGTTCGTGTAGCCACGCTTTGCTAGGTGATACGCTGTAGAGGCTCCAAAAGTGCCGGTGCCGATGATCAAGATCTTCTGGTCTTTCTGTGTTGACATAGTGGGTAGTATGGATGATTTTGAGAATGAACCAGAAAGTCACAGTGGTCGTCAGGCGTTATGCCTATATATGAACCTCATCGCCGCTTGTTCGCTCCGAGTGGATCGGCGCTGCGCTTGTACCTTCCTCACACGCGGGAAGAACGGCTGAGATTGACAGCAGACCGAATGCGGTCACCAAAGCCTACTGAAATCACCCGAGCTCGATTTTGTCCAGACGACAAAGGCTATATGTCTCGATGAACGTTTTGCATGCTAGTTTGAGCAATGTTGCTGTGATTGAGATTCGTTGGAAGGTCGAAGAGAGGTGCTCAGCTGATGAAGCAGCGAGTTCGGCTTTCAAGGACGCCGTCATCGGAGTCACAGCATACAAAACGTCGCGACCAACTGAACCACCGACCAACACGCATCCACGAGGTCCCTCGTGCTGTCGCGTTGTATCTCAGACATGCTCCATCAACCTTGTATTACATCTAGTCGCTTGCTGAATGTCTGCTCAAAGCTGTAGAGCGTTGGTGAGGACGCGGCGACCGACTTGCATAGACGAAGTAATAAGACGACAGTCCATCGCTCGATATGCAGCAGTCAAGGAACAAGATAGTTTTCTTCTACGAAGCTCATCAGATCAACTGAATCTACATTCGAAGGATTCGATCGCAATAAATCTTGCGTGACGAATATGACGCAGGAAGGCACGCCTTAAGAGTCCTGTGGTTTTCCTCAAACTGCTTGAACCGCGCGGCCAAAAATGTGTGCAGTGTTTACCCGGCTTCATTCGTTCCTTTCATGGCTAGGAATGAGTCGTGATCTATCAACATCTAACTTCTCGAAACGTCAACACACGAGCACAGATTGTTCTTGAAACTTTCCCGCATTTATTCACAGCTCAACCCTGGTAACCCTCTTGAAATATCTTACAATGGAAGCTTCAACTCCTCGGCGTTCGGCGTCGACGCCTGGAATGACAGCTCGTTTCGTGGTTGTCAATTATCGAAGGACTGAGCACCGGATACACTGACGACATCGTTCAGCCTAGAAGTGCCTCCGTTCTGGTACGCTACGTCCATCTCAGGTATATGACAACACGGCACATGCGTCGATGCATGTGGAGCATGATGAGGAACCTCAGACTGGATCATCATTAATGGAAGGCCCTTCCACGTATGAAGGTAGGGCTTCCGTTCTCGACCTGTGACTCTCCTCTGCTCTTCATTCTCTTCGTCATTTGTCTCGACAAATCATGGCTTCTGATACGTTAGAAGGCCAATGCCTCACACTGTTCGCCATCACCATGTTCTTTTGTATCATTTGCTTTGTGCTGGTCACACTACGATGCTTTACTAGAATATCGATCAAAGGATTTGGCTCAGACGATTGGCTCATGCTCATTGGCACGGTACCATTCTCTAATACTCACGGTTTGTGAAGCTTCGCTGATTTGATAAAGATCTTTGGCACTATGACATTCGCCACAGTTCTCTGCGGTTGTAAAGTAGGCTTGGGCCAACACGACTACGATCTCGAAGAAGGTGATTACTCAAAGATCAAGCGCGTGAGATACCTGCAACCTAGACACTGCAACAATAGCTGACATTCTGCTAGGNCTCTCATGACGTTCCAGGTACTCTACTGCGCCAGTCTCATCTTCATCAAGAGCAGTATCTGCGTCGCTCTTATCCGCCTTGTCATATCCAAGCGCCTCTTATACACTCTCTATGCTATCCTGGCTCTCAGCGCGAGCTACGGGTTCATCGCCATGATGACCGTGCTGTTGCAATGCAAGCCTTTAAAAGCAACATGGGATCCATCCACAGGCACATGTTCCAGCCAGGCCATCATCGTACACATCTCGTACTTTGTCACGGCATGCTCAATCACGACCGACTTTGCTTGCGCTGTCATGCCCTTCGTCATTCTATGGAACCTGCAGATGAGAAAGAGGCTCAAGTTCACAGTCGCCGCCATGCTGAGTCTCGGCTTCTTGTACGTGGCTGGCTCTTTAATTGGAGTAAAAAACTGACAGCGAGACAGAGCGAGCGCGGCCACCATTGTTCGTATCAAGTATCTGGATTCTTACTTTGCGACACAGGATCTTGCATGTTAGTCAAGTCATCTAGGTCTGATGAACATCAGCTTACACATCCCGTAGNTCAAAGTTTCCAACGTGGTCCTCTGGTCAATCATCGAAACCGGAATCGCCATCATCGTCGGCTCCATCCCTTCCCTCAAGCCTCTCGTCAAATCGATTGCTTTCTTCGGTACCCATCACACCCGCAGCGAGAAGAGAACTCTTAATCCTCATAGCGAACATCAATCTTTCGCAATGAGGTCTCCCGCACCATACAACCATAAGACACAGATCTCTTGTCCAAGTGTCAAGGATCGAAACTCGAGAGACAACGATAGTATGAAGGACTCGCTGATGAACGACCCGGATATCATTCTTGTGCGCTCCGAAATTCAAGTTGAGGAAGGCTCCCGACCGAATACTGGATATAAGAGCTTCAAGAGTTTCACTTTCTGAGGAACATGTTGTTCTCTCTACCCATTGTCACTCTCAATAGTTAAAAGAAACTGCACTTTCGGACTTGATATGACGCCACTAATAGATGGAGTTTCGATGCCCCCAACGAGTAGAGCTCGATTCTTCCAAGGATTGTATCGACCCACAGATTACAGAATACCCGTATCTGGAAGACGAAGGCCTGGGTCGCAGATCAAGAAAAGGCACAATGCGACATCCAGCTAGCTTCAACGAGCAGAAGTTGTATGCTCAGGGTCTTCCAAGCAGAACTTCGTATACAAGGAGGCCCAAAAATCCAGGTCAAAGCCAATGGAGACCCTGAGATCGAGGCGTCACCCTCGCCGAAAGTCACTACAATCGCCAACAGATGGTGCAGAGCCACATGTTCAGACCAACGACAAGAGTCATGTTGAGGTTGGAAGAAGTTGATCCCCAACATCGAGCAAAAGAACTGCTCCCGAAGGAGGGAGAGAAACCCACACTAGCGACCTCGGGGGGAGAGGGTTTACAAAGTGTGTCGAGGGGGTTTGCTTTGAAGCAACAGCCGGGACTCTCAACCACTGCCTGGGGGAATAAGGACCTATATGGTTGTGGCGAAAGAGTGGGCTCCTCCTGGGGTTCGAACCCAGGTGCCGCTCCACCAGAGATTAGGGACTTACCAAACGGGCCACGGAACACTCTGGTGGTGACTGCTGCTTGAGGGAATTGTGGGTTTTGCTGGTGTATATAGGGTTGTTGTTGGCTCACTTGGACCTTCACTTGCGTTGGCCTTTTTTTTGCGCGCACGTAAGTGAGAATACCAGTCTATATATCTAGATACTGTCGTCTTCACTTGCAAACTACTTTAGCATGATTCACTCCAGCACTTTGCAATTCACTACAAGTTTTCACAGGGGGTGTGAGAGAGATTCGAGAAACACAACCATTCTATGCGCAGATCAAAGACTCGCACTCACTACAGAACCACGTCAACAAACACTCAGTGACACGTCTTGCACGTTCTTGACCTGTTTCCTGAGCACCAAAACAAACGAGAGAATTAGAAAACTGCTGATGCTTGATTCGACACGTAATATATACGCCATCACTTTTTCCCCCAGCCCCTGGAATGAACCCCCAAGACACTACGGACCTGTTTTCTCACTTTTCTGAACTGGATATCCAGGTCACGGATCTACAGTGTTAGTCTCACGCTCGCAATGCTAGAATCTGCAATAGCACCACACTCTTTTGTGAACTGCACCAGAGGAGGATATGGGGAGTCCAATGTGATCATGTATGTGATCTCATGCTAGAATTTCAATGCTGACATAGATACTAGTGACAACCATTTCAATGGAATCAATATCCAAGGGAGGATGCAATAAAACCACCCCAATGACAGAAACGTCAAAGGAAACAATGATACAACAGTCATTTGTTAGTTTTCCTTTGTACGGATTGAGCAAAACAGTTACCGAAATCAGATTTACTGTATTTTCTTGCTTTTTCGACTTGGCCCACGTGGGTTTTCTGATGGCTCTTGTAATGTGTGACATGTATTTCGAGACGTTAGAAAAGTTCATGTAACAGTAACAAGGTGATATCAGAAATTGATGCTCTGCGATTGCATCTCCTGCATTCCACTCCCTGTAAGTGTATGATAAAAGCTACAGCGTTCGTCAAGCAAGATTCAGCTTCAAGATGGGGGGACAAAGGATAAATCCTCTGTTTTTTCATGAACAGAGACAACTTGGGACAACTTTGGAAGCCAGGATTGCCCTCCCATAAACGACGAGCAGGAGTTCACATGTCGCAGAGAGGATTAACAAAAGTATTCGTAACCTCGTCATTTGTAACCTGAAAGACTTGTTCACCGGTTCAACTGCTGCCAAAAGCAGTACAGCAGCAATTTCACTGCCCGAATCAAGGACTGAGGACACGCGAGTCAGCTCAAGTACGGACATGCATCCATTGCATACATCTCAGCATAGGACTACAATGACCAGATCTCGATATGGACAAAGGTGGATCGTGCATTGCAGATTTCCAGACTGGAGTCATGAGACATAAAACTGCATTGCAGCTGTCTACATCGCTTGGTACCGGAGTATGCATGTGCAGCCAAAAAACGAGGCGGAGGACTGCATGAGGCTGCGCTGGCGGCTAAAGAGCGAGACCTTGCTTCTCGAAGATGGGGACTGTTCCGAGTACCAGGTGAGCTTCTAGATCTGGCATCGTACAAGGTTCATCGCATAGGCTGGGTATTGGGACGCGAATGCAAGGCCCGTATTGTGGCAAATGACTGATGCTCTACCACGACTCGAACTCGTTCAGAGGGAAAATTTGGTCAAGAAAGGAAGAAATGGTTCATGTTGTATTGGGTATTTGATGATGAAAGTAGAAGAGGATAAGAAAAGGCCTGTTTGAAGTGATTTTGTGGCTCTGGAACTACGAACCAAAGGTCGTCTAGACCGAAACGCCAGAGTGCATGCAATTTCCAAAAGCAAGCCAAGGAACGCCATAGATGCAACAGGGAAGAAAATGTCATGAGAAGAAGATGAAGGGAGAAAAAAGCGTAGATCAAGAGTCTTCCATCTTGACATCCTCGTAACCGTCGTCGTCGTCTTCGTCGTCGTCATCTTCATCATCGTCTTCGGCCTCGTCGGCAACTTCTTCCTTGACGTTGGTAGGGTCGATGTTGACAGTCCTCTCATATTCAGGGTTGAGCTTGTAATTCATGGCGAATTTACCACTACGCATGAGAGTAGCGATTTTTTCGACGTTCTGCTTGATAAAAGCCTCAGGCTGATGCAAGCGCTGCTTGAGAGCCTTGAGCGACCAGTAGCGGTATTGCTTGAAGCAGTCTGTGAGCAGATCGAAGAGCTCTTCCTGGCTGACACGGACAGCCTTCTCCTGTTGCTTCTTGACAGGCTTCTTTGCTTGTGTGGCCTTGATGAAGCTGCTAAAGGCTTGGTTGGCTTGGGTGTTGGAATGGACGGTTGCATCGGCGCCGGACTCGAAGCGGGTGGTGCGCTTGGGCTGGAACATTTCCATGAAGCGGCGGTCGGTCAGACGGCGGTACTCGTCGTTCTCGACGGCGGTCACGGCCATCTCGGCCTTGACGAAGCCTGCGAGGGCGGTTTGTTCTAGCAGGATCAGCAGGATGCCATGAGTGGGAGAGAGGCTGGAGAGCGACTTACTGGGGATGGACGAAGTGTAGGGCTTGTTCTTGTTGACCTTGTAGTTCATTCCTCTTGTGTCCTTCCTGACTCGGTTGGGGTTCCAGGCCTTGAAGCCAGGCTGGTCGCGCTCGGAGAAGACGACGGTGTTGTTGTACTGGCCGCGAGAGCTGCTCAGGTCGTAGAGTTTGGGGACATCGCGGTGCTTGGGCATGTCGTGCAGCTTCATCTGAATCTTCTGGGAGCCGTCCGGGTTCGGCTGGTTGTAGACGCGCACTTTGCCGATTTCGATCTCTTCGTCGTCGGCAATGTCAGCCCAGGCGGACCATAACCACTTGGGCAGTCTGCAGAGCCAGGCCTGCTGCTCTTCCTCGGACCGCGGCATCTGACACTCGCCCGTGTCTTCAAACTCGTCGGCGTCGTGCTCGGGCTTGATGAAGGCGCCATCTTCCGTCTTGATTCCGTTGGACGACGACATGATGTGACGATGCGCGACAGGCAGAAGGAAGGTGCCCTCGGTGATGCTGCCCTTTGCTCATTCCTATCGATTGTTGACGCACAGACCACGACTTCCCCAGGTTTCCTCAAACAGGCAGTGACGTCGGACGAATCAATCAACAGTCGCACCTTCCCTTCACCTGATCTAAGGACTCTAACCTATCGTGCCTTCCTCATTCGTGTCTAAACACAACCTGTCAACATGGCAGGCACACTGGAATCATCCCAAGTGACGGAACTTCTCCTCGCTCTCGAAGATGCCCAAGCGAACAAGAAAGTCCAAGGCTACAACGACTTGCTCGACAAGATCCTCTCACAGTCCGCCGAGCCATCTGGAAACCTGATTCAATACGTCCAGTCCATTCTTGGTGACTCGGTCGGCATCGTCACCTCGCGCCCTCTGCTCGCAACCTTCGTCGACAAGCTCGCCTCCCTCCCCGATGCCGACATCAAGATCGCCGTCGGCACCCAAGCTATCGAAGCTCTCGCTCCCAAAGTCGTCTCCTTCGAAGAACAGGACAGCGCCATCAAACTCATGCTAGCCGACAGCTACGAGCAAAATGAAGACTTCACCTCGTCCGCAAAGGTCCTACAGCAAATCACCCTCGACTCATCCCAACGCCACGTTACCGACGACGACAAGGCAAAGATCTGGATCCGCATCACTCGCTGCTATCTCGAAGAAGACGACCCCACAAACGCCCTCTCCTACCTCAACAGAGTCAAGAATGTCATCTACAACGTCCAAGACCAGCCCACAAAACTCCAATTCCAGCTCTCGCAAGCTCGCATCTCGGACTCGCAACGCAACTTCCTCGACGCCTCCAACAGCTACCTGAACCTTTCTCTCGAGCCCGTCATTGATGAGGAGGAACGCCTACAAGCTCTGTCCGCCGCCATCATCTGCGCCGTCCTCGCTCCTGCAGGTCCCAAGCGCGCCCGCCAACTCGCCCGCCTGTACAAGGATGACCGCACGCCACAATGCGACGAGTTTGCCATTCTAGAGAACATCTTCTTGGACCGTGTGCTCTCGCCTGCGGAAGTCAAGGCCTTCGCCGAAAAGCTACAACCCCACCAGATGGCAAAGACTGCCGACGGCAGCACCGTCCTCGACAAGGCCGTCCTCGAACACAACCTCCTCGGCGTCTCAAGGCTGTACTCCAACATTCCCGTCACAAACCTTGGAACCATGTTGGGCGTCGATGCCGATCGTGCCGAAGCCTATGCTGCACAGATGATTGAGCAAGGTCGTCTTTCTGGCTACATCGATCAGATCGATGGCCTGATTCACTTCAGCAACGACACTACCAACGGTGAGGGTGTAAAGACAAGCAGCGCTAGCATTGGCACCAGAGAATTGAGAATGTGGGACGCCAACGTGCAGGGTCTTGCTGAGGAGGTCGAACGTGTCACTACCATGATCCAGACCGCACATCCCGAGTTCTATGAATTGAAGATGGGTGCTTGAAGAGGAAGAACAAGACGATGACATATATTGCATACTTGCTAGGGAGTTTCGAGGAGCATCAGCGGGGTTTTATATGGGCGTTCGTTGCTTTTCAACCAAGGATATACCACAGAGAGCTATGTAAATAGCAGATCGACACCCGCATGGGACAAACACAAGACATACTTCCAAGACCACCTCCTCTTGAGTCGCTCAAGTCTCGCTATAAAGCTGCAAACTTGATTTGCTCACGAAGAGACTATCCACATGAATATGTAGAGATGATCACTATATCTAAACTCTGCAGAGCAGAATCAGGAAGCTGATCAAGTCGTCACAACAACAATCATAAGCAAAGCACATTGAGCAAACACAACAAGTACAAGATCTCCTTGAGCGATCAAAACAGTCATAAACAGAGTCTATTGATCGGCGACAATGATACTAGGCAGTCACAATTCGGAACTTCAAGCTGTGCAGAGTCATACTTGCTCGCTCCTTCCGTCATCAAGCAACTGCAATAAAACTCCACCAACAGCCCTTTAAGATCAATCCTGTTGACTACAACACCGTCTGCATTACCTGAATTATCGACATCAGTATAACATCGCCTGTACTGCCTGTCACCTACTCGATCTGCCGTTGACTGTCTCACTTGCTTCATGCCGCAAAGAGAGCGCGCCTGCCTTCGCTAGTCACTTTCACAACCGCTTTCTCCTGGTTTCCGTCTTCAGTCTTACTTGTCCTAGACTGCACGCTTCACAAATTCCATTTTTGCCAGTCCCATCAACGCCAATACCATCGTCACCAGTTCCATCATCTCCAGTTCCATTATCCCCAGTTCCATCATCGCCGGTTCCATCATCGCCAGTCATATTCAATGGGGTCTACCGAAGAGACAAGTGATCTAGCCCGCTTTTACAACAACGAACAATTCTCAGACGTCGTTGTCAAATTTGGCGAGAGTAGATTGTACGCACACAAGGTCATTCTTGCAAAACGGTCTGCATATTTTGCAAGAGCTTTTCTTGGCCAATTCGCTGTACGTGATCAACATTCATGCCAACATGGAACTGTCTGACATTTCTGCNAGGTCGCCTCAAGCTCTACTATTGATCTAGGAGATGAAGATGATCCCCAGATGATTCGCGAGATGATACAATCAATGTACGCCTGCGATGATACACTCAGACCAGACGAGAGATCCCTAGCAATGCTAGTTGATACGTTCATAATCGCCGACAAGTACGATCTTCTGCAGCTACGCCGCAAGATTCCTGATGCATTCGAGACTAAGCTATCTGACGATTACTCCCGCAATGCAGACGAGTTTGTTCGATTGATCATAGCTAGGGTCTGCGGGCCTACTGCCATCCGATTTGCCGACAAGGGCTTACAGCGCTCGGTTATGAACCATTGTAAGATGCATCTCACAGATCTGCTCCAAGACCGGCGATTTGTCGAGCAATACACTGGAGGAACACTATTTGACAGCGAATTTGCCCTGGCTTTCAATCTCCATATGGGCAAGAGCGCGCTTGAGAAAAATGGTCTCGTCCCTACGCTACTCAAAGACTATGAACCGAAGATGAAGCCGTCTCCTACAAGGTTAGTACTGGAATTTGACTGCAGCAATATGGAAGACTGATATAATATTGGCTAGCACGCCTCCTGGATTCTTCAACGACCAGTCGCTTTCCGATGTCATCATATACTATGGTCACGGCCAGTCCATCTTTGCTCATAAGATTATCCTTGCAGCTCCGCCTTCCCCGTCATATTTCCACCGCATCCTCGAGGAATCTCCATCGGTCTGCAAATCAAAGTAACCCACATCGTTTTAGTAGCACTAACAGGGAAACAGATCGACTGTATCGCGCTTAGTAGCCAAGATGAGCCCAGATTGATCGAAACTTTGATACATGATCTCTACGATATGAATTACCATCCTGACCCAGAGGACTGGACCACGTATCTTGCAGACATGTATTTGATGGCCGAGAAATACGGCCTGGGCAAGATTGTCAATAGCTATCTGGACGCCTTCGATGAGGTATTCTACGAGGATATGACTATGTCTAAGTATGCTCTACAAGTTGCAAAGTTCTGTGGTCCTTCTGCTCTTGCGTGCTACGCCGACACGGAACTCTCAGAAAAGGTATTCTCTGCTATACTCATGGACCCTAGCTTGCTACTGGATGAGAACCAGATGTTCTGCGATATGCTCGAGGCCGGAACGTTGTTTAACCACAAATTTGCAGGCCGCTTCACTACAAAGATTGTTGAGATGTTGAGAGATGTAGAGGGAGCCTTGTGAGTGTGAGATTCAGCGCAGCTACATTCTACAAGGAGCATCGATGGTCACAAGGATGTGTTGAAACAGTGGAGATCTGTCGGTCCATAATCGCTGATCAAAGCTGCAGACAGAGCTGAGTGAGGTGCGCGATGCTGGTCGGACTTTGGAACGTGGCTAGGAAGCGAGCCATGACAAAAGCTGTAGTGATGAGTCCGAATGACTCACCTTCGCTGGCTCTATCATCAGGCAACAAACGTGTGTTCGCGTGGTTGACACCGTGGCATGGTCTGAGACGGGTGGGGATCTCGAGACGGTCAGGCAATATCCGTAAAACATTGCCTACATCTGTTTGTCCAGTAGTCTTGTCTCGACATCCTCGTGCTTTTCGATATGCTTCTTCCCATGTTTCGTACGGCTTGCATGTCTCAAAATTGTTACCCGTACCATACCTTTAAGTCTTGGTGTAACTGGCCTGTCAAATGTCAATCATGTTTATTGCCGTGATGCTGGATATGCCGCTTTCCGGCGGTTAGATGTCCCCGTAGCCTATCTGCTTCTCTCAATGGCATGCAACACGATGGTGCTCTTGTCGCTCTTCGGGTGTTGCTGCCCGAGCCTCGAGATTCGTATTGAGTGCTATAACGGTACTACCACTGCTATCCGTTCAAAACATTTCCAGACTTGACCACTCAATACAGCGGTAAGGATTATAGAAAGCAGCAGATACAGGAGATCAAGAAGACAGAAAGGGCAATGTCGACGTACCACCAAACCAGCATTTTCTTCTTGTTTGTCAAACCTTTTGACAGTTTGGTTGTACAAGACCCGTGGCGTGTGTGGTAACGTGACGATTTTATCGTGTTATCTTGCTCATGTGCTTGATCATTTGGGCTTGCACTTGGGCGACATTCATCTCCATCAGCGAGATGACCGAGCTGGGCATCAAAGCCCAATCACACTTTGCCTAAACACAGCCTCTTTTCGTGCCGCGCGAATAAAGTGGGAAAGAGATGAAGAAGAAAAAAGGCAGCAACAGACAAGAAAAAAGAAACAAACAAAGCCATCATGAAGGATCACTTATGTATGGTGCTCAGACTTAAGGCTTGGTGAGAAGAGAAACTGATATTGTTGGACCACAGAAACCCACTTTTAGCTTACCAGATGTTGAGCACCAACCCCTCCATCCCGTTGCACAAAAGCAGGAGTTTGTTCAAGAAAGACCAAGTAATCCACAAAAGAAAGGAAAATCATTTTTCATAGCTCGCGGCCCAATGATGTTGTTGCGACTCAAAACACAACATGGAAGTAACATTGCGATTGGTTGAGTAAAGGTCATGCAGAGGGTTCGGGGACGGGGAGAATTCTGGTCTTTTCGTGATCAGGAAGATTCGAGTCATCTGGAGACCTTTTCGGGCAGCAAGAGAAGAAAAGGTTCGAAGGATGGCGAGTAAGCGAAAAGATGGCTGGAATATGTTCTCAGCGTAAAGGAGAAAGTCCTGTCGTCAGCAACAGACAGGGACAAGGGGTCAAAATTGCTGATTTCGGCAGCAACGACTTCAAGGTTTCGGGCGGAGCGGGGTGCGGGAAGGGAAGGGAGCGGCCCTTTCCATCCAACCAGAAAATCAGAAAACGGGTTTTTTTTCATTCTCCTTTTGTCTTGCTTGCGAATGTGTGACAACAAGATGCAGCGTCTCGAATTATTTCTCCTGTTGCAAATGAAGATGGCTGTACGCACCCGTCGCGATGTGCGCCGATCGTGGCTGAAGGGGAGGCACCGACGGGAAGAAGACCATTTCTGATTTGGAGCGGGTCTTTCTGTCCTTGCATCCGACGCGGTTGAATGTGCGAACTGGCGGTTTCCCTTCTTAATGCCCAACTTGCTCGCTTACTGCGCGCGGCTAAAGGTGTTTGCGAAACTCGAGAGTCGAACAGCAGCCGCCGTGTCCAGGGTCAGGTGGTGAGTCTGGCAACCCTTCAAGAATTAGACGTGCAGTAGAGTCTTGCATGATGTCTGGAAGGCGCGATTGTTGGACTCATGGCAAATATGCAGGTGGATGTCGCTGCCTGCGCGAACTGATTCTCGACATGCAAGAGAAGCCGAAGCCCTCAATCAACTTGTCTCAGCACACCCAAGTCGCTGTAGTGATCCTTGCGAACTGCCGCGGCGGACGGAGATCCTTCAAAGGGCAAGAGGACATGCACAGTGGACGAATGGCATGCATGCGAAACTCGTGATCTCGGTTGTGGACCTTGTTTTTCGGATCATGTCGACATGGAGTGGCTGGTCGCTTTGACCTGCTGCGAACCTGCGCTGACCAATTGACGGCCAGCCCGCACCGCCTCTTTCCATGCAAACATGCCCGACTCACGAGGCGCACTACGCATGCCCGCATTACTCGAATACCTTCGTGATCTTGTGAGGAAAAGGGCTTGCTATGCCCATGGATGACACTCGCGTCGTGGCCTGGAAGGGCGTGTGTGAGGGCCTCGTCTCCACGCAGTCACAGGTATATCGCATCCCGCGTGCCGTGTCACGGTCTTGGAAAGACTTGATGGAGCGGCGGCTCGGCCAGGTAAGGTAGTATCATTGTTGTTGTTGCAATCGCACGAACCGGCATGCTCCCGTATCGGTGTGTGCATCCTCCAAGTCTGCACGACACTACTCATCTTCTTGAGCTCCCAACCCCTTGGGGTGCAGGCTCTTTTCGCTCTCCCAATAATCGCATGCGCTCTCAGCAGATAATCCTCTTGATATCCTGGCTACGTGGGGCAGCAGCGACAAGCACAATACTCACACTGATCGGGCTATGACAGAGCTACTTATTCAACCTGCTCTTCATATGCCGATTACCTCTCTGCCATTTTGACGCGGTCATTCACCACATGAAAGCATTCTTATGAAAGCACGCTCTTTTCTCCCCTTGACGAAGCACACGATAAATACATTACGCTCTGCAAATATTCTTCTACCCGCAGCACCCACCCACTCTCCTGACTCGGTGTCGCTGTCTCTGAACGACACCTTCATCATACCCCGGTCTCAAACCTCACCGCCTCTTACTCGCAAAGGTTCGCATCCGCAACGGATATTAACAGGATTCCCCGCCATGGCTTTCCAATCTTCACATCCTCACCCTTTTGGTTATGACATGAACGCGCATCACCCAAATTACGACACGCCTCAACAATCAAATCAGCCATCCGAATACTATCAAGGGAACATAACCGACGGTGATCAACCCATCAACAATGTCGCCATGATGTCGATCAACTCTTCAAGCCACAGCTTCCGTAAAGATTCTGTCGCGACGAACTCTGGCTCTGTCCACGATGTTTCCTCATGGGATCAGAAGCAAATTTACCCTGGTGCTGGTTTCGATTCCTCACATGCGTATCATCGAGGCGATAGTAGTGCTTATGTCCAGCATGATCACTCACAAGTCTATACTCCTCAAGGATGGATGATGTCGCCGACGACTTCTGTGGACACTGCCGGCTTCGAAGGCTACCCGGGAGCCAAGTACGAAAACTCGCCCTTCCCTGGTAGTTTACCATCAGACCGAGCCTCATTTCCGCCTCACCCTCTGGCCCAAGCTCACCATGTGTCGAGCTCACCACAAGCATCTTTGTCGCCACCGGCACACGCTGACTGGATGGATATGACTGGACCCAATAGGCCACTCAAGTCAGCGGATGTCAAGCCCATCAAGCCTCGCCACCAACCTCTTCTCAGACGTGATACTCGCGACGGCATTCGCAAGAAGAATGCAAAGATACCCATTCCTTCCGAGATCACCCTAGAGAACATCGACGACTTGATTGAGGGTTGCACTGATGAGGATGAGATGAAGCAGCTGAAGGCTCAGAAGCGTCTGCTCAGAAACAGAGAAGCAGCGTAAGTTGCCTGAACTTCAACTGCCGTACTATACTGACTTCGATAATAGTNNCTTGCCTCACGCCAACGGAAGAAGAAGCACACCGAGAACCTCGAGCAGAAAGAAAAGCACCTCGAGACCAAGCTCCTATCTCTTCATCAGCAGATCGATCAACTCCGCCTCCAAGTAGAGACGACCGAAAGTCAAAAACAGTTCTTCATCTCAGAACACAGCAAAGCACACGCCAGAATCCAAGCAATGCAGTTGGAGAAAGAAGACTTGATCTGCAACCACACANAAGAGACTTCTCACTTACGTGGACAGATAAACTGGTATCGAGAACAGTTTGAGGCGACAAGTCCGGCCGCTCCAGCCATGAGTGCCGCACCGAGCAGTACTGGCTTTACTGACTTCAACCTGGACATGGATCATTTGGCTATTGGAGATCAACCTTGGGACAGGTTCATCAATGTGCATGGAGCTGATGATGCAGACTATCTTGGCGAGACCACTGAATCTTTTGCCACCATCCAGCCAGCCAAGCAACTTGCCCAGCGACAGCAAGACCATACGACTAAGCCCAGTGCAGAGCAGCCAGTCGCTTCCGGTATCTTGTTTATGCTTCTACTCTGTGGAGCCTTTGTAGCCTCCAGATCATCGCCGACAGCAAGAGATACTGCGCAGAACAATCTCATCCCAAAGATGCCCGATGAAGTTCGAGCTGCGAGTACCGAGGTGCTCAACAACTTATTGAAGGAGAACCCAAAAGAAGCTTCGCTCTTTCTACCTGATCTTGCTCCTTCACACCGCTACTTCCAGTCCAGTAATCAAGCATGGCCACAGCCTCCAAATTTCGCCGACTTGCACAAGCGTTTGACTTCGCCAACTGCGATGCAAGAAGCAGAACAAGCTTTTGCTATGACCCCTGAGCAGTACAATGCCTTGACCACATACCAACACGTGGACACCACAGCCTCTGCACCTCCATCCCTTAGCCTTCGTCCAAATCTCGCCGAAACGCTAGAGAGAATGCGAGAAGCCAGAGGACCGAGCGCGGCAGAAGTATACACGAGGAGTTTGCTCTGGGATACCATACCAGAAGACGTCGTAAGAGCCTTCAAGCGCGCTGTGGCGCAGAGACAAGGAGACGATGAGCAGATGAACGACGAGACTGATGTTTGATGATAAGATGCTACAACCCGACAGCAAAATGATGGCACAACAGTTGCCAGGAGCGACGAGTCATGATGACGATGATGACTGACGAATTTTCCTTTCTCTTGTACTTTCCTTTTTTCTTGTTTGTTCTTACTCTGTCGAGATGACTGATGGATATGATTGATGAAGAAAACGATCTCGAATGAAGACAAACGAAACCCAGCATATATGCAAGGAGGACGCCCTTTGCAATGAACCACGACACTATGAACCACACGAAACAAACGACATACCAGGATTCACATCACACATGACATCCCATCTACACACGACCACGATAATGAATTTTCGACATACGACCCACCATCTTAACTTCCTTCCTGCTTTCCTAATCTTGTCTGTCCCTTCCAGTCTTGTCTCTGTACTCTTGCTTTGTGCTTCTTCTTTTTTTTTGGCCCGGCGTAAGTGAATTGGAGACCCGAAGCCTGGCCCAATGGCGACTTGTCTCACGACCTCTCCTTCTCTTGTTCACTACTCATGTATCTAAGCAGAGTTTTCCTGAGTATCCGGAAGGCAGGAATTACAATGCTGAGTCTCTTTTTGACATGGAAACTTTGAGTCTCAATGTGTTGAAATCTAAGCAAGGCTCTGGGGGCGATGACACCGTTTCTTTTCTAAAGTCCGTGTTGTGAGTTTCTCTACGATGTCTAGATATCATGTTTTTGAGGTACAGACATGATTTTTGAACTGGCGACAGTGATAGCTGCAAAGGTAGTCACCATGGACGTGATTGGAGAGTCGAGACTACTTGTTCAAGTACAAGGTTTTGAGTCGAAGGGAATGAGGAAGAAAGCTGGCAAACATGTTCAGGACATTACCTGCCACATCAACTGTCTGAAGCATACACTTTCAGTTTACGCACTTGCCTTTGGTGTGGCTTGCACCTTGTGTATCCACGATTCAAGTATGGCATTCTTTGTTTATCCGTTCGTTGTGTTCTCGTCACTGGTAGCAGCAGTGGTCTAGCGGTCAAGACGCTGCATCAATGTGTCTTTCTTACTGTCAGCGGACCACTGAACTCTCATGGTCCAGCTAATAAAGGACGATACAGAGGTCATGAGTTCGAATCTCACTTGCCGCATTTTACTTTTGTGGTTCTTCCATATCAAGGTGACAACCAAGCAACCAACACTGACCATAGTTGCGTAGGTATCAAAACACCTACTAGCCAGGATTGAATAGAGGGTGCCATCTGTGATATTCGAAAAGCCAAGCTACGCTAGTATTTACAGCGTCATGAAGGATTCACCTAGCAACGACGCGCAGGCCTTGGCCTCAATTGTCTTAAGGCAGCAGGATTCAATCCCCAGACAACCCACATCTGAGGCAACAGGATGGATTCTCCCTCGATACGAGACCTACATTGAAGAAGGCATCAAGATACAAAGCATCATCAGGGGATATAAGTACATCTCGAATTCCACCATCACAAACATCTAATCCAATCATCCAACTCTCGAACGCATGAACGATCATACTCTACCTCGCCTATAACAGCAATGAAATCCTCCACCTTCTTCACACTCGCCTCTCTCGCTGCCCTCGCCGCAGCCAAGATAAACGTCACCTACACTCCCGCCGATGGCCAAAACGTGCACTCGGGCGAAGAAGTCCGCGTCCTCTGGGACCAAGACAAACTCATGGACCTGTCACTCCAACTCGTCAAGAAACAAGAAGATACAAACCATTGGCCTTTGGGATTCAGCTGGGTCAGAGGTGATTGGATTAAATTGAGATTGGGACCTGGCCATGCCGAGTATGTGTTTTGGGATGTGCCCAAANGTCGATCCTAAAGGGTAAGTTAAAGAAGTAATCAAGGTGGAGATCCAGAAGGGAAAGTGCTGATCTTTTGATACAGAGAGTATACTTTCTTTGTGGAGGGCTTTGACGTCAATGAGCGTTATGGCTTGAAAATTGTTGATAATGGGACATCGGAGTGGTTTTCTATCACCAAGTGGACGCCTCCCAAGCATGCGGATCTCAAGGTGTGAGGACTGCTGTCATGTTTCTGATGATCCAGTCAAGTATCTGGCAGAGTTTGTAGCGGGAAAGAAAGTGAGGATTTGCTGGTCTGTCGTCGTCAAACCAGTCGAGGAGGCACGCGCTGTCTTGGTCGTAGATCCGAAAGATCAGAGATAGAAGAAAAAAGAGTGATCATCAAAACATCAGATGCCCCCTTTCTAGCCTGATTCCAAGTAGCAAAAGTCTTCAACGGCGCTCCCGCAGCAGCCAACAATTGCCAAAATCCACGTTGTCTTGATTGCATCTCGCTCCATCTCTCCTTCATGACCGCGTCCATATCTTGTAAGCCTGCTTCCTCAAGTGCTGCAGCAACGGCAGGAGTAATTTCCGTCGTCTTACTCTGCCCGTCATCTTTCTGCAAGTCGAAAGGCAAACCCCAACCCCACCACCTCGGCCCCATGACTTGTTTCCAATTCCGTAACAATCCAGAGTCGTAAGGGTTTGCGCCTGGAAATGTCTCCACGATAGCATATGTATGTGTTCGGGTAGTAAAGGTTCTGATGCCGGAGAAAGCTGTTGCAATGGCTTTTTCTTCTCCCATCATACCGTCGTTGATTCTTACTGCCAACCGCCACACTTTCTTTTTACCGACTGCATTGTCGATGGTAGTGAGATTTGCAGAGGTCAAGAGTACAGCGCTCAATCCTGTCCCTCCCGCCAGACATACAAAGAAGATACCAAGGCCTACGGTCGCGCCCAGATGTCCAGTCACATCGTGTCCGTCAAAAGCGCCATGGTTCCAGGGTATGGTTATGGAGATAACAGTAACCAGAGAAAACATGGCTGCGTAAACGGAGAACAGCAGAAAAGTCTTGAAATTCGTTGCTGTCGTGTAGCCACCCACCCAAGGACAATAATGGTCGAATTTCAGTAGACATCTGTCCAGCATTCTGGAATGGTGTGCACGGTTGGGCTTCCAGTGTTTGCAGCGCTGACACCATAGTGGTTGGCCGGACTCGTCGCATTCGTAAAATGCTTGTTCGTGGAATGACTCCAGTGTGGGTGCTGCATGGATCTTTCTGGGGAGGCCTCGGATCTTTTCGACAGGAGGAGTTGTCTGTTTTTCTAGGGATTGAGTATCGGTAATGGAAAGTACTCCGGGATCGAGATAGGCGTGATATATGGTGTCGAAGAACGAGATGGTCATAAGAATGAGGAACAGAAGAAAAAAGAACAGGACTGCCGATGCACAGCCCAATCTCTGAGGCTGGGTCGGTGGAGGGGAGATCCATACATCCACNTGTTACAACGTATATAGGTCAGCGATCGTAGACAACAATGGAACATAACCGGAGAATATCTTACCGCAGAGTAAGACAATAACCACGTACGTGACGTATGAAATGACACCCACGAGCACCGGAGGCAGCAGTCCGGCACCGATCTGAATCGCATACATAGCTGTACCGTGTAAAAAAAAAGTATGGTCGTCAGCGAGATGAGATGCTGGAACAATTGAGCCTCGTTTCAGGCTCATAGATCAAGGGCATATTTTAAGCTGCCAGAGAACTAACTCATTTCAGCTTATCAGAGAGAAAGAATCTCCATGCGTCAGAGGGCTGTGGTTTTCGATACTTTACCCAGTTTTCTGAATTCTGGTGTAGCCACGAATGTCTACTCCACATTAGAGTTTGGAAGCATTTTCGAGATTCCGCGGGGATAGCTTCTGTTGATGTTGGCATGTCACAACATCGAGTTGTGTATTCTGCATCCGGCAACACCCTATTCCCGACTCCAGGAACAAACCCCTGATCTTCCTGTTGCTCTCTGCGGATGATCGACACCGCACGTGGGAACAATGGTAAGGTTTAGTTCTTGGTTCGAGTGTCCGCGGCTCAAAACCGGGGACGTCATCGGTAGTGCGAAATGCGGATAATCAACCTATGGTGTCATCAACATCTGCGATTCTTTGAGATAGATGTCATATGTCGGTCGCAAAAGTCACCCTACAGTTGGTATCTGTTTGGGGCGGAAGAGACACAAACACTCCCAAAAGCCTTATTTCCGAAGCTGCGTTATTAAGGTTTTTTTTTGAATATCGACGACGTGCGCCCAGACAAAGGCATCGCAAGTTCCACTGTGAGCCTTCCTATGCATAACCAAAATATTTTGACATCTTCCCGCGGTCGATCAGTGAGCGTCACTAGAGGAGGGACATGCGCGCCGTGTTCCAAATGGCGTACCATCGTGAGAGCGGTAATGTTGATGAACTGTGAGTTCAGTCTACTGCAAGTGATGGTGGCGGCACGACCTGATGAGGTATGCCGCTCATTCGGCTGTCTTTGAACTCTAGCTAGATCCTCGAGGTTCTGCAAGAAAGTCTCGCGGGTCATGGCTTTTGGCTTCCATCGAGCTGGTTAGGAATTGAGTGCTACAGTCATGGTGCACAACCAAGACCTCTGCATCTTTTACAGATTGGGTGTGGATGCGTGCGATCGAATTCCAGTTGTTGGTTCCACGCTTCTTCAATCGCATCAAGGTCGGCTTCCCACATGTCCTCGACTGATTTCTGTTCTAGCTCCGCAATCTCCTCTTTCTTGCTTGTGATCAGTAGCTCGAGTTCATGCATAGGACCCGGCATCATGGAAGCCACGGTCATATCGAACAAGTGTTCATAGCCAAGAACTGTGGGCTTACAGTCGACATCGCGTTTTCTCTTTTTNGTTACGAAGATATTATCATAGTTTTCGACAGGTATGAGACCGTGCTGGATCAAATTTGCGACAAGAATATCCCTGTCTTCAGCTATATTGATGTCTCCTCCCAAGAGCAGCTTGACGAATCGTGATTGATCGGTCCATTTCGTCAGATCTTGTCGCATGGTCGAAAATTGAAGGTATCTTTTCCTTTCATAAGACCTGAATCTGGATAGGAAGAAGTCTTCCAGAATATCGAGATCTGTAGCATACTTCTGGACTTGTCCGCTTGCATCTAGAGCAACGAGATTATCGGTCGTGATGATCTTGTGAAGACCCAACCTAGCTTCTAAGCTTCTTTGAATTGTAGCATCCTTATGAGAGTCTTCCAGCTCAATGACAAAACGTACACCCCGAGTCGCTGGATGCTCGGTGTAGGTCTTGACTGTCGGCGAGGGTTCGGAGGCAAGTTTATCGAGCTGAGACTTGAAGTCTTGTGTCCATAGACGAGGCGGTAGTTCGGTGACCTCTACAACGTTTTCTGAGATTCTTTCTGTCTTTCCTGCCATTGAGTAATGAGTTTGGTTGACGTTTTCGACTTGGCCCGTCCAGCTACGAAACCACGGCTTCATGGGCTGCATATCACTCTTGGAGTTTCCTCTAACCCTGCGTCGAAGGTTTTGAATAATGTCCTTCGGGTTGTATGGAGGGATACACGTTTGCCAATCGTGACCACTGGCGTTGTATCCATTGACGAGGATCGTAGGCAGGGCTGGTACATATGTTCTCGGCTCTCCTGGTTTGTTTTTGCGCAAGCGACGGATCAGAATGCTTTCATCTTGTGCAGAGAACACAACGCATGTCAAGTCAGATAACTTTGTATAGATAAATCTGCCCTTTGCAGCATCTTTGCCGCCTTGCCTGCGGGATCCGAACCATCCTAATGGTTCCAGGTAGTTGATGTTGTTCGCTCCCACAAAACTTTGTGCAAGTTTGATGATACTTTCCTCAATCTCCTGATGATCGACATTGCGTGTGAAGAGCGCTGTCACGCTTCCAGCGAGTTGGTCAACTTTGATCTCTCTCCGAGATTTCTGCTGGAGAAGAGTATGAAGAACTTTGCGTTGTAATGGGACAAGGCCGTCGATTAGGGACGGGATCACTCTCCATGGATGAGTTTCGGAGATGGTGAGTTGTTCTTTGTTTACGCTCTCCATGTTTGTGATCAGCTCGAATTTGTGTGTTGGAGTGGTTGCCGGATCGGGGGTCTTCGGGCGGCAGTTCCTCGGTTCAAGTGCTGGCTCTCGGTCTGTCTCCTGCACTCTTTCCTGGCGGACTTGCTCTTCCTTGCAAGATGTTCTCGAGGGACAAACAAGATTCAAATAGCAATGCGCTGAGATCGATGTCTGATCTGCCGGCGCGAGAGGTAGGCGCCAGAGCGTGAAGTTCTTGGCAATACGCGTCTGCCTTGCGACACGCGACTCTCATCACTTCCTCCCCAATTCGCGACTCCCAAGCTTGTCGACCACGTCTTCTGGCGAGAGAGCACCCCTGTTCGATCCACTATATTGTGTCTGATTACACAATCATCTGGTCCATCTGGCTGGCTTTGTGGATGGTGCACGACCAGCGAGAGATGCAATAAGGCTATGTCGCCCAGAACTACGAGCACTGCTCTCGCCAAATCTTCAGACGTTCCTGACCAAGATCGATGCCCGGCTGTCAACCACCGTAATCACAACGATCACACCATTTTGTTATTTCTGCCAAATTTCAGACACTTCTTCGGACATCGACACTGGCCACGATTCGCATCTTATGGAGATGAACTCGTTCTCCTATATTCAGACGCCAGAAAGATCAACGAAGGTGGGTTGTTCCTCGATCAGCAGCGTGAAAAACGCCCTCCGTCCTGTGGCACCAAACTCCAAGATCGCACCTGGCGTTACCGTATGAACATCTATGACTTTCGAAGCAACGCACATCTCCGCAGAAAAGCCATTGGTGCTGGAATGGTCAACAACGAGTTTCACGACCCGCGCGGTTTTTTCTCGATCTTGCGCCCACACTTGTGTTTCCCAGCGATACTATCGTCCCTGAACCCGCCGCCTCATCTCTAGACAACCTTTGGGGTCGCGACTCGACATCTCTCGAGCGACGAGCAGGTCATCCCTGAACCTAAGTGAGATGTCTGGTCGAGCGCTGGCTACTCTATTCGAACTTTTGACTTTCTGGAAGCATCTGGTCGAACATGGCGTCTGAACGGTGAACGAAGAAGATTTTGTCGGTGGTATAGAACACTCCAGCGATCTACCTGGCATGACAAAAGCTGTTGGTGCTAAGGACACTCAAATTGGACTCATGCTCCGTGCTGTGAGTGGAAATCTGCGCCAGCCTACTAAAAACATCACTCGAGAGCTCATCCTTATCCCTAGGCGACCTCCGATTGTACGTCCTCCAAGATTTTTTCGGCTGATGACCTTCCACATTTGGTAAAGATGAAAAGCTACGGCCTGCAGGGTTATGCCTCGTTCCCTCGGTTGAAGTCGAAAGATCAGTCGGTTGACAGTGATCCTGTATAGCCCAGGTTCATGTTTATGGTCTGTACAGACAAGCATACGGTATGCTCTTGGCATATATCCCAGAATTCCTTGGATAATACAACACGGCCAATCACCAAAGATGACTCTCAACACGATGTCGAGATAAGAGGCTAATGATATCTATGCCAAGGCGTGCCAAGATTGCCATGGCCGTACCAGGGTTTCGTAGCTCGGTGGACTTGCCGTCTCGCGCTCCAATCAAGATCAATTGTGCCTGAAAACGTGTTAGGGCGCATATCAACTCGCATGTGTCAGCCGCGCTGATATAATTTTGCCATCGATGCAAGCTCAAGGAGGTCAAAATCATGGATACTATATCACAAAGCTACACGCGACCACTATGCTTTGTAGCACTGCATTCCTCTCACCCTTTTTATCCGAACATGAAGACTGCTGGTGTCTATCTACAGCTACTGGCTGTTGCTTCTCTTGCTGGACAGTCTGTATTCGCCGAGACTATCAGCGAGATCAATGGCAACAAGTTTCTCTCGCCATACAATGGAATGAACGTCACGAATGTCAACGGCATAGTCACAGCCAAAGGACCAAACGGTATCTGGGTTCGGTCTACTAACCCCGACAAGGACGATAGAACCTCCGAATCTGTCTATGTGTTTGACCGCAACTTTGGCAAAACCCTGTCTGTAGGAGACGTCATCCAGCTTAATGGAACTGTCTCGGAATACAGATCAAGCAAAGCATATATTTACTTGACTGAGATCATCAACCCCAAACTAATTGAGAAGGTCTCCTCTGGAAGTGCTGCAACCCCGCTGGTTATCGGTAAGGACACTATCAGTCCTCCTAACAAGGCTTTCTCCGCATTGGACAATGGAGATGCATTCGGCGTGCCAAACAACGTCAGCTTGATCTCTGTGACCAATCCTACCTTGATCCNNCCCCGCAACTATGGCATGGATTTCTGGGAGAGCCTCAGCGGAGAACTTGTCACTGTCAAGGGCGCTCATGCTTTGACCAAGCCAAACAATTACGGCGACACCTGGGTAGTCGGAGACTGGAAAGTCACCGGCTTGAACGGTCGTGGTGGTCTGACTACGGTTGACAAAGGTATGTACGATTGGCAAGGATGGAATTGAGTCACTGATAAGAGTACGCAGNATGCCAACCCTGAGGCTATCATCATTGGCTCACCACTCGATGGGTCGAAGAATCCTGTTGTCACCAGAGTTGGAGACGTTCTCGGCGATATCACTGGGGTTGTCACATATACATTCGGATACTACACTATTCTTCCTCTGACCGCCTTGGACATTATCAAGGCCGTGGAGCCTGCACTTCCGCCACCTACCAAACTTGTGTCTGATGGTGATTGCGGTGGTATCACGGTCGGATCATACAACGTGGAGAACTTGTGGGCTGGGTCGGACCATCTGGTCAACATCTCCGACCACATCGTCAACTATCTCCGCAGTCCTAATCTAGTCTTTGTTCAAGAAATCCAAGACAACAACGGAGAAACTAATGACGCTGTTGTGAGCGCCAACTTGACGCTCAGTACTCTGACTTCTGCAATCAGCAGCATGGGTGGACCTGAGTACGAGTTTGCTGAGATTGACCCTGTTGATGACAAGAACGGCGGTGCCCCTGGAGGCAACATCCGTACCGCTTATCTTTACAACTCAGATATCCTGCAACTGCGCAAGCCCAACTTTGGCTCGAGCACCGAAGCCAACGCGGTCTTGCCTGGTCCTGAGCTCAAGTACAACCCCGGTCTTATCGACCCCCAGAACGCAGCTTGGACTGCGAGTCGCAAACCATTAGTCGCTGCTTTCGAGACTCTCGATGGTAAGAACTCGTTCTTCACCGTTAACGTTCACTTTGGAAGCAAGGGAGGCTCCTCATCTATTGAAGGAGATGCTCGTCCTCCTGTCAATGGTGGTGTCGAGGACCGTCAAGAGCAGATGCAGTTGACTGCTGTAAGTTACTCGAGAAAATCACCAAAGACCACCACTAACTTCCAACAGGACTTTGTTGCTGAGATTCTTGCTAAGGATAAGAAAGCAAAGATTATCGTCGCTGGTGATTTCAATGAGTTCGCCTTTGTCCATCCTCTCGAGAAATTCAGAGAGGTCTCCAACCTTCGTGATCTTGATGAGGCTGCCAATGTTCCCGAGCTCGAGAGATACACTTACCTTTTCGACATGAACAGTCAGGAGCTTGATCACATGTACATCAGCCAGGCTCTCAAGCCAAAGGCACAGTACGAGCATGTCCACATCAACACATGGGTGACCAAGGCTCAGCAGATCTCTGATCACGATCCTTCGGTTGCTAAGTTGAACATTTGCAAGTAGCGATGGATATATCAAGAAGTTGCGAGACATTGCCCGGCGTAGAACCGAGCAGTTGGTCGCATATCTGAAGGGTTGTTTCCTCGTGGAGGCAAGTTAAGATGTCATGGCTGGAGAACTGGCTGTCACAATACCAACAAAAGCTGCATGGTTTCTTATATGCTCACACCAACCGCCTTCCTTTTGCGTTTCCCGGTGACGTCCTGGCGGCCAAGCCCTTGGGTGCATGGTTGAACCCGCAGATCAGTCCTGTAAGCTTGGCGAACCAACTCAAGTGCAGCCCATTCGTCATGAACAAAATATGCTCAACACATCAACAACACCAATAAAGCGGCTTCTTCTGAGTTTTGCATCCGTGGAGGAGTGCATCTCTGTCTCCACCAGTAAGCCCGAGCGTACCATGGCCTCGCTTGAGCCATCGCAACGAACCAGACGAGAACGCGTGAGTTCAGATCTGTAAACGATATAGGAAGGATCGATACGGCATGAGCTGCATGGCTTGCTATGCCAAGTAAACCATGCAACTGTAACGGCGTATCACTGTCTCCACGTGCGGACTCCGGTCTTCGACATGGCTGGGATCAGCGAGGTATGTCTAGGTATAAGTGTCCCGCTCTGTGTCTTGAGAAGTGGAAGATCAGTCTTGTCTCGCTCTACACTCACCTCTGTTGCTCGTGTCTTTGATCCATATTCACCATGATATGCACCGCCGCTCTCGTCATTGGCCTTGCAGCTCTCGATGTTGTCAATGCCATGCCGTTCACCATACCTTACCTGGACAAGACTGGTCGGATTGAGGTGCAGGGTCACCGCGGCGGCCTTGGTATGAGGAGTGAGGAATCACTTTGGGTAGAGTACACCACAGACTCAATGGACGATCAGGATGACTGACTGTATTTGCTATTAGNNGCATTCGCACACGCCTTGGTATGTAGATGATCTGAGCTTGGAATAGGTAACACGCGGCTCATGATGACATAGGAAGTCGGTGTAGATGTGCTTGAGATGGATACTGTATTTACTAAGGACGGTGTTCCGGTAATCTGGCATGATGTAAGCTCTCTACTAGACCATTGTCGCGAACTTGACTGATTAGTATGATAGCACTGGATCTTTCCGACAAAGTGCACTGGCGACTATGTAGGTCAATATATCGCCAATCTGACTCTCCAGCAAGTAAAGACACTCGATTGTTCTCTGCAACTTGCGGCTCATCCCCAGCAAGAGCGTAGGTTACTGTGGGATTCCTCGCAAGACATGGCCATCTGACTCGGTCACANNGTCCATCCCGGCACCACCATCGCAACCCTGGAAGAGGTTCTGGAATTGGTGAATTGCTACGGTGACAAGGGCGTGACGATCAACCTTGAGACCAAACTCTCGCCTACTGCACCTAACGAGACTTTGTCAATCGACACCTATATCACCGACCTGATCCCTATCCTCCAAAAGCACGGCTTCGAGTCTCGTACCTCGATCCAGTCGTTCGATTGGCGTACCCTCATTGGTATCCACAACGCCTACCCCACCATGCCCATTGTTGCTCTGCTCGACGAGACGACAGTGGTGCCCGACAAAAGCAACAAATCTTACCCCTGGTTAAAAAACAGCAAATACCCATGGCTCGGCGGTCTCGACCTCGATGACTTCTCAGGCGACTGGGTAGCCGCAGCTCACTCGATTGGCTCATCAATTCTTTCCCCCAACCACGGTACCGGCAACTCAAGTGATGCTACTGTCAACAGTCCTCTATATAAGCCGTTTACCACGAAGGGTGTTGTAGATAGAGCTCATGGATTGGGTATGCAGGTAATCCCTTGGACTGTGGATGCAGAGGTGACCATCAGCAAGTTGCTCAATGATGGTGTTGACGCGATTATTAGCAACTATCCCGAGAGAGTCATGTATGTGGCTAGACAAAGAGGTTTGAGCGTGGGAAGAGCCAGGAACCCGAGTAAGCCAGAGTGTCTGGCCAAGGCATCTGCTTGATGTTGAGAAATCAAAGTTCGAAAGGCAAGCGGCATAAAGCATCGTAGTTTAGCGCATAAGACCCTCAGCACAGTGGAGTAGATGACATCTCTATATAATGAAAGAGAAATGGGTTCAACGTCTCGCCTTTTCTAGTTTACTTTTGCACGTGCGATCAGCCGTTTGTTCAACAGGGAAGATTCGAAACTTGGTTAGAAGTAGAAGAAGGCGAGCAAGGTTCCGGCTGAGGTATCACTGTTGTTTTCGGTGTTCGTCTGTAGGCTGTGGGCTGTTCTCCTAACTAGCTGCTTCAGGTCTGGAACTCTGAGGATGTGACGCGAGCATTTGCTGACGCTGAACCTGGTTTCCTCAGAACGAGTGTCTCGAGAGATCTAAGATCGGATATCCATATAGTGTCGCTTTGGCACCGTGCAGTTGTCTCGAACCAGGGAGATCGAGAAGGTGGCCATGGAAAATATGTCATGGATTCAATGTGGACACAAACCAGAGCGGCAGAGCCAATTTGGATATTTCCTCCACTTCCCGATGCTTTCTCCAATCGCCGGCCTGGCGGCAGGTGCGTTTGGACCGCCAAGCCTCTTGGAATTTTCTAGCGTCCTCGCCCGTGTGTCAACAGTAAAAGGAGAATTCGGATCCAGAGTCAGACAAACCGCATGCTCAGACGATCCTGAATATTTGGCATGATGGCTCTCAGTTTTCGAGTCAGGGCATCCATGTCAAGCCGTACACGCGCGGATGCTCATTACCATGTTAGCCTGTCGTAGAGAGTCGGGAGTCGGTCTGTTGCTGAAACAAGACAAAGATCAAACTAACCAGCCCGTGTTTCTTCGCGGCGACCAAGAAACATAACCATCTCACGCAAGTACGGTGCATCTACAGAATGTTTTGCTGCCGCTTCAGGCGCCCGAACCGAGTCTGGCTCCCGAGCGCCGTTAGACGAGTACCGAAACACTCCTTCAAAAGCCTTCTACGAAGCGAGTAGACCAAACCTAGAACACCGTACCGTGTGCATGCCGCCGCCACGATATGGGTATGGTGCACAGATGAAATTAGGTACATGTTGATGCTATTCAGCTCAAACTTGCTAGATGTATGAAAGCTTGAAGTCACCCTCCGACCTTAACTTGTCTAGCAAGCAGAACATCTCCATTCCGAGTCTCAAAACATGAAGGCTACATTCTTCACCGCAGGCCTTGTTGGGCTTACTGCAGCTCTTCCTCAAGCTTCAATCCAGGAGTCCTCCAGCATTGTCGCTCAGACTTCTACCACCTCCATCGCCTCATTGCAGGATGTTCCTCAAGCCACCAGCCTTGCCCAGGCTGCTGCTGTGAACGTCACCCTCGCAGTTGAAGTCCCCGCCGAGGTCCTTGACACCACTTCCTTGAAGTCAAACAGCCCAGCTATCCTCACCACCAACCCTACGGAGAGCGAGGAATACCTCTCCCTTGCAGACTTCCTCGCCCCCGATCTTTCCATGGACGACATTCCTGCTGTTTCTGTGTCCAAGAGAGACCTCTCGGCGCTCTTTGGCCATTCCGTCTCCAGGGGTCCCTTTGTGAACTTCCTCAAGGTCGCTTCGTAAATCTTTGCCAAGGTCCAGAAGGTCATTGTCTTCTGGACCTGCCCAGAGTGGATCCATCCCGTCCCAAACACCTTCCCTGGCTGGAGAAACTACAAGTCCAATGGAGTTAACCTTGGCGGCTGGCACGTTCTTGAGAAGAACATTCAGCCCAGCTTCTTCAATGATAACGCACCTAGCGCCATCGATGAGGACAGTTTCTGTGAGACTCTTGGCTTGGCAAAGTGTGGTGCTCTTCTTGAGGAGCGTTACAAGACCTACATTACCGAAAAGGACATCGACAACTTCGCCAGCTACGGTATCAACACTCTCCGCATTCCCATCGGTTACTGGGCCTACATGCCCGCCATTGCTGGTGACCATTACTACACTGGTGGTCAGAAGCTTGCTATGCAGAAGATTGCTCGTTATGCTATCGCCAAGCACAACATGCACGTTGTTGTTGACTTGCACGGCCTTCCCGGCGGTCAGAACGGTCTCGACAACCAAGGCAAAACTGGTCAGCTCACCTGGTGGAACAACCAGACTGCTTTCGATCTTTCCCTCGAGATGGTCCGTAAAGCTACTGACGACATCTTGGCACAACCTCACAGCGGTAGTTACACCATCTCGCTGATCAACGAGCCTCTTCCTGCCCTCTACTTCTTCGGTCAGACCAAGGACTCCATCGCCTACCTGAACAAGTACTACGCCGCTGCTCTCAAGGAAGTTCGTCAGAGATCCAAGACCCTCCCCGTAGCTATTGCAGACGGTTTCATTGGCCCCCAAACTTGGGACCCTTACTGGACCAACGTTGACGACCACCTCGTCATCGACACTCACCTCTACTTCTTCGTCGGCGGATCTTACTCCTACGATGCTGCCTATGGTGCATGCTACCTCGCCAAGTCTTACCAGAACGCCAGCAACCCTACCTTCATTGGTGAATGGTCGATCCAGGCTACCAACTTCAACCACCTTGGTGACAACACCCGTAGAGATTTCTATCGCAGTCAGCTCCAAGCATACTCCCAGTACCTACAAGGTGGTATGTTCTGGAACGGCAAGCACGACGGCGACACTGTCGTCGGCGACGATGGTTCCGCTCAGAAGTACTACTGGTCTTGGGAGATCCTGGCTTCGGAAGGCATCGTTCCCCGTCCTGGCGACAAGCTCGAGTCTCTCTGCTAAACGGGCAGTTGCTTCCAGTTGTAGCATTATTTTCAAATCGAGTCAACGATGTTCTATCTCGGAAGACTCTATTTTCGTTTCTCAATACCATTATGGATTCTCATGAATTTACCTGTTACATACTTTGACACGTTTGGATGATGCCAACGGCGGACATGGCGAGATAATAGACCTGGACATTGGTCGGCGTTGGAGGCTCTGGTCCGAGTCTGGATGATGCGATAGATATCATACACGAGAACGTGGAAACACATAAGACCTTTACACGATAAAGCGTTGAATTTCCAGTAAGCAAAAATGTTGCTTGCCCATACCGTTCCCACTTTGTATATGTGGAGACCTTGCAGCCTCTATGAACCTGCCTTCTATGCATGACCAAGACGACAAAGCCTGAACTGAACAAAACTCGGTACAATGCAGCCGAAACACCGACTCAGCGACATCTCTGCCTCGAGAATTGATACACTCCTCGCCAACCTCAGAAAGCATAGAAAGAGGACGGTCTGGAAGCGTGGGGGTGCCATCGTGGACAGCTTCTGGAATAGCAAGCAGTATACCTGAAGGCACACTGGGATGCAAAGATCGCTCTTATTGACGGCATCATATACATAATACGTCAGTCTTGTGACAGCTCGGAAGATCCTTACTACGGGCGAAGCAACTATGAGCCTTCGGAGTCTGCCTGTGGCTCTTTCAAAGCATTCTATGCGATGATGCGTTGCGAGCAACCCAGAAGCAGAAGACATAGTAATGAGTAATGATCAGACGCTACAGAAGGGTATTTAGACGCCAGATGGTCTTGGGAGATGGTGGAAGTTGAAGCATCGGTGAACAAGGGTTCGAAAGCATGTAACATGGCGAATTACAGGCATGGTCAAACAATTTTATTCTTGTAAGCATACTTTTGTGTTTCGTTGTGGTGTCGAAGACGCTGACGAAGATCCAGAGACTTCCGATACGATTTACCACAGTAGTTCCCAGTCGTATACAAGAGTGTGGAGAGCGTTTCTGATGAGAAAACTTGGCGATTTTCAAAGCCATGACTTGCTAGAGTTTGCGCATGCCACAATGCACCACAATGTAAGAACTCAGGGTGCTACTAGATCTCGCATCATCCCAAATTAACCTTGATAGTTTCTATACAACTTTGCGACAATGACCTGCAGATAGATGTCAGCAGAAATGATGGTAAGAGAGACCGCGGTGTCATAATGCGAGCGAAGAAAAAGATTGGCGTGTGGGAGAACTGTGGCGACAATGCGGTTCGAACAGCATTATAACATCATGCGGAGCTTTTTCTCATCGATGTAAGAGTTTTGATTGAAGTGTTTCCCTTGCGGATGCCTCTCGCTTCGTCGGCCAGGATCGCAAATCACGTCGTCACTTCCAGACGAACGCCATCGCAACTGCCTCTTCTGACCCAAGGCGATGCTTTCCTCGTTCAGCTTCACCTGCAAACTTTTGTGTCTCGCCGTCGCGTCAACTCGTCGCATGCGCGTTTCTCATCTTCTCAGTGCAGCAAACGCAGCCATCTACCAATTCGATTTTCCTCAATCACGCGGCCAACTTCTATTCTCACCACTCATGAGGCTACGTCGATAGTCGCCAATCTCGACTTTCTTCAACCGTCAATATGCCTCCTTTCAAGGTTCTTACCGCCACACACGACGATGGTGAGAAGCCAAAACGCTTCGGTTACAAGGCGCCCGCATTTGACGCCTGGCTGGAGATCTTTTTGCAAGATGAGATGCCTGACCAGATCGTTGGCATTCTGCTTAACCTCAACTCGGACGAGGTCCAAGAGCTCAAGTCATGCATTCGCCATGAGCTAAGGTTCCGCGCTGTCACAGTGTCCACATTTGATGTCTACTATCCTCCTACTGGGCCAAGAAGCGAACTGCTTTGCAAGAAGAACACCCCTCAACTTGGATGGCATCTATCACCCTCCAAGACGACTACGCTCATTCGTTGACCCGTCGTCTTCGCTGTCGCTCTCGAGTTCCCAGGCCTCTTCAAAGAGCCATCATCCATAGAGGACTATCGCAAAGAATGGAATCCCAATGTCTACGGTTGCTATCCTGTTGTGCCTCATCAGTTTCGTCGCGAGATACTGGCTCGCCTGGTCGACATTTGTGCGGATGAGATGAAGAAAGACAAGAACCTGCGTGCCGGCGCCACCGATCCTACCCCGTACNAAAAGAAGCCCGCTCCCAGTCCTGAGAGTACGACCAAGATTTTCCCCAACAAGCGAGCTTGCATCGAACTGCCACCAACTGACAATGGCAGTAGTCTGAAGCGTGAGCACGTCTGTCTCGAGTGACGCAGAGACTTTCTGGTCGATTGACATTCTATGGAATATTGGTCAGGGGAGGAGTCTCGAACCATTTGCTTTACCATTGCTTGCTGCAATTTTGCTCTACTGTTCTGAAAACTGGATTTGCTACCAGAGTGAATGTTTATGAGAATGGGATAAACTGAATCATCTGGGCTTGAGTTCGTCTCGATCTCTTCGTCACAGATACGGGATAGAGACAGTATGGCAAACGTTCTAGTTGAGCTTCATTATGCCGAGCGTGCATAGACTTTGCTCCTCTGTGATAGTCGGGACAGCGGCAGTCTTTGTGGCATTCCAAGAGCTTCTTTACGAATGATTGTTCACAGAGATCCAAAGCGAGCACTTGAAGGTGACTTCTCTTGTTCCGATGGCATCTACTGCTACCACACCGTAAAACGGAACACTTCAACTCAGTTGCTCTGCAGACATCTTATATGAAGCTCGTGGCTATCTGCACAATAGACTCCATATTTTCCATCGATCGTTGTTGTTCTGCCACTTACAATCTGCTATTAAGAGCCTGACAGCGATACATCGGTTGAAGTAACTTGATATCGGGCATTTTTGCCTTCCATATCGACTGAAGAATCATCTGAGCTGTTCTCATTCACTGTCGAAAACCACCAGACTTTATTTGGCAGCGACAACACGCGAATTTGGTTCACTCGCATTCGGATTCCGGATCATTCTGCGCAGCCGCATTCTCACAAGATTCACTCTCGTATGCGTCGACTATATCTCCCTCCTCCTCTTTGTCTCCTCTCCATCGTTCTTCCCTCAACATCCATCCACTGCATACGCGAAGACCTCTATAAGATTTCGTCTTTTGTTCATCCTCACACAACCACCATCCACGACAAGGATCTCCCATTCACAAACGCAATCTATACCACACCAAACAAACAACAACACCAAATCATCATGTCTGACGCAACTGAATCCACCTTCACCAACGGCGAGACCAAGCTCATCATCAGTATCATCAAGAACTTGACTGGTGATCTTCAGGTATGTTGGCTCTCTTTTCTCTCATCAGCTTTTCGCACATCCTTTCTGTCCACAATCTCATTAGTCGCGTTCTCGAATCGACGCATTCTTTTTGTCTTGTTCCTTCACTCCTCCCATCCCATCTCTGATCTGCTCTGATGTTGATCTGAATCCACCCTTTGTCGGATCTTGCACATCTCTACCATCTTGGTTCACATTTTCTCCTTTTTGGACAATCTTTCCATCACATTCTCCGATGAAACATCACATCCTTCTTGTCCCTCTCTCTCTCTCTCTCTCTCACACCCACCCATCTCACATCACCTGTGCCCAAACTTCATCAGAGCAATACTAACCTCCCTCCCTCCTGTAGTCAGACTGGGAAAAGGTTGCCGAAGAGATGAACTACAAGGACGCCGGTGTCGCCCGCACCCGCTGGAACCAGACCCGCCGCAAGAAGATCACCGGACCCGCCGGCACCACCAAGAAGACCGCAGCCAAGAAGGGCGGCAGAAAGGCCGCTACCAAGAAGGACACCGCCGACTCCGACGACGAGGTTGTGAAGCAGGAGGAAGATGCCGAAGCCGAAGCCGACGAGGAAGAAGAAGAAAAGGTCACCAAGAAGCCTGTTGCTCCCAAGAGCAAGGGCAAAGGCAAGGCATCCGCCAAGACCAAGAAGAACGACAGTGATGAGGAGAGTGATGAGGAGACCAAGCCCATCGCAAAGAAGAAGGGTCGTCCTGCCAAGAAGACTGGTGGAAAGAACAACACCAACAAGCGCAAGGCTGCCGCTTCTTCTGATGAGGAAGACGAGAAGGTCATTGCCAGCAAGAAGGTCAAGACTGAGGATGACGAGGAGTCTGAGGCTGCTGTTGGTGCTGATGACAAGGAGGAGGAGGCTGAGCAGAGTGAGGTCTGAGACTTCCACCTATCTCACTGATCTTCTTCACGACTGCTGTCCTCAAGCAGGTGGTTCAAGGCTCTTACTCAATGCTCTGGTGGCTTTGTCCTGATGAGACGACACGGATCGGCTTTCCGAGCAGCAGAAAAAGGGTCTTGGTGTAAACTTACAGCACAGAGCGCGAATGCGGCGTTCTTGCATCTTTCTCTTCATCAGAAGAAAGACTTTACAAAAATGTAAACTTGTCGAATCAAAGACCACATGCCATAACATCTCATCTCTTTTCTTGTCCATCCAGTCTCGTATGCTCTCTAATGATGCGGTAATCCCAGAACATCAATAAGGTCGCCGCACGGCATCGTATTTATTCTGGAGAGTTTGGTGCACGTTAGTCGACGGAAGAGTCTACACGTTCAACAGAAGTTACAGACTCTTGGCGCACATGGCGGGTTCAAACAACGGCGATCGACAGAATGGAGCAGAATGAATCAGTTATGTAAAGAAGGCACGAACGCTACGCTCACTCTATACACCATTATGCTTTTGTGTGTTAGTATGCCGATATGGGCAAGTGCAGCACGTCTGACGAACGTCTATGGTGATATGCCATAGAGACGCAGTATCGGCAGCTCGACCCTGAGCAGTCCTGTTTTCCGTGGCCTTGCGGTCGAAACCCCCGAGTATTTTGATACAGACTTCGCGTCCTCGTATTGTCGTTGCGGAACCACCAGGCTAGGTGCGGTGCAGCTGGCAGGTAGTGATCATATCTTCGTGAAATGTCGTCGCTAGAGACAATCTGACCATACTGTGTGTCGTGCATTCCATGCCAATAGGTCGTTCGAACTAACTCGTCTGATACAGCGTCCCCGGGATACAGTCCTGAAGTGAAGAGATGCACAGAACGCCCGATATATGGGCCGTCGATAATCTGCGATATGTAAGTTACTGTCCCTGGACCCTACAGAAAATACTTACATGCTATATCGCTAGTGTTGGTGCTTCCAGCCTGTTCTCATGATCAGTCTGACTATCAACTTGGTTGCTTCTATTGTTGACTCACGTCAAGACCTCGAACTCATCGTATCTTGCTAGCTGTGCGATGGTACGCTTGTGGGATCCGAGAAGGCGATCGGCGTTCTTTGGCGATATCGCAGCACTCGACGGTTGTGTGACCATATCCGCTAGCTGCTTGGGTGGTCCAAATCCTGGGTCGAACACCAACAGACTGCGTTTGCCATTTACGTAGCGCTCAATCCCAATTATCGTCATCGAGTGGCCTGGCTGTTGCAAGTAGATTGGAGGACGGTGGGATTTGTGTACTTTGGTGCCAAACCCTTCGGCATCACGAGAAAAGTAGTCTTCAACAAAGTCGAGCAAGTGTTCATGTGCTCGTCCGGCTTGTGTATTGCTGAAGGTGTGAACGTCGTGATCGATATTCAGATGCTTACAGATCGATTTCGCCTCGGAAGTGCCAATCCATTTTCTTGTGTTGCGAATACCTCCGGTTTCCTGCCTGCCGAGATTGTTTGGGTCGTGATCCCACGCTTTCTCAATCAAGTCCTGGATTTCAAGAACACCGGGCAAGCTNCGTCCTAAGCCAGAAAAGTGATCAGCATGCTTCTTTTGCAAAGTGTGGCATACTGCAACAGCTTTTGTGATTGCAGAGTCCTCGCATACGTACCCAAATTGTTCATGTTCTCTCGCTTTGGTACCTTGGATGAACGATACAAGCATCTGGATGTTGCGATAACCGCAGAAATGGCCTGGGATGGTCCCCTTGTGCACATATTGTACGCTTGGGTGGCAGAGATGAACGGTTTCAATGTGGTTGGATGAAGCAACGCAAAGTCGTGCGATGATTGGAACGAGCCCAGGAAGTTCGTTGTGCACAATGCGGTCCGTATGAATCTGGCCATCCCTGGTGATACGATTGATTCTTCTCGTTGGTTCGCCATCTCGGAGTCGCTTGAGCAAGCTTTCGGGCATTCTGTTCTCGAATGCGTACGGGCCAAGCTCTTTTNNTCTATTCTCATGTTTAGTATTTTGTGATGTCTGAGTCAGTATAGTGGGGGCCCGATACTGGCGACAGGAGCGCAAGGGGGACCATGTACTACTTACACCAAGGCGTATTCTCTTCGGCCTAGTCTCTGCCGGTTTTCCTTTGTAGTGCTGATCAAGGGGTCGAGCGATTGTTGTCGAGCATTGCAGGGCAGCTGAGGACTGACAAAAGTCGGTCTCGTATCCAGAGTCGACTTCGGTCATGTTGCCAGCGATGGTATCGGATAAGTACTGTAATGATAGATGGTTGTTCAAGTGTTTGTCAAGTTCGACGAGATGGATGAAGTCTTCGCATTTGGGACATTCGACATAAGGAAAGTCATCATCTGTGAGGTTGGCAGCGCTTTCCTCTTTCGGGCCAGAGTCCTCAGTAGACCATTTTGATGGAGTTTCACGGGTTCTGCCATGGGCGAATACTTGCTCCTCTTCTCTCTGTAACGCGAGAGCAAATTCCAGATCCTTTTCTTCGACTGCAAATTGAGACTCTGGAGTGTGATGCAGCTCAATGTGGGCCGTGATCTGATACTCGGCGTGACTATCATTGGGCGTGTGAAAGCCACACAAGAATGGGCACTTCATGATTATCTATGTGGAGCACCTGATTATCGCGATGCAATGCACGTCAGCAGTTTGTCGCGGTGAATAAGGCAGTGCGCAGATTAGACGGAGAGGTCGTTCGTTGGGGTTGTTTGCAGAGTGGTGAGCTGCTGTTGAAGCCAGTTCACTGAGCGCTAAAGCGTCGAGCGTCCGTAGTATTGGCGCAGGACGCGTTTTCTCTGCTTGACGGTACACAATGTTGGTGTCGCAAACAGTGTCTGGTATGAATTTTGCCTGCTGTCGTCTCTGGCAGGCTGTCATCCGCGTCGGGCGCGTCGAGACGTCTTGCACGTGTTTGCACGTCACATGGAAAATGGCTGAGCATTGAGGAAATGGCGTCTTCAACGATATCAATCTTTGCGTAGAGCAACACGTTACACGACATCACAGGTGATACACACAAAGCAAAGCGCCGAGTGTTGATGAGATTGGGTCAATGGCACTGGGAGTGTTTCCGCCACTCATCCTTCTTAGCAAACATGGTCGTCACAGACTTGACCGGTTTTGACTATGCAAATCGATGCACCGCGTAAGCAGCAGTCAGTGAATTGCATTCGATAGACTAAAAGGGAGTCTCAAGCAGGAGAATGGAAGGTTCTTTACCGTTTGGTTGCGACGCAGGTTTGCGTGGCCGTCTTCTCGAACCTGGGGCAGGAGCAGTGGACTGCGGCAGCACGAGTCGGTCGTAGAGTCATGCTGCAGAGGGGAGGAAGCGAGCAACATGTGGGAGGTTTGTTCAAGGTGATTATTCATGGCAGACAAAGGCCCGGGTGGATGAGTGTCTCGTAGCCGTGTCTTGCCGGCTTGCCTCCAAAATCTCGGATGGTAGAAAACTTCAGTTCCTAAAGGGGGCGAGTGAGGGCGCAGGATTGTTTGCCTTTGCTTTGACTCCCCCGCGTCTCGAGCAAAAACCTCCAGATCAAGCTTCTCTCTCAACCACCGCACTGCATCTTCCCACCCACTTCACCATCCTTGTCCTCGCATTCTTCACCCAGATTTATTCGAGACCATGAGCGACAACATGATCCCCCACAAGGGCAGCAAGCCTGCACCGTAAGTTTGACCCTAGTCCGCCGCCACATCCGAAGACATCACAACAACACCTCTTGCCTGCCTCCATCTCCTTTCACGACACATCAACCACTTTTCTGCGCCGCCCAACCTCTCTCTGCCCACTCTTCCCTTCCATCGCCGCCAGGATGTCCACCATCAGACCCGACCAAGCAGTCACTGACCATACCAGTACCCCCCAAAACACTCCCCTCGACAAGGCCCCCATCTCGTCCCGCGCACAACAGCCTGGTGTTTCCAGCATCAAAGAAGGTATGCGCGACACACTTTTTGGCTCCATCATCACCCGCTGACCATCTCGCGCAGAGGATGCTGCCTCAATATTCGCTGCCAACCCCGCCCTCGTCTCGATGATGCAGAACAAGCTCAGCGGTCTTGTCGGCAGATCCTCCGGCTATGTCGAGTCGCTCCCTGCCCCCGTCCGCAGACGTGTCGCCGGTCTCAAGGGTGTCCAGAAGGAGCACTCCAAGCTCGAGGCCGAGTTCCAGGAGGAGGTCCTTGCCCTTGAGAAGAAGTTCTTCGCCAAGTACGCCCCTCTGTACGAGAAGCGTGCCAAGATCATCAACGGTTCCACCGAGCCCAGCGAGCAAGAAGTCGAGGCTGGCAAGGAGGACGAAGAGGAGGACGACGACGAGGATGACGAGGCTGATGAGGCCGAGGACAAGTCTGCCGCCGACATCAAGGGTATCCCCGAGTTCTGGCTGTCCGCCATGAAGAACTCGTCGCTCGCCGAGACCATCACCGACCGTGACGAGGGCGCTCTCAAGTTCTTGACCGACATTCGCATGGAGTACCTCGACCGCCCTGGATTCCGCCTTATCTTCGAGTTCGCCGAGAACGAGTTCTTCACCAACAAGACCATCTCCAAGACTTACTTCTACCAAGAGGAGAACGGCTATGGCGGCGACTTCATCTACGACCACGCCGAGGGCGACAAGATCGAGTGGCAGTCTGGCAAGGACCTCACCGTTAGAGTCGAGAGCAAGAAGCAGCGCAACAAGAGTACGTCCGCTATCATCTCGAAACTATCAATTACAGACACTAACAATCTTTTCCAGNACACCAAGCAGACCCGCATTGTCAAGAAGACCATCCCCACTCCCTCATTCTTCGACTTCTTCAACCCCGCCAGCCCCCCCTNNACCGAGGACGACGAGGATGTTGAGGACGACATTGAGGCCAAGCTCGAGCTCGACTATCAGCTCGGCGAGGACATCAAGGAGAAGCTCATTCCCCGCGCCATCGACTGGTTCACTGGTGAGGCTCTGCAGTTTGAGCAGGGCTTCGAGGACTTTGATGAGGACGAGTTCGAAGACGAGGACGATGAGGATGAGGAGGACTACGACCGTGATGAGGAAGACGATGAGGAGGAGTCAGACGAGGAGGTGAGCATATTCTCTGACCACGATTTGAGCGAACGAGCAGCTAACAAGTCTCAGGGTGACGGCTCAAAGCCCAAGCAGGAGACTGCCGAGTGCAAGCAGAGCTAGATGATGTACTAGACGTCCCTTTGCATCACCATTCTAGACTTGGTTCAATGGCAACCATACCGATCTGATGGCAGGCGTTCGGATCACGGGTCTCGCCATGTGCATTGCCTGCTGTTCCTACTCAAGCAAGCCCGTCGATACCCGACACATGCTGGATCGGAGCACAAAAAAGTCACGCTCCTTGAACGCAGCACCATTCCCTCCTCTTACGCAGCTCGATGTCCTCTTTTCCCTTTTTACAGCGGCGTTGTTTCTTCGTCTGTCCTCAGAGCAACTGGCAACGTGTGTCCTTTTTTTCCTCTTGTCCCCTATATAGCTGATAATCATACTCTCGGACAACAGACGGTCGTCACTCGCAGATGATGTGAGGCACTTTCGAGGGCTGAAGTTTGTTGAATAGCATCACGACTCGAATCAAGACATGTTTTACAAGAACACCGCAACATGTGACTACACGTAATATAGGACACCGGACATTTCTGAACTGATGGTGTGTCGGTGACGAACAAAGGTGATGCAGTGAGTCAAAGAAATTGTGGAGTCGGGATTTGGGGGCTGGAGATGTGGCGCTGGGAGTCGGTGGGATTTTGACTCGATGGCGTTATTCACATGGCCGTCATCGGGAACAGCTGAGAAATTGTTGTTGCGCAACTTGACTCAGAGAGACTGCGGCCATTGTTTGCGCTCTCAAAAATACTCTCTTGTTCTCCTCCGACTTCCAATCCACCCCCGGCTTTCTTTTGCCTTTTCTGGTTTTCTCATCCCTGATCGCTCTCATCACATCTACAACATGTCTGCCGCACAAAACATCCCCATCCGCAAGCGCGACGACCCCTCTGCCGTCACCAACAGCTTCGACCCCTCCACCAGCCCTACCCAAACCCATATCTCGCCGTCAGCGAGCTTCAGTCACCGCTCCAACTCTCAGTCCGTCTCTGCCAAGCAGCTGAAGCCCTTCAACACTCAAGATGTCAAGGTCTTGCTGCTCGAGAACATCAACGTCACTGGTCAGGACATCCTGAGACAACAGGGCTACCAGGTCGAGGCCCTCAAGGCTTCGCTACCCGAAGACCAACTCATTGAGAAGATCAAGTACGCTGCATCCCACGCCTACGTCTTTCCTCTCTAACCTCATCTCTCAGGGNACGTCCACGTCATCGGTATCCGCTCAAAGACAAAGTTGACCGCCAAGGTCCTCGAACACGCAAAGAACCTCATTGTCATCGGCTGCTTCTGCATTGGTACCAACCAGGTCGACCTCAACTATGCCGCCAACGCCGGTGTTGCCGTCTTCAACTCTCCCTTCTCAAACTCGCGCTCTGTCGCTGAGCTCGTCATTTCCGAGATCATCGCCCTCGCCAGACAATTGGCTGACCGCAGCATGGAGTTGCACAAGGGTATCTGGAACAAGGTCTCTGCTGGCTGCTGGGAAGTGCGTGGAAAGACTCTGGGTATTGTCGGCTACGGTCACATCGGAAACCAGCTGTCCGTCCTGGCTGAGGCCATGGGCATGAGCGTCATCTACTACGACGTTGTCAACCTTATGAGCATGGGTACCGCCAAGCAGGTCCCTACCTTGAAGGCCCTTCTCGAGGGCGCCGACTTTGTCACCCTCCACGTTCCCGAAATTCCCGAGACCAAGAACATGATCAGCACCGAGCAGTTTGGCTACATGCGCAAGGGCAGCTACCTGATCAACGCCTCAAGAGGTACTGTTGTCGATATTCCTGCCCTGGTCGAAGCCATGAGAAGCGGAAAGATTGCCGGTGCCGCCATCGACGTCTACCCCAACGAGCCCGCCGGCAATGGAGAATACTTCAACAAGGAGCTGAATACCTGGGCCGAGGACCTCAGAAGCCTCAAGAACTTGATCCTCACCCCTCACATCGGTGGCAGCACCGAGGAGGCTCAGAGCGCCATTGGTGTCGAGGTCGCAGACGCACTCGCCAAGTACGTCAACGAGGGTTCCACCGTCGGCGCCGTCAACATGCCCGAGGTCAACCTGCGTAGCTTGACTGCCGACGAGCCCAACCACGTCCGTATCATCTACATTCACAAGAACGTGCCCGGTGTGTTGAGACGCGTCAACGAGGTGCTGGGCGAGCACAACGTCGACAAGCAAATGACCGACTCAAGAGGCGATGTCGCATATCTCATGGCCGATATTAGCAGTGTCAACCAAGGAGACATTGCCAGCCTGTACAACAGCCTCGAGGATCTGGGTTCGCGCGTCAGAACCAGAGTCTTGTACTAGACTTTATATGTTCTTCTCTTTTCGCCTTGTTAGAAAAAGATGGACATAGAGGGTCTGCAGAGACCCGCTTACAGAAAAGGGATATAGAGGAGATAATTGGGCATTCAACATGGAGTATCACGACTTTGGGAGCATGAGGGAAATGAAAAGCACGCCGCGATCGATTTGATTTCATTATTCTTTTTCTTTGCCTTCTAGACACGCAAACGACGGCTTGCCAAGCGCCTGTCGAACATAGCAATTGAAACAATTCAACAAAGTCAGGGCTGTGGTGATGTGTTGTCGATAGATGGTGATGGTGTTTGACTGAGTGAGGCTCAATTGTCCGACTGACCGCTTGTCTGCCTCAACGTTCGCAGGCCTGAGAATGGCGTAAGGCCAGGCTTTGTCTAGCAACTGGTCTTTGTCATGGCAGTGCTGTGTGTTCTTACGTGTTTTTTCATTACTCGTGTCAGACATGTCAGCGAGAGTAGTGGGTTGCACAATATGAAGGGTTTGGAAACAAGTGGCATCAAAGTATGCTGAGAGTAGCACCCTGTCCACAATTTCGATCACAATATCATGAGCAATCACTAGAGACAGGAACCCCATACTGCCGCAGAGACATGCCAGAAGAGAGCAACACGTCTAGTTGCTATGCCGGATATGTGGTGTCAGGTGTGTAAGGCTTGTTAGGCCAGAAACGGCTGCTATCGCTCTTTGACATGTTTTCACCGCAGCTCCAGCCCGTCTCCAAAGAGGTTCGAGTGAAATACTGAGACCTAAAGTATTTGTGGTTAGAACAAGCGATAACAAAATGCTCCTGGCCCAGTGAAGATGATGGTTTGCTCGTGAAGGTGCTACAAAAGGCGCATGCAAGCACTACACACTACCGAGTGACACAAGATGGAAGTCGTCCAGGATGGATGTTTCAGGTTTCAGTGTTTATGCTTTCTCTCGAATTTGCGGGGCGGAAGGACGTTGCGCAGGTGCATGGCCGTGCGCGCCCCTTATTCGCACGGGACTCTTCTGTTGATGCCGGCCGGCAAGCCAGAGGGTCTTGGTCCAAAAGATAGACGTCCAACTCCTCGCCATAATACCTATTCTGCAGTCCTAATCTTTTGCTGGACAAGGAGTCGCTGGGGCTTGCAACTGTCGTTCTTTTTTTCCTTTGAAATTCTCTGAATGTTGCAGCACTTCTGATCTGCTTGCGGACACGACTACCCACGGCTGCGACACGCTCCTAATCGTCTTTCGCTCTTCCCTCGACCGCGCTCCCCCTCGCCAGCATGGCAGCGACATATGATGTCGGCACCAAGGCCTGGCAGCCCGATGTCACCGAAGGCTGGGTTGCCTCCGAGGTTGAGCAGAAGAATGTCGACGGAGACAAGGTCACGCTGGTCTTCCAGCTGGCCAATGGAGAGGTATGCTCACGACAAGACTGAGAGCTTGACGAGGTGCGGCGCTGATGCCCTGCTGCAGNNACAAAATCAATCGAGACGACGCTGGCCGCCATCGCCGACGGCAAGGACCCAAAACTGCCGCCGCTGATGAACCCGACAATGTTGGAGGCCTCTGACGACTTGACCAATCTTTCGCATTTGAACGAGCCCGCAGGTAAACAAGCCTCTCGTCCACACCAACGACAGCGCTGACACCATGATACAGTGTTACAAGCCATCAAACTACGATATGCACAGAAAGAAATCTACACATACTCGGGTATCGTCCTTATTGCTACCAACCCCTTTGCCCGTGTCGACTCGCTCTATGTCCCGGGAATGGTTCAGATTTACGCCGGCAAGCAGCGCCAGACACAAGCGCCGCATTTGTTTGCTATAGCAGAGGAGGCTTTCGCGTACGTGCCATCTTTCCTATGGCATTGAAGAGATGCTAACACAACCCAGGNNGATATGCTGAGAGATGGCCGCAATCAGACCATCGTCGTTTCGGGAGAGTCCGGTGCTGGAAAGACCGTCTCGGCCAAGTACATTATGCGCTACTTTGCGACCAGAGAATCACCCGACCAGCCTGGCTCGCGCTCAAAGGGCCGCGTCGAGAGCATGAGTGAGACCGAAGAGCAAATCCTGGCCACCAACCCCATCATGGAGGCCTTCGGTAACGCAAAGACAACGCGCAACGACAACTCGTCCCGTTTCGGAAAGTACATCGAGATCATGTTTGACAAGAAGACGGACATTATTGGTGCGAGGATCAGAGTATACCTGCTCGAGCGCTCGAGACTGGTCTTCCAACCCCTCAAGGAGAGAAATTACCACATCTTCTATCAGCTCGTGGCTGGTGCTTCGGACGCCGAAAGGGAAGAGCTTGGCTTGATACCCGTCGAAGAGTTCGACTACCTCAACCAGGGCAATGCTGCTCAGATTGACGGTTTGGACGACGCCAAGGAATTCAGCGACACCAAGGAGGCCCTGACTAGAATCGGCGTTTCCATAGAACAGCAGACTTCGATCTGGAGAATCCTCGCCGCTCTGTTGCACATCGGAAACATCAAAATCATAGCCACTCGCACCGACTCGAACCTCTCCGCCTCCGACGCTTCGGTCGTCAAGGCTTGCGAGCTCCTTGGAATCGATGCCGAGAGTTTTGCCAAATGGACTGTCAAGAAGCAGCTTGTCACTAGAGGTGAGAAGATCACATCAAACCTAACCCAGCAGCAAGCCACCGTCGTTCGTGACTCGGTCGCCAAGTACATCTACTCTAGCTTGTTCGACTGGCTCGTCGAGATCCTCAACAGCAGTCTGGCCACTCCCGAAGTCCTTCAAAACGTTACCTCCTTTATTGGTGTCTTGGATATCTACGGTTTCGAGCACTTCGCCAAGAACTCGTTCGAACAGTTCTGTATCAACTATGCCAACGAGAAGCTACAGCAAGAGTTCAACCAGCACGTCTTCAAGCTCGAACAAGAAGAATATCTCCGTGAAGAGATTGACTGGAAGTTTATTGATTTCTCCGACAATCAGCCTTGTATCGACTTGATCGAAGGCAAGCTTGGTGTTCTTGCTCTGCTGGATGAGGAATCTAGACTGCCCATGGGTTCCGACGAGTCTTTCGTTACTAAGCTCCACACCAGTTTCGGCGACAGCAAGTCGAAGTTCTTCAAGAAGCCCCGCTTCGGAAAGTCGGCCTTCACCGTCTGCCATTATGCTGTCGATGTCGCATACGAGTCTGACGGCTTCATTGAGAAAAACAGAGATACTGTGCCTGACGAGCACATGGAGGTTCTCAGGGCCTCATCCAACTCCTTCCTTGCCGAGGTCCTCGAGGCTGCTTCTGCTGTGCGTGAGCGTGACACTGCAGCTGCTCAAGCCAAACCTTCTGCTGTTTCAGCTCCTGGCAAGAGACCCGGTGCTGCCACAGCAAGAAAGCCTACCCTCGGTGGTATCTTCAAATCGTCTTTGATCGAACTGATGAGCACCATCAACTCTACAGATGTGCACTACATTCGCTGTATCAAGCCCAACGAAGCCAAGGAAGCCTGGAAGTTCGAAGGGCCCATGGTCCTGAGTCAACTGCGTGCTTGTGGTGTTCTCGAGACGGTCAGAATCAGTTGTGCTGGATATCCTACCAGATGGACCTACGAAGAGTTCGCCCTACGATACTACATGCTTGTACCATCAACGCTATGGACTTCCGAGCTCAGAGGCATGGCCAATGCTATCCTTACTCAGGCACTTGGCGGATCTGGCAATGATGCTACAAGCAAGTACCAGCTTGGTCTGACCAAAATTTTCTTCCGTGCTGGCATGCTCGCCTTCCTCGAGAACCTGAGAACCAGCCGTCTCAATGATGCTGCTATCATGATTCAGAAGAATCTCCGTGCCAAATACTACCGTCGTCGCTATCTCGAGGCAATTGGTGCTGTCCGTGGGTTTCAGTCTCTCGTGCGTGGATGCGCCGCACGACGCAATGCAGACGATGCGCGGCGAACGAAAGCCGCCACCACAATCCAACGGGTGTGGAGAGGCCAAAAGGAACGGAAGAACTTCGTATCTATCCGCAACAATCTCATCCAGTTCGAAGCGGCGACCAAGGGATATCTCTGCCGCAAGAACATTCTGGACACGAGACTAGGCAATGCTGCACGTACCATCCAGAGAGCCTGGAGATCTGGTCAGCAGCGTAAGGAATGGACCGACTACAGACGCAAGGTTACCATCGTACAAGGTTTGTGGCGAGGCAAGCAGGCTCGCAAGGCTTACAAGGGTCTGCGCGAGGAGGCTAGAGACCTCAAGCAAATCTCATACAAGCTTGAGAACAAGGTCGTCGAGCTTACTCAGTCGCTTGGCGCTGTCAGAACCGAGAACAAAGCTCTCAAGCATCAAGTCCAGAATTATGAGAACCAGCTCAACACCTGGAAGAATCGTACCCAGGGTCTGGAACAAAGGGCAAAGGAGCTCCAGGCAGAAGCTAACCAGGCTGGCATGAGCGCTGCCAAGGTTGGTCAGCTCGAAGAGGAGATGGCCAAGCTACAGCACAGCTACGAGGAGTCTTCAACCAGCATGCGCAGACTGCAAGAAGAAGAAAAGACATTACGCGATTCACTCCGCATGACCACAGAAGAGTTGGAAAACTCGAGGCAGAGTATCACAGTCTCCGAGACCGAGAAGATGTCACTGAGGCAGCAGTTGGCAGAGCTTCAAGACCAGCTGGAGCACGCCAAGCGTGCTGCTCCCGTCAATGGTGAGATGACCAATGGCGCTGCTGGCCAGATCAGCGGTCTTATCAATCTTGTGTCATCATCCTCGAAGAAGCCCAAACGTCGCAGTGCTGGCTTCGAGCCTACCAACACCGACAGATTCAGTGGCACTTACAACNCCCGACCAGTCTCGATGGCGTTCGGTGCTACCGCTGGCCACCAGCCGACTCTTTCCGGTGGATCTACCTTCAGGCCCGACTTGGAGAATGTTGAAATGGAGCTTGAGAACTTGCTTGCGAACGAGGATGCTCTGAACGATGAGGTCTCTATGGGCCTTATCAAGAACCTCAAGATCCCTTCTCCCGGATCGACCCCACCACCCACCGACAAAGAGGTACTATTCCCTGCATATCTTATCAACCTCGTCACTTCCGAGATGTGGAACAACGGCTTTGTCAAGGAGTCTGAGCGCTTCCTTGCCAACGTCATGCAGTCCATTCAGCAGGAAGTCATGCAGCACGATGGCGACGAAGCAGTCAACCCTGGTGCTTTCTGGCTCTCGAACGTTCACGAGATGCTCTCATTCGTCTTCCTTGCTGAAGACTGGTACGAGGCACAAAAGACCGACAACTTTGAATATGACCGTCTTCTCGAGATTGTTAAGCACGACTTGGAGAGTCTTGAATTTAACATTTATCACACTTGGATGAAGGTCTTGAAGAAGAAGTTGCACAAGATGATCGTTCCTGCCATCATTGAGTCGCAATCACTCCCCGGCTTTGTCACCAATGAGAGCAACCGCTTCCTTGGCAAGCTCCTACAATCCAACAACGCACCTGCTTTCAGCATGGACAACCTACTTTCCCTCCTCAACAACGTTTTCAAGGCTATGAAGGCATTCTACCTTGAAGACTCCATCATCACCCAAACCATCACCGAACTTCTTCGCCTTGTCGGTGTCACTGCATTCAACGATCTTCTCATGCGTCGCAACTTCCTTTCATGGAAGCGTGGTCTGCAGATCAACTACAACATTACCAGAATTGAGGAATGGTGCAAGAGCCACGATATGCCCGAGGGTACTCTCCAGCTTGAGCATCTCATGCAAGCCACCAAGCTTTTGCAGCTCAAGAAGGCGACACTCAACGACATTGAGATTATCCAGGATATCTGCTGGATGTAAGTACTTTCCTATCCTTGCGTTGTTCCAAACCACACATACTAACTACGTGCTAGGCTCTCGCCCAACCAAATTCAAAAGCTTCTCAACCAGTACCTCGTCGCTGATTACGAGCAACCAATCAACGGCGAGATTATGAAAGCCGTCGCCTCTCGCGTCACTGATCCCAAGACCGACGTCCTTCTCCTTCCCGCCGTCGACATGGATGACAGCGGTCCCTATGAAATCGCGGAACCCCGTGTCATCACAGCACTTGAGACCTACACACCATCATGGCTGCAGACACCGCGACTTAAGCGCCTAGCAGAGATTGTATCCGCTCAAGCAGTCATGCAACAACAGCTTGATGCTGGTGGTGCCATGGCCAAGGAAGCATATGAGGGAGGTGAAGATGGTGAGGGAGGTGACATGGGTGACTGGAGTCAATTGAATGGACAGAACGGACTTCATCAACATCATAGCAACGAGCAAGAAGCTGGGATCTAGAAGGTTGTCTTTGAGGTAAAGGTTGTTGTTTGTCGTTGATTGAGTATTGGAAGAGAAATGGCATCTTGTGAGCGCGGGTTTTTGGCGTTTGTTTTCGTTTCTTGCACTTCCATCCCCTGATTCACTTTTGATTGCATGCCTCATGGAAGTTTTGTGTTTTTGTCTTTGTCATTTCTACTGGGTTCTATTCTTGGATTTTCGACTGTTTTTCGAAGAATACCAGGATTGTTCTTTTCTATTTGTTTCAAAGGCTCTTCGCTTTACTAAACTAATGTGTATGTCCCCTTTCCCTGCTGAACTAAGACATTATATTCATGATCAAGACTGGTGCCTGATGTCGAGACAATACAAGACAGTCCGAAGGCGACATGTCTCATCGACGAGTAAGACGCACCCAGGTTATTGATTGATAAGTTGAAGGCAACCACCATTCTTCCTCGCCAACACTTTCACATCCCAACACCACAACGAGGTACACTCTAAGCCTATCCTTTACAGTAGCAAACTTCTTTCTCTCTTCCGTCTTTTCCTTTCCACAACCAAGTACGCATCATCTCGCCGCTCACCAACTCGAACACTCACGATGAACGAGCCTACCATACACATCCCTGATTCATACACTATGGCTACGGAGAACATCTTTGTCTCTGTTTTTCATGACATTGCCGTTATTTTTTTGCTGTTCACCATCATCAACCGTACTTACGAGAGCATCGTTACCCCTGGAGCACTGGCAAACCGGATCCTCACGCTTGTTGGCAGATTTGTCATCTACATACTCAAGGGCATTAGATATATCGCTCGTCCCTGGCCCCGTGGATATTCTGGAAACCAATGTCTTTGCTTTGGAGTTTTGCTCGTTGTGGTTTCTTGGATGGGCTCGATGATCTGGGTAAATGACAAATGTGCATGTCCGAGACCTACGATCAAAGAATCTGGCGCTACAGATGCTACGGCCAATATCCTCGAGGGCAACCTGATCCCTGTTTTGCAAATAATCGCTCCCTATGGCTTGATGTTTGCTCAACTTGTCATTGTCGAGTTCTGCCGTGCTGTTGGAGTCGGCCTCTTGACTTCTTCATGGCCGGGTCATGTCCGCAAGGCCGTTATTGGTATCATTTACATCTTGCTCGTCGGCATCATCAGGGGTATGAAGGTACTCGTCACTGTCTGCACCCAAAACATCGCCTCTCCCATCCATAACATCTACTTTGGAGACGGGTCACAGCTCTGTTCCCTCCATGTTGAGACTTTGCTCTTTGTGTTTGGCTGGGCAGACATTGACTCAATCATTTCGACACTCTTGTGGTGCGTCGGCGGTGTCTATCTTGTCTCTTTTGTACCTATCATCGTGGCGATTGCCTGTGTTATCTGGGAAGATTTGAAGATGATGAGGGGGCAAAAAGAGATGGACAAGGCTGAGGAGAGGGAAAGTGCTTATGCAGAAGAGAAAAGCAAGAGTGGAGGAGGATATGGAGGCAGAAAAGAGAAAGAGCAAACTACCTGGGACTTTGCTTCTCGTCTTACGGCCAGCAACAGAATCTTGGAAGTGGATGACAGTAATCGCAAATGGTCTAACGAGCATGGCAATCTGAGCCCGCAGTCTGACAGGCAGCTCAGACTTGACAGTGGCCACCGAGCTCCCGCCCCTGCTCTTGAATTCGCGCCTTCCTCCGCCGCCACATCTTCGGCCTCATCAAGAGGCATCTTGACACCAGACCCTTCTGCTTCGGAGCTCTCTAGTCTGAACAATGTTCAAGCCACGCCGAGCGCAACAAGCAACACGTGTTCTTCTGGTAATGAGGAAGTACAGTACACCCCCGACGACTCAGACACCGATTCTTCTTCGGAAGTGGTGTACACGCCATCGGAGACTGATCGCATCAGCTATGAGGAATACTTGTCGTGGAACAACAAGCACTCCGGGAGGGTACACTTTACTCCTACCACATCGGCTGCGGCTTCTTCTGATGAAGGTGAAATTGATACGCCAAGTTCTGCGACTTTGTCTGATGTTGATGCGCCATCTCATCTCGCACCATCGTCATCACAATCGTCATCCTTATCAACTGTCATCTACACACCAGGCTCCTTACCCACTGCACAGTACTACCAAACACCGAGTAATCAGATTCTCGTTCCGAGGACTCCTTGGGCACCAGGTCGCCCTTGATGCTCACGACAGCTTCGAAAACACTGAGATGGTTGCCGGAGCTTGAGGCGTCCGTGATGGCTAGTGTATGCAAAGGCAGCAAACACACAGGGATCATCTAGCAAGCCAGTCTTTCGATCGATCAGAAGGGTCCAGAACGGGCACAGTTAAATGAGCAAAAAGTCATAGTTTCAACCCAACTCGAGATTGGTCTCGATTTGATGATAGTCCTACAACAAAGAAAACTTGTCGTCTTTTCCATTCGATCATCGTCGTCGGGAGCCCAGTGCTCAGGCTATGCTTTATCTGTACATGTCGTCAGCAATGCAAAAGTTCCAAAAGTTTTTCCATTACTGACAATCACAAACCCTCTCAAATCTTGCTCACAAAGGGAGGAGGAGCACCGATGATAGGTGCACGAAGGGGTCCTTCATTGCTTGTCGCCTTGTGTTCAAAGTCTGTAGGACCTCCCNNTATATGCACATCAGTAAAACTATCCAAATAAACAGGCATAATCAAAATTAGCAAACTTACGATCACCAGAGAATGAGATGGTATCGAGACTTCATCGTCATCATCGAGGCGGCAAAGAAACATGGACAGGAGTTTCTTCAGCAAGATCTTGGAGGAAGGCATTGTGTGTTGGATGTGGATGTTTATCAAAAGGAAGTTGTGGAGGATGTATGATGGCTAACATGAAGTGAGGAGGCTTTTTGTTGATGGCGTCTGTAATTTGGACGCTTGGATTAGTCGTCGTGTTTTCTAGTCTATCCCTCGTTGGGCGCGAGTCGTTTATGATACGACAGAATCACGCAGAATGGCCGTAGAGAGTGGTCGGGGAGTCTACTCTGTCTCTTCAGAGTTCGCAAGACAGGCTGTATAGAGAGATCAAGAAGATGTCTTTGTCCATCCATGTATCTTATGAGAATAGAGAAGATAGACAAACACTACCCTTATGGCCTCACCAAAATTGCAAACTATGCATTCACAACCTCTATATACCACCACATCTGAGCTTTACTCCAAGGTGACTGAACAAGTCCGATGGTGGAGGAGATATTCGGGTAACGTACGCTTCTTGCAGGGACAACACCACGATGATAGGCATCTGACATGCTTTTGTTCGAGTCTGAGCCGTATCGCCTTTGTCTGCGCAAACTTTCCAGACTTTTCACTTTGTCTTTGGCAGTGGGGAGTGATCTGGAAACTTTGGTATACAGCTTATTCTGATGCTTGTTCTGCTGTTGCGCTAGAGATAATGAGGGAATGGTTGACTTCTTTGTGGTATGGTTGAGCTTGGTGTGAGACTTGAATTCTTTCAATCTTGGTTTTGGAGCACTTGATTCAGTTTTGTTTCTTGTTGGAGAGAGACCTGTGAGTCTAAGTCTTTGTTCCGTCTCTCATTCGCGCATTGATTGCTGCATTCAATATGACTCGCTGGGAGTAAAGGAAGTCAAACAAATTCTGTGTTTGTATGAGAAACAAGAAACAGAGAATCAGACTTTAACAATAAGGCGGGACTGCTTTGCCTCAATGCAAACAAACCCTCCAAGTTTACCGTCGGAGGAGATTACTCGACTACTTTCTTGAGTTCATCATTCTGTCGAGACACCATAGCTTCAAGCTTAGCAACCATGGCAACTCAGGGAGAACCTATCACCAGCACTTACTCCATGCCCGTCCGTTCCAACAGCGCTGCCAATGGAACGAGCAATACTGAACCTCCATCTCAACATACCAATTCCTCTCCATCCCACAACGATCACATATCAGGTCCATCCCAAACCGGCAAGAACGACATGTCAACCTCCCACAACAAGTACAAGATTTCGTCATTGTTCAGCGACAGCAGCAACAAGATCAACACATCTGCACGCAAGCCCGAATCTTCAAGCGACACACTGGCATCACGTCTCGAAGCTTCCACAGATCTGCCATTGACGCCTTTCTCTGACTATGCATGGAGTCTTGAGAAGGAGCTGCCTTGTCTGGATCCTTGGCCTCCTGCTCGTCAGCGCTGAAAACTCTTCGATGGAACGTCCGAGGACCGGAAGGACCATGGGTTGCCAAGCTAGAGCGAGATGTTATGAGAGGAAGCTGCAGTGGAAATGTCGACGATAGGGGCAGGGAGTAGGGACTGATCTTCTGTAACCAGAGGTTGATAGCTAACGGCGGGGTCGTTGTCTGCAATCGTGACTGGGTTTAGCGACCCTGGTTGAAGAAGCTCTTTGAAGGGTGTGGCGTGGTGCTCGCACTTTGGTGTGAGCAAATCATGATATCCAGTGTTTGTGTCTGGGCACTGCTCGTTCTTCTTGATTGTGTCCCGCTTGCGTCGGTGCCATTTGACCATCTTGTTCAATCCAGCGAAGCCACGGTGAGCGGACTAAGATTAGAATCGTTTCTCTAATGTTGACGCTTCGTCTGACCACACTGCCCCTCAGTTTCCTGATTCCCCCTTTCCTTCTTCCTCATCAACAGCAAGTTTCTCCCACTTCTTGATGAGATCTTCCATCGTCACACTCTCTCCCACTTTCGCATCTTTGGCAATGGCAATGTTGGGCCAACACGAACTCAACATCTCGGTATCGCTCTTCGTCCACGCAGCATCTGCAACAGCTTCCAACATCGTCTCTACAGCCTTCGGTAACCTTATGCCAGTGTTTTGAGCAGTGAGATGCAGCATTCTAGCCATACCCCTAGCCCAGAGTAATTGCATGCCAGCGCCAAGCAGACAGCGAAAGGCTTCTTTGAAAGCAGCAGCAGAAGTAGGGTTATCGAGGTTTTGTAGCAAGGTAAAGCAAACCACACCGTTTGCCTGCACGAAATAGGGNGGTGAGATTTTCAAACCGTAATGATGGCGGAAACTTCCCAACCTGGCGGCATGATCGTGGGCAGTGGCGAGAGCACGATCACTCATAGTACGAGCAAACAGATCCTGGACGTTGCCTTCTGTGATGTCCGGTGTTCCATATGGTGGAGTGAGATCTTGATGGTATCTATAACCTTGCCTGGGACGAGTTTCAGAAGTTTCTTCCGAAGGCACAAGTCGATCGTTTCCTAGTGGCCGGAAGAGCGAATATAGTGCAATGATCACGCTTGCATAGCAAGAGCTGTAATTTCGTGTAAGCCAGCGCCAAGATATGTGGCTTCACATAGAACTTACTAGNAGATCATACACTGGTGCCGGCAGTCGTCCTCGAAACTGAAGACTGTCTGGTAATGTATTTTTCCAATGATTCATCTCCTCGGTCAATGCTTGAACGTGATAGGAGAATTGCGGATCGCTGCGATCTGAAGCATACAAAAGTCGTTGTGCTTTCCAGGTTAGCTGTATTAGTGTGCAATGAGCAATCCACATGGCGTTCTTGTCTAGGTAATCGTTCTTGTTGTGATATGGATAACCAGTCCATACGTGTGATGTCTCTGTTGATGGTAGCTCGTCCATCGTAGGCAGATTTTCCTTGCAAGTCGTATGCCAGGCTGGTTGTAATATTGTGTTTGCGGTCGCNCCTGCGTGTTGATTATCAGCAAGGCAAAGGCGGGCGCGTACGGTGACAAGAAAATCTGGTTCTTACATATCGCATGCGAAAGCAGCCCAAGCCGAGCCCTTTCTAGCTCGTTTATAGGCCTTGACTTCTTCAGGTGTTGGTGCAGGCATGGGCGAGGGCCGATGTAGTGTATCTGGGACACTCCGACCCAGTTGTGTCAACAATGCACACGTGCTCACACCTGATTTGTCCTTGCCTCTTAGTATACAGCTGTAATCACGTTAGTGAAGGCAAATTCGCGGAACACTTATGATGATTCACCCTGGATATAGCACAGAGAGTCCTTGAAGGTTTTTGAGAGATGCTCTTCCTTCTTCAAGGTACCAGAGACGGAATGCTTCATCGTGGAAATGTTGTCCTCGAGTTATGTAATCATCTGGCTGGAAGAATGCGCCTTCTTTTTCCGAATAGAGNCTATAGTTTCGTTAGTTGTGATGATGTCAGAATGACCATATCAAACATACGCAAGCAAGAGCCAGAATGCTATTGACCAGAAACGGTGAACAATATTCTGAGTCCAGATCCCCAGATTGCATGGCTCTAACAAACAAATCCTCTTCCAGAGCCCGGAAAAACGGGTTGACATATTCGAGATACAAGGAGATGAGATGAGACACCAGGTCGTCATCGTCCGTTATCACAGTCCAAGGTTTTGCCGGAACTTTGACAGGAGGTTCCCTGGGTTCTTTGTTGTCGTCTTCCACGTCTTCAGCCGAGCTAGAACTTCCACTCTCGGAAGGTACGCCTGCTTGATCACTCAAGAGATCGGATATAGCTATCCGGCGCTGTGGCGGCGGAGGTTGTGGATAACCAAGTAGATTGCGAAATCCTTTCAAATCTGTTTGCTTCCCTCTGAGTTGTCGCAAGAGTGCTGCGGAGGGGATCTCTGTACTGGGTGTCTTCGCGATAGTTAAGCCGACAAATTCTACCATCTCATCGAAAGAAGCGTTTGTTTGCATGAGGCTGCTAAGCAGCACATGCCGCACGTGCCTTTCTGAGCTGATTTTGGTTTGCACCAACATATCGCCATGCTTTAATTGTTGTAGAATGAACTCTGGCGATTGTCCAGCTCGGATTCGATTGTGGATTTCATGGCTTTTCTGGCTGTCGGCTGTCGCAAGAACATTGAAAAGAGCTTTCATGTCGTCATGGTCTTGTTGCATCTGAGCGTGTTTTCTCTTCACAGCTTGAGTTGGAGTTTCAGGTTTTGTAACCTCGTAGATACAATTTTGATGATTGTCAACGCATAGAGGACATGGTTGTTCGCCATTACACTGGTTCAAAATCACGTTAGTCATGCGGGACTTACGCTGAGACGAGTCGCTTACTTTTCGTCTTCGTTTCCTACAGTACTCACAAGCCGAGCCAGCGAGTTTTTTGACCTTGGCGGGTTGCCACCTAGCTACCGTTGGGGAAGGTGCGGCGCATGAGGAGGGCTTGGCATGGTTTGCAGTAGCGGAAGCTGGCAGGATATTGCGACTCATGATCTGCTAGATCGTGGGCCAATATATTTACGCTGTCAAGCGCTCAAGGTTCCAGTAATATCTTCCGAAGTCATCGATATAGGTGGGAAGGGCGGTCCGTAGCAGTGTTCGGGAGAGAGCATCGAGTTGGCCAGCAAGGTGGAAGATCTTGACCAGGGCGATGAACGTCGGATACAGGATGTTTTACGGACAGTTTTGGTGGACGAAGACAGTCCAGATGACAGGTCTTCACCTGCTCTATGTCAATGGGTGAGAGTCAGGAAGGCTGGAAGTTTGGAAAATGACGAGTGCCTCGAGCCTCGGGCCAAGTCCGCCAATCCTCGAGCGGACCCAAACCTTAAAACAACATCACCTCCTCGGACTCGACGCACACCAACAACACGATCGTTTCTTCTGCTTGTATTTGTCACTGAAGTAGCAAAACATACACGTTTTTACATCAAGTGAAAAATGGTTTGCTAATAGCCAGATCCCAAAACATCAAACAAATTTTGTCTCAATACACTCATCCTAGCAATCCTTATGTCTCGATCACGTGTGTATCATGCAGGATGCTTACACATTACTATTGAAACTCGCGACCGCCACTACTCTGCGCTAAGAGTGACATGCAAACAGAAATCGGATACGGTAAAACCTCGTGACCCCTTTTTCCAACCATAACGCCTTCACATGATTGCGCTAGTCTCAATTGCGTGGGACAGACGCTCTTGCGTCATCATACATATATCTTGACGGTGGGCCAGGTGGTGGACCGTAGCCAACTCGAGGTGGGCCTGCATGTCCTGCTTGTGGTACAGGTTGGCCATGAGGGGGCTGCTCGTAGTAGACATATCGAGCGTGCGGGTCCTCTCTTTGGTAGTACTCGGGTGGATGCGGTGAGTAGTCATACATAGGCGGAGGGTGACGTTCAATCACACGTACGACCTCAACAGGACGACCGTACTGGTCTACGTATATCGTCTCTGGTCTCGGTTCATAGCCATAAGAAACAGATGGGTGTTCTGTCCTGAATTCAGGGCGAGGGTAGTACTCTTGATGTCCTACACGCTGATCGTACTCATACCCATAAGGTGCTGATTCGTGTCGTGAATGTTCCATAGGTTGACCACGTGAGTCGACGCGAACGTAACGATCTTGAGGTGCGACCGAGAGCATCGGAGCGGCAATGTTGTGCTGACTATATGGTCCAGTAGCAGGCGTACGGATGATCTGGGTGTAATCCTCCGGAGGCTCTTCAACACCACTACGATCGTGTCGACCATTAGAGCGAGTGTGGACATCGTGAGGTTCTTGCGGCTGATAGGCGGGCACACGATTGGCCTCAAATGCAGCACGATTTTGACGACTTGAGTCAACTGGNGGAGGATGAGAGCCACCGGCTCGAGGCACAGATGGACTTCGTTCGGTTCTACCGGCGAGGGCTTTCTGGACCTCTGGGTCACTTGGGCGGAGTCGACTGAGTGCTTCTAGAGTCTCGGGTGCAAGCTGCGTGAGATCAATTGATGGTTGTTGGCGTTGACCTTCTTTCTTCCCATTCCGGTTCGATCCCTGGTTGCCTCGCTCGATGAAGGCTGGACGTCGAGGATCATATTCGTCTTCCGCAGCCTCTGGAAGAGTATCAGACTGCTCTTCCGAGGTCTCGCCTTGGGTCAAAGTAGCCGGGTGATGTCCACTATTGCGTTTCTGTTTCTTGCTCTTCTGGTTTGTGCGACGATTCGATTTTGTGTCCTTCTTAGGTAAAGGTTTGAATGACTCTCTGACCTCCCCAATTCTTGGAAGCGGGTTGGGGAACAGTTTAGGGAAAACTCCTGCTATTAGGCCAAGCTTTTCGTCGTTCATACCGATAGCAATCAAGAGCTCACGAATGTTGTCATCTTCAGGCAACTCAATCATGTCCTCTTTCCAGTCCAGCCCAGAGTCGCTTCCAAGATGGACTGTTTTGAAGTGTGAGATGAGCGAGGAAGTGTTGTACAGCTTGTAATCCGCGATGCGCTTAGCATATGGTTTGAACGCAACAAAGCCATCGAGATTACTTGAGATACAAGTCATACAGGCCATACCGCTCGCGTCTTTAATGGGACGCATGAGGTCATGATTGACGAGAGCATCAGTCAGCATGTCAAGCGATGGCTCACTGCCAAAGTGAGCCTTGAATCTTGAGACTGCGTGATGCAGTACTGTGTGAACTCTGACACTTTCTTCCAGACCTTTAATGTCGGCGATGGTGTCCCAGATCTCTCTTGCAATGTTCGCAAGGTAGTCAATCTGGTCCCGGTGTAGACTTGCGGGGTTTACAGGTGGGGGATAGTAGCCATGTTGATGGTGAGGGTCTGTCGGAGTGCCGCTGGCATAAGGGTATCTATAGGCAGCATAACCAGCATGGGCATCCTGAGGGTAAGCCGAGTACCCAGATTGGTCATAAGCGCCACCTTCCGCTCCAGGCCAATGATATGCTGATTGGACCGGGACACCGGAACTGTCTGTTGCTTGATACTGGCTAGCATCACCAGAATCTGTAGGCTTCTTAGATGGCTTAGGAGGCATTGTCGGGTCGGGGATGACACCATTGCAGGGCTCCAGGGGAGACTCTTCCGGCCATTCCGCACTCTGCCAGTGGACAACAATATTTCCCCTGCTGAACTCGGATGTGTGTTTCGCACCGTAATGTTGTATCATGCCTTCAAAAGCGTAGGACTTGCCAAGCGACTTGCACTCGGCACAGTGAAATAGCTCACGTAGATACTTGTCTGTGTATGTCTTGACTTTCTGGTCGTAGAGCCAACGCATGTTCTCCAAACTCACGAACCAGGGATCAGATTCATCGGTCATCTGGTCTGGAGGCAGGTCATGTGGCCTTTCAACTTCGATAAATCTGTTTCTGGCATAGAGCAGAACTTCGACGGCAAATTCTGGACAATTCTCACGAGTAAGGATCTTACCCTTCTTCCACTTGATTCGAATCAGGTCATCGGCATACATGCCAAGCTTCTTGCGAATGGGTGCTTGCGCAGATTCGTACTGACGTTGGAGAATTGTTGGATCGACAGGCTGGCTATACATGGCGTGGTATGCGGGGTCGGGAATGGTCGCCTGGAGAGCACGCATCTGCTCTTCCCTCATGTATTCAATCTGCTCGGCAGCATCTCGTTGAGTATAGAGGCGAGGTTTCAAGACTTCCCACGCACTGTCAGTCAATGGAGTTGTGATCTGCATGGCAGCATGGAAGGATTCCATGTGTTGCAGGACATTAGGCATGAGCGGTGGTTGAAACTCCATATAGCATCGTCGCTCAATGTCGGCTCTTCGAGAGGCTCTAGCTTCATTGACCTCTTTCAAGTTCCGAGGTGCGCGCCATTCTTTCTTGCTCGACTGTTGTGGACTCTGAGCATTATCACTCGGTTTAGTGGCGGTAGGAACAGCAACGACTCGGGCCGGGAGAGGGTGTTTCACTGCGAGAATTCAATCAATAACTGCCCATGTTGTAGGAAATCTTATGCAAATGAGTCCTAGGACACAAAGATATTGAGGCAAAAGAAAGGTTGGTGACCCTGAGAGGGCATCTTGTACGAAAAGCTTTCGAAAGCCACGCAGATTGAGACAGTAATGAGAGAAAGAAATACACCAGTTGGCAACGACTTACTTTGGGCTGAAGGTNGGCGCTGGGAGTGTTGTTACACTCACCGAAGGAGTTGCCACTGCAGTTACTGCGGCAGACGCAACAGCGACTGGAGTCTCACCTATCATAGGAACCGAATAAGGACGGAAATATTCCCTAAGCACTTTGAAAATGTCGGAGCCGAGAGGAAGTTGAGCTTCCCATCTCTCCCAACGAGCTGCGTCCGCCATTTGCTGTTTTCCGAGTAACGGCAGGCCCTTCACCCACTCCTCGGCAGCAGCAGTGCCAAACTCCTTGGCATTCTGGTGTTCTTGTTGAAGATCATCAATATGTTTTTGCGAGTACACTTTGAACATCGTGCCCTTGATGGAAGCAGCAGCCTGGGCCTGTAAGGTAGCAGGAATGTAGTGCAAATCCGGCGTGCAGAAAGCATATGGTAAGCCAGCTCTCAGTGGATTGACAGGGGAAACGACAACGTCAACGTCNCTACACATGAGTCAGAATCACTAAAACTTGAAAAGTCAAAAACACGATACTACCTTGACAGAATAGAGCTCAAAACACTCGGAGCAAAGGCGAGCAGAGAAGGACCAGATGACGCGCACACCGCCATGACCAGGTCCAGCGTCGAAAGGAGTGGTGGGCTGATTTGGCTGCAGCGGAAGGGCACCACAAGCCTGGCAATCTCTACCTCCGAGAAGCTGAAACATATGCATCTCTGTAAAGCCAGCAAGAGGACGAGGCAGGTTGGGAGCAAACAGTTTCCTAGCTGATGTCCAGATTGCCTCGCTGTCGAGAAGTTTTAGACCATTGCGATGAGGTGGTAGGCGGATGCTCATGGTGGCGGTAAGGTCGGCAAGATATGAGCGGAACAAGCGACTGACGCGCAAGCAACGACTAAGGTCGTCTGGCGTGAGGTATAGGAATACATGCTGCCAGATTTCGGCAGGGAGGCTGGCGGAAGTTGGAATGGCAGGTGAAAAGTAAGGTTCTGCGGTGAGTACAAGCCTGCGCCGTTTTTGCGGCATTTGGGTCTGGTGGTCCTCTGCGCCAAATCTACGCTTGCCTTTTGACTGTGCTGAAAGTGGTACAGAACTATCATGATACAAGGTGTCCAACGCAGGCACAGCAGCTTGTTGGATCGAATGCGCAGCCAAGTTGAGGTGCGACGACGTATCTACCTCTGCATACAGGTCTGATGAAGTATCGGGAGCTGGAGATGAATAGACCATGGTTGGCAGTCAGATGAGTCAACGACTCTGACCGTCAGTTATTGCAAGAAATTTGCTACTCGCACAGGGCAGAGACAGAGACAGGGCAGCAACTCCTGGGAGAGTTGATAGGGTAAGATGAGATGGTTGAGGGGCAAGGGAAAAAGGTGTGCATATACTTGCAGAGACAAGCAGCAGCCACTGATCGTTAAGCAGAGCAGCGCGCGGTCAAGAGGGGAAGACTTGACCTTTTGGCTGAATATGCGACGCGACACAGGACGACAAGAGAGCTTGGAAAGAACGAGGTCAAATGAAGGAGAGCCCTCGAAGTTCGAAGCCTTGTGCTCAAGGAAGCCACGCATGCTCAAAATGACACGCGCCAATCAAAAGTGCTCGATTTGCCAAGAAAACAGGCGGTGTTGCACGGCCACTTGATGTGGCCCATGCATACGGATTACGGGACGGAGACTCGGGCGCCCGACTCCGACGTGGGTGACGTGCCCCGCCTGGGCAGCAGCAGCAGCGGCAGCGGCAGCAGCAAGCACCAACTTAACAACTTGTCAAGCCTGTCACTTCTTCTCGTCTTTTGCAGTCTGAATCCAACCAGTCTGCTCGACATATCCCTACCGCGCATCCGCCAACATGGCATCTCTCAACCTGTCAACCAACGGGCCCTCGATCAAGAAGAGCTACCAATCCATCGTCGACGGACCAGCCCCCTCGGCCAGCTCGCCCACCTACGCTCAATGGGCTGTGTACTCGGTCCAGGCGCCCCTCACAAGTGCCTTCCAGCAAGACTCGAGCAAGGAGAGCGTACTCAAGGTCCAAACTACCGGAGGTGCGTAGATGCCGAAACCTGGGTACAGCAGAGACACAANNGCTGACCAGAAGACGACAGAGGGCGAGCTCGATGAGCTCCTCGAAGAATTCTCCGACGGTCGCATCCAATTCGCCTTTGCCAAGCTCAAGGACCCCAACTCTGGCCTCCCCAAGTGCGTCCTCGTCTCGTGGTGTGGTGAGGGCGTTCCCGAGAGGACAAAGGGCTACTTCAACACACACCGCGCCGCTGTTTCCAAGCTGCTCCACGTACGTCGACCAAGCTACCAACATCTTCTGACAACACTCTAACGAGCCCAGGGCTACCACGTCGAGATCACGGCGCGCTCCGATAGCCACCTCAGCCCCGAGAGCATCATCGAGAAAGTGTCCAACGCATCCGGCGCCAAGTACGGCNGGCGGTCCCTCAACCTCCTCAGCCTCGCGCGGCCCTCCCCACCCGCTGCCACCAAGCCCGTCTTCATGCCTACACGTACCGGTGGTTCTCTTCTCGCCTCGCGATCCAAGCCCGCAGCCCCCACATCTACCGACAATGACGGCTGGGGCGAGGACGCACCTCATCTGTCGCGCAACACTCTCGAGAAGGTGGAATCTGCATACAAGCCTACAAAGGTCAACATGGCCGAACTCACCAGCCAGAAGCAACAGCCCTCGCGCTTCCAGCCTCCCACAAGGCAGGAGAACGATGGCCCGAGCGACATTGTTAGAGGCGGTTACCAACCCATCGGCAAGGTCGATATCAACGCCATCCGCAGCCAAGCACACGAACAGAAGGACGACAGGCCCACTATCGTCAAGGGAGCTTATGAGCCCGTTGGTAAGGTCGACATTGCCGCTATTCGCGCAAAGGCTCAAGGTGCCCCATCGCCTGCTGCTGCTCCTGCCCCTATGAGCCAGTCCCGCGCTGGAGACGACGAGGACCAAGCACCCAAATCTCTGGCTGATCGCTCTGCTGCCTTCACCCAGTCTAGCCAGTCTGGACGTCTGAGTGAGATGCCCAAGCCCAAGGTGGCCAACCGTTTCGGCTCTGCCACAAGCTCTTTTGCAGGCACAAAGGCTCCCACTCCTGTTGGATTCGGCGTGCCACCACCAGCTGCCTCTGCTCCCATTGGTGCTGCCAGTAAGAACTTTGCCAGCACAGATGGCAAGTCTCCCGCTCAGCTATGGGCTGAAAAGAAGGCCCGCGAACGTGGTCTCAGTGGCGCTGGCGAGACTGCTCCTCCTCCTCCGTCTGCCGCCGCTGCTGCTTCGCCCATGCAGAGCCAGCCTAGTGGAGGATGGCAGAGCGGTTACTCTGGCAAGTCATGGGCCCCTGTCTCGACTGACCGCACAGGTGCTAGCAACATCAGCGCTCAAAAGACTGGCCAGGACGACGTCAGGTCGCCCGAGCGCGAGACAGAGCCCGATCTTCCATCCGGCGGTGTCAGCGCTCTCAAGGACCGTTTCAAGAACGCTGCTCCCATGGGTGCCTCTAACGTTGGTGATGACTCTCCCGCGCCTTCTATGCCTCCTCCGATGGACTTCTCTAGCAAGCCTAACGCCGGTCTTGCTAGCCGCTTCGTACCTCCTCCTCCCCAAGAGGAAGATGATGATAACGACGAAAGACCTGAGGAAGAGCATGTCAGCCTTCCCCCTCCTCCTGCTCAACCTCGCAGCCCTACGCCTTCTCCCCCTAGCTCTCCTATCCGTGTCGCTATGCCTGTGTCTCGCAGTGTACCTGTGGAGCCCATGGAAGCTCCAGAAGAGCGTTTCGATCCTCCCCCTATGCCAACACAATCCATGTCTAACGCCGCTTCGGCCGCCGCATCGCACATGCGCGACGAGCCTGAGGACGAGGAAGATCATGCTCGTGCTGCAGCTGAAGAGGCCTCAGCCACTACCTTTGGTGCAAGTGCCGCTGCCAACGCCAACCCTGGAGCTGGTGTTGCTGGCAAGCGTGCACTCGTCCAATATGACTACGAAAAGGCCGAGGACAATGAGATTGAACTTCGCGAAGGCGAGTATGTCGAAAACATCGAAATGGTTGACGAGGACTGGTGGATGGGACAGAACCCACAGGGCGAGACTGGTCTGTTCCCGTCAAACTATGTCGAGCTGGTGGAAGATGATGACGCTGCTGCTGGCGGCGCCGCTCCACCACCTCCTGCTCCTGCTCGCGACGAACCTGCTGCCACACATGCTCCTGCTCCTGCAGCTACCGGTGGACAAACCGCAACAGCACAATACGACTACGAGGCTGCTGAAGACAACGAGCTCAGTTTCCCCGACGGCGCAAAGATCACCGATGTGGTAAGTTGACCCTCCCCATCTCAACAGAAAGTAGAAGTATCACTAACAAAATCACAGGAATTCCCCGACGAGGATTGGTGGTTCGGCCACTACAACGGCCAGCAAGGTCTCTTCCCTGCAAACTACGTCGAGCTGGACCAGTAGATTTGCGAGTTCGTATTATTATCTCGGTCGCGATCGATTGCGCGACGGCGGTCGTCGATTTGGTAGGTGTTAGCCTATATATCTTTTCTTGCAGAACAACAAAAACAGATTATCACTTTCTTCTTCTTGCATATTTGTTCATGTGACACCATGGTAGACTCGTTTTGTTCGCTTATTTGCAAGTATCATTCAGAGGGTCCTCCTTTCCAAAATCATTCGAGTGCCACCATATTCTACAAGAGCGTTTAGGTGTTCGCTGTCATTGCTCCTAGAGCTCTCTTCCCAAGATCAGCGTCATGATGTCATTTTTTACTTTGACTCTTCCTTGTCGCCTTCCTCCTTCTTCATATCAGGGCTTTCGCTGGGTTGAAAGATGTTGTTGCCTAACACTAAAATCAGCTTCAATGCTCTATCTTTCCTAGTTGGGCAAGGGGAAAATGGTCTCTGCGAAGGAAGGGGGTTTATTCGAGAGTGGGGGGGGCTTTCACATGATGCACAATGTGCCCACTTGCCATCTTTTGTGACGTCGGCATTGGCGTCGCATTTTGGGCATTTGAGGATTTCGGGCATGGCTGTTTTTGTTGTGATAGTTTGCTTTTTGAAAACTCGCTAGGTGTTTTTTTGGTGGTGTTGAGTGAGGTTGTGTTTTGAGGTGGATTGTTTTGAGATGGAATTGGGGTATGAGAAGTTTAGTTGGGTATACTGCTCGAGTTGATGGATGAGTTTGGGGGGAGTGAGGTTGGATGTGTTTGATTTGTTTGTTGTTGTGGGGGGGTCAAGTGGTGTGGATCACAGGTCATGATTTGCTTCACTTTTGCATGTCATTGTCTCTGGGATAACGAGATAATGGAAAAGATATTGTGTATCTCTGTAGGTCACTGTTTCAAGTGTGTTAGGTATAAGAGAATACTCTGTGTCGCGCCTTTTAGCTAAATGGTCTTTCACACGGACGTCCGCATATCGACACACTACTATGCATTCCTACAAGAATAGCCCACTTCGATATCCAATGATGAGAGACCACAGTCTTTTTTTGCAATTCTCCGGATCAGATCGCCACTTGAGTTGCGGTTTTGGTCACTTCCCATCGTCGGTACGCCTTTACAATTCTTTTCGTGCGTGACCTCATGATTTACAATTACGCCACGGACATGGACATAGACAATACCCATCAACAAGGCACTCTGAGTGGAGCCTAAGATGCGTTATCGATGTCTGGTACACACCAGGTGTCGCGGCAAAACTTTGCATTCATGACCATAGGCCACGCAGGCCATAGTAGTAAGCTCTCTTCACTCAGGACGCCATCCTTGTGGACCATGTCGCTCGATGAAGAACGGAAAAGAGATTGCACAATAGCGGGTGTTTACATGGTAGGTGTTCTTGGTTGTCACTGCAGAACAATTTGATTTGTGTCAATTATACTTTGGACGACACGAATGAAGGAAGAAAATTAGAAACACTCATTTCCTACTACCATGTCTGTAAAAGCCCGGCTATAAAAAGGCAAGGTTGTGTCCATAATCTGCTCTTTGCCGCTGAGACACAAGAAGAAAATGCAAAAAGGAAGATGGCGAGCTAGTACAATTGACCAGCTGCAAACCATGCAATCGATGGCAAGCTAGTCTTTTTGACAAACCAGCTGCAAACCATAAATCTCTTGCCGTTTCTTCTGAACTCCTCCTCACAGAATAGCAGAAGCAGTCTGTACAAACCTCCTCATCCTACTCATCTTCGGTTTTGCCTTTAATTGCTCCGTGCCAGTTCCTTGCACACTTTCCGGTCTCTTGCCTTTGCCCTCTGCTGTATCAAACCAACTCTTTTCCTCTACAGAGATACCACTCATACCACTTCCTCTGCTATCAGTGTGTTTGATGGGATCGGAATTGGAGCTCTTGTGACTAGTTTCTCCACTGCTGTTTCTAGAATGCCCTTTCTCACTGCTGGTGTTTGTGCGCAAGGAAGGCGTTTTTGGCAATTCAGGTAAAGGGACCATGGGCATACTCATTCTGGGCCGAGGTTTCATGGCTTGAGATTCTGGTCGCAAGGTTCCTGGCTCTAGCATTGCGGCTGCCACTTGTTTCGCCAGTGGAGGCGCGGGCGAGGGAAAACGCACAGTTCGATCGATGGGGCTTTCTGGCTCTTCGGTGAGCGGGTGCATGGCCCATGTGTTGGCGAGATCTGTATCGTTGAGACTGAATTCATCACCGGCGAAGGAGACGGTGTCGTGTTGCCAGGTGTCGTACCAGTCGCAGATATCGTCGATGGCCGTGTCTTCGGACTTTCTGCGCGGTACAGGAACATTGCCGAGGACATCTTGGAAGGGGTCCAGAGTGGCAATGCTGCCTTTGCGCGGTACCACGGCCGGGGTGGGCAATTTGATTGGTCCTTGGATGTAGACTGAGCGGCGCCAGGCTGTGGACTCTGGTGTTTTGACCATGAGGACTGTGCCAGAGGAAAGGTGAATTTCACTCCCTGTGGCGTCGGGGAGAGCAGGCGCTTCAGGAATAGAGCGTATAGATGTGTGTGACATTGGTGATGAAGTGGTTTGGATGTTGGCAGTGACGCCGCTGTCTTCAGGGATCACTTCGAGGATTCCGGGCGAAGGCTGGCCAGACTTGGGGCTGTTTCCAGAGCTTCCGGTCAATGCTGCAAGAGCTTTGGTGGGTGTCATTGGCGATGTCGGGCTCATCGGTGATAGTGGAGGTGCGATCATTGTAGTGGTGGTGATCATCGTAGGTGAGATTTGTGAACTCGAGACGGAAGCCGCAGTGAGTATTCTACGTCGGACACCGAGTGAACGACGTTGACTACTCCGCGTCGACCTTCTCAGACTCATGTAACCTTGTTGGTAGAAATTTGTTGGTGTGCTGACGATAGAAGAAGGACGCTCAGTTGGCAAGTCTTTGACCAGGATGTTGAGAGCAAGCTGATTGCGTTTGCTCGGACTGCGCGCAGTTGATGGCGAAGTCTCGTTCTTCTCATAGATGAATTCTTGAACGGGAAAGAAGCCAGAGTCGAGCAGCATGCTCATCGTTTCACCTCTCGTCTTCTTACGCCAAGGTATGACACTCGTTGCTGCTTTCTTCAACACCGGCCTTACAGGTGCTTGGTCCTCAATCGGAGAGGCAAGCACACTTTCCAAGTTGGACTTGTGCTTTGCCATCATAAAGCTGACTCTTCTGTCGGCTGTGATGTCCTTGTCAATTCCAGAGAAGTGTGAGCCCCGTTTCCTAGGAGAGAGTGTAGGATTGACTCCAGCACCTCGAGAACTGCTGCCGCCTGCGCGGCTCAAACGGCCAAGACGAGTACTCAGTGCGCGCAGGGGTAAAGACCGAGACGACTTGATCGACGCAAAACTCGGCTGTCGACGCAAACTGGCAGGTGGTGCAGTCGATGATCTCAATGGAGGGAAGATGAAGCGGTTTGCTTCGGGTTTGCTCAGATTTTCAATAGCATTCTGGACTGATGCACCCACATCAACACGGCTGATAGCATCGGCGATGGAGGCAGAGACAGGAGATAGTGGAGGTGACGAGAATCGAGGTACTGGAGCTGTAGTGGCTGGTGTCACAGGCTCTGACTTGATTGCAAGACCATCCTCAGGAATGATCGTCGAGAATCTGAAACCAGTGCTTCTTGCTGTTTGAGGGGTAGGCAGGAAAAGTTCGCTAGGAGGCCTCCTCTTGGCCTTCAATGGCGGAGGCACCCGACGACTTCCAGTAAGTGGACCAGGGGAGGAAGCTGTACTCCTGATCCCAGACGTTGTGTCGATAGTGAGATTCATGTGAAGAGGTAGAGGTGATGCTGTACGACTGCGTTCGAAAGGCGATCCAGTTCTGTTCGAAGGACCAGCCGCCGACCTGTTTGATGCTCGACGCTCAAGTGCAGCAATACCCTTTGCAATCGGTGATGATGGACTGGGTGGCGTATCGGATGGAAATCGTGCCTGGAGTTGTTCCAGAAGACTGCTATTCAAAGCGAGCTTTTGCGGTGTCAGTGACATCCTAGACTTTTGATGATGCCAGAGACTCTTCTGACACTGCTGTGACAAGAGTGGAAATGAACGCCATTGAAGAGGGTATGATTTGGTCGACCACCAGGGTCTTCACCACCGGAAGCGGATGGTTGACAACAAAGAATTTGACAGCAAAAAAATGCCGAAGAAAAGAACAAAGAAACGAAGAATCCATCTTGCAGGTTTTGAACACATCAGCGCTCTCGTCGGACACTGCGCAGCTTGTGAACATATTCCTGCCTTTTGACAAGCCGACACGAAACGGGCTAGTAACAGGGACGGTGAAAAAATACCAGCTTCTGACAGCATATCTCCTCAACCTTCAACACTTCTCCCAAACACATTCACGGTGCTTCTATGGCTGTCAAAACGCAACGACTGGTTCGGAAAAGTGTACTTGTTCAAGGAGATTCGCTCTTTTGACCAGGAAGATTGAGCTCTCGGTGGACGAGCGCACCCTCTGAAAACAATCCTGCATTGAGATGCCGCACTCAAGTAAAGGTCGGCCTCGGTGGAGTAGTGAAGAAAGAGGGTTGGACAGTGTGCAGGCCATCTGGGGTACGGCGAGCACCAAAATCCTTGCTCAAGGGACCTCGGATCAGTGTGCCAAAGTTCTCGATGAGTGGCTTCGGGCGAAGGCTTTCAGGGAGAGACTCTATGCTGACTGACTGCGGGGTCGACAGCGGGTCAGCGTAGGTGACACCGCTGTGCCCGGTCAGAGTTGTCGATGCGCGGAGGGTAGGGACAGTCTGAGCAGCAGGGGTAGCAGGAGGGCTAGTAGGAGGCGGGATGACAGGGTCGCCAACTACTGCGCTAGGGGGCGCTCCACGAACGACGCCATAATGCAGATTGCAACGAAGAAACAGAGCATCATACAGGCTAGTAGGAAGGCAGTTGAGGGTGCTTTGAGCATCTTGTAGTTCAACACTGCGAGCAGCACTGCGGCAAGCCAGGGGGCCAAGCGGAATACAGAGACGTCCCTCATGAAGTCATGCTTTGCATCACGTAGGCGAGCAGTCACATTGCAGAAAGCAGTACGAGAGCCGGAATTGGCGCCTGCGGAGGAGGTAGCCACTTGATCGAAGAGCCAGAGGATGGAAGTCACGGCTGATGAGATGACGAGCACTACGACGCCGATCATCCTCAAAATCCAGTATCCGAGGAGATACATAACGCTGATAGGATTCAGAACAGCAAAATTGAACAAAGCAATGGGGTTCAGGCTGTTCTGGTGATTGATCTGGACGACTGCGATTGCGAGAAGGGCGAGGGCGACAAGTTGACCCACTGGCGCGCCACAGAGGTAAGAGATAACGCCAAACAGGAGGAAGACCCAGAAGATTTGGGTGTCATTGTCCATGTTGGGCTTGTAGACCTGCGACTCCGAAGCTGTGGGCATCATGCTGTTGAGCTGCTTGTACTCGGCCGGATCCAGGAGGTTCCATTCCTCAGGCATTCTCGAGGCCCATGATCTCCATTTCTGTAGCTCGACAAGGTATTGGCTGTCCCGAGCCATCTTTTCGTCGACTGTGAGAGATCTTTCGGTGGTGATGAGCTTGCTGAAGGCCCTTTCGCGGACCGTGTCTTCTGAGGGGCGCTGAGGTCTGCCAGGGAGGTTCTCAGGCCTGGCTGGGAACAGCCCCTTTTCATCTCTCTGGGGTTCGGAGGGGGAAAGGAACAGCAAGAACCTGCTTGCTGAAGGAGGATTGATGGGATAGCATGATGGCGGGGACGTCTTCCGGGGCGAGACGCTCAGGCTGAGTGGTGGTGGTAAACGAGGGACAGTTGTGTGCAGGCACTTCAATGTGCTCGAGTTCGGCGTCAAGAAAGTTTCCAGTCCACTTGACTCTTTGGTAGATGTAAACACTTTCACCTGCTGAATTGCGCGCAGGGAGAGGATATGCTGCAAGGTTGGCTTGGAGACCCTGAGCACGAAGTTCTTTGTATGATGGCATGATGGTGATGATGGTCTTTGTGGTCGAAATTGTGCGTTGTCAACAAAGAGCAGAAGATTGGGTGGCTTAGTCGTTCAAAGGCGCATATCAATCCAGAAAAGGACTGATGGGACTGAGGGAAGTCAAATTTGTCACTGAACGTATTGTTGGTGAATGGTTTGAATGGTCTCAGTGAGGTCTGGATCAATGCCGTGTGGGAGTGAGACGGGAGTTGTCGCAAGCAAAGTGACGAAACAATCAAAGACATTTGATCGCCTTGGAAACGCATCGGAAAATTCACAGTAGTCTTGATCAATTCTCCGCATGCTGCACAACACAGTTCGATGATGTCAATCAACTATAGGCTATTGTGGTATTACTTGATAATAGTCATGGTCATATCGTCGTCGTTGAAGGTCGGCCTAGTTGTATGCGGGCTGAACGAGGGTGTTTCCTNNGAAGAAGTCAGTCAATGCTAAGCGACGTAAACAGGTGTACAATAACAACATACCACCGTCAGGATACATGATCTGCTCGTTGTAGAAGACTCCTCCACGGCCAGCGAGGAAGAGGATGGTGGCTGCCATATCGCTGTCAAAGCCAAATCTGCCTGCAGGATTGCTGGGCTTCATGTCAAGCTTGCTCTTGTTGTCATCACCAGAGCTGCCAGCGGTCATCTCGCTAGGAAAGACACCAGGAGCAATGACATTGCAGCGAACCTTGGTGTCCTTGAAGGTGGTTGCAAGCATGCGGCTGACGTGGGTAGCAGCGGCCTTGGAGGCAGCGTAGGCGAATTGACCATTGCTAGATCCCTTCATGGCGCCGCTAATGGAGCTGACATTTACAACACTGGAGGTGTAGCCAGGGGTAACCTCGCGACCCTTGGCCAAAAGAGGCAGGAATGCCATGGACATGTAGTAGACAGCGGCAACGTTGGTCTTGAAGGTGTCGGCAAACTGCTCAGGCTTGGTCTTCAGGAAGTGCTCCGAGATGGCCTTAGCGTCGGTCATATCAGGCTGGCCGTTGGAGGAGAACTTGGTGTCATCGTCTCTGGCGATACCAGCGTTGTTGACCAAAAGGTGGATACCGTTGGGCTCCTTTGACTCCATCTCTTTGGCAATGCGGATGACATCCTCCTTGTCGCTGACGTCGCCGGGAAGAGCGTGGATGCTTCCGGGGCCGGTGCTGTAGAGCTCAATGGCCTTGTCGAGCTTCTCCTTTCTTCTACCGGTGATGTAGACCTTGGCTCCGTTTTGGACAAGGGCTTGGGTGATCATGAGGCCAATGCCAGTGCCGCCTCCAGTGACGACGGCGGTGATGTGCGAGACATCGAAGAGGTCGCTGTTCTTCAGCTGGTGGTTCTCTGCCTTCCCTNNACACGGATTGTCAGACACGTCCAAGTGGGAAAGTTGAATTGATCAGAGGGGCATACCGCTCATGGTTGCTTTTGTGATGGTAGTGAGTGTTGGATTGGGTCTGAATGCACTTCTGGCGGTTGATTGAGCAGTTCTAGAGAAAAGGCGAAGCATGTCGATTGCAAGATGGTCGAAGGCTTAAGAAGGAATGGAATTGTAGCTTCCTCAAGGAGGTCCACCATCTCAGGATCTACGCCATGTTGACGACATCATACTTGAAGCTGGAGACAAGTGCACCGCGGATGATTCGGCCCATTCTTCGTACGATTCCTCATCGGCCAAGCCTATACTTGTGGTTATCCGGCATGTTGGATCGATGATTACAAAGTAGACGGAAGACTGCTCTGCTTGTCGCGGTCACTTGTTTGAACAGAGAAGAAAGATTGTTGCCGGATGCGGTCATGTTCCTGCCAAGCGAAGCCTAAGCAGCTGTACCTTCGTCGGTCCATGACTTTTACAGAACCAACATAAATAGTTTCCGCTTGATCTAGAAGGCATCAAACCTCCTATCGATGATACGTAGTTGGATACTCAATGTCCGAAATGAATTGATGTCCAAACCACGAATGAAAGTGGTGGTGTTGAGATGAATACACGTGACGTAATGCCTGACCAATCAAAGTCGAGCTTCGCCGCAAGTCGTCCCAGCTGTCGCGAGCGGTAGAGACAACGACCATCACATCAATCCGACAAGATGCTGTTCTTCAGGTAAGCAGAATTGATAAAGTGTGTCGCCGGCATCCTGCGAGAGCCCCGTAATTACGGCGCATACTCCTTGTGTCCCTGTGTAGCCGAGATGTTGTTGCGACTTTGGGCTGACATGGGCGCATAGTTTCTTCAAGACGCTCGTCAACACCGGTTAGTCCCTGCAAAGAGAAGGATCCAATAGAAGGCGCAAATCTGACGAGTACACAAGAGGTCACGGTGGAGCTCAAGAATGACATTTCGATCCGTGGAACCCTGAAGAGCGTCGACCAATACCTCAACATCAAGCTCGACGACATTACTGTTCTGGATGACCTCAAGTACCCTCACATGGTATGAGATCCCACTCGCCACAGAAAGAGTGAAGGCTATGAAGGCTGATACAATGCGCCAACTTCACAGAGCTCGGTCAAGAATGTCTTCATCAGAGGAAGCGTTGTGAGATATGTCCACCTCCCCGCCGCATCCGTCGACACGCCCTTGCTGGAAGATGCCACCAGAAGAGGTACGAGATTACAGAATACTCAGTATGCTGCACAGTTCTGACAGCCTTCTANNGAAGCCGCCCAAGCATCCGCAAAGGCCAGACAAGGATAGCCCTCTTCAGTACTCGGTCAAGGCCCACGAGATACCCAATAACGTCCTTACCTAAGGCATCCCTATGCTTTGAACATGAATACCTGCTTTCAAGTTGAGAACATGCAGTTCCATACAGCCATCGGCCTGGAGAGCCTTAGATGATCATACCCCTTTTCAATCAAGTTCTGGTTTCTTTTACTATGCTTCTCTTTCTCTCCTCCGTGTCTGTATACGATTGCATGTCAAACTCATCCAATCTTCACCCGGTCTCGATCGGCGCACAAGAGGATTGGTTGCCAACGAGAACGGCATGCCTCGACCATGCTCATCGCCATGCCGATAGACTGCCTCCAAGACATGTCACGAATCATTACCAGCACCAACTGCCTTTACAACTCTTGCGTCTTTCCTTGACTAGCAACCGCATCAACATCCACCTTGTCCACAGCGACACATTCATTCTACACCCCTCAAGATCACCAAACATGCCTTACGAACCACCTGAGGGCAGTGTTCTGCCTACCACCACTACAGCCTCAAATCTCCCTGAGGTTTCTGGCCTGCGCGATCAGATCTTCGGTAATTTCTTGTCCTAATTTTACATCAACCCACTCACTAACAGTGGTCGTCACTTGCAGNGCAACGCCAACGCTCTATTCCCCGACAGAAGCCAGAAGATCGACATTATCGTCACCAGCGCCGAGTACCCAGAGAGCGGCTACTATGGCGCTCGCCTGGTTGACATCAACGAGCGCGTTCTACTCCTTGGCAGACAGTATGCCTCGTCTCTTCCCGAGGCGCTCGGCCAACTTCTACAGGAGACTTGCGATGCCATTCGCGACGCCTACCTCCTCCAGAACTACACCGCACTCTACCCAAGCTTGACCTAGTCCAGGGCATCGATCATGCCGCGGAAACGACAGTGCGAAGGTGGACTCAAGGGCTGGGATCCGGTCGCTGTCGTGTGACGATTAGGGCGCTCCTCGGCTATCGCATGTCGACGCTTCGTGGTTTGACGCTTGTTAAGGTGGTGATGATTCAGGCATACTTCAGGGACTTGAGGCGACACATGTTATTGTGTTTTTAAGACAAACACTACCAAGTCGCAATTGAAGAACATACCCCAACCATTGATTTTGTCTTTGTGAAATGTGCTTTGTAGAAGGATTATATCTCATGTTCTGTGAATGAATCGATACAATATTCCCATAACATTTGCAAGCGACACTTCTCGGTAAGCGGTGAGGAAGACTTGCAACGTCGCTCCCTGGCCCTGGTTCTTGGCTCTCATGCACCCACGACAATATTATAATCAGTTGCGTTTCGACACTGACGCATTGCAAAGAGATTTTTGACGCTTTTCAGATATTCGTTTGCTCCTAGGGACTCGAGATAACTCACGGTAAGCAGATTTTCCAACGGAGTCGCGGACCTGGATCATTTCCCAGCTCAGGATGATCATACCTTAATATCTATCGAAATACACAAAGTAGTCGCGATAGCGATGTTGTCCACTGGAAGGATCTGGAATCGCCGCCCTCAGTGGACGCACCTGCATTTGATCAAGGATCGTGCATTTTTATGGAACATCAAATCATCGCTCGTTCCCCGCGGGAGGTCACGACTTCCACGACAACCATCCACTTTTCTTCGAACCGCTTTTCTTTCGCCCTTCTCTATCAAAACTTGACTAATCACCGTTCACACAGGGTCTTCATATTTCCGACCATGGCTTCAATCATTCTTGCATCGCTTAACACAGTGGGGCTCATATTTGGAGGATGTTGCTCTAACGTGAGTTTTCTCGACGACATGACTTATGTTGAGTGTCCTCTAATTCTCCTTCAAAGGNTCTTTACGCTGGAGAAGATCATCAAGNTGAGTGCATCAAAGACTGCGAATCGCAGAATAAACGCAGTGTGCTCGAGGCTTTTTTGCGAATCCATGTGTATTCACAAAGACTTCCGCTGACTTCTTTACCTAGGACTGAGTCTGACAGCGGTTCGTAACTACCTACCAAACACTGAGTATCCAACTCACCACGTCGCAGGTCTTCTCATCACCCTCTTCCAATTCATATTTACAGCTCTCGCGGCCTCCTTCTCTCAGATCACACCCACCCTGACGCTCAAGTCTCCGTCAGTGCCCATGCGCAAATGGGCTTACATCGCACTCATGTTCTTCGCCATCAATATGCTCAACAACTGGGCTTTTGCCTTCAACATCTCCGTCCCAGTGCACATAATTCTGCGCTCTTTTGGTTCGGTGACGACGATGTTGGCGGGTGCATTGCAAGGCAAACGATACACTTGGCTACAAGTGGGCAGTGTGGTAATCTTGACTTTCGGAGTACTGGTGTCTGCGTTTGCGGATGCGGATAGCAAGGTGAGCTGCCTCTCTCTTCCGGAATATAGTAAAGGTCAAATTGCTGATGTTGAGAACAATAGGNGCAAGTCCGTGGAGACAAACCAAATAGACCTCAGCTCAGGTCTTCTCATCCTGCTCGCCGCTCAGATTTTGTCAGCATACATGGGCGTCTATGTGCAAGACACCTACGCCACCCACGGCTCCCACTGGCGTGAAAATCTCTTCTACAGCCACTTCCTCTCGCTACCCCTCTTCCTGCCTCTGACCAACACTTTACGTCGCCAATACACTGCTCTCTCCGCCACCACACCACTCTCAGTCCCCGACTCACTGCCAGTTCTCAAGAGCGCAAACTTGCCCTCCGGTATCGCATACCTGCTGCTCAACTCTCTGACGCAATTGGCCTGCATAACAGGCGTAAACCTCCTCTCTGCCCAAGCCTCGGCAGTCACAGTCACCATAGTCTTGAACGTGAGAAAGCTGGTCAGTTTTGTGGCGAGCACGATCTTGTTCGGACACAAGTTGAGTGGGATGATGGCAGTTGGTGCAGGCTTGGTGTTTGGGGCTGGTGCACTGTATGGCTGGGAAACCAGTTATAGGATCCCGATGCAGAAGAAGCAGAGACAAATCAAGGAGGCCAAGACACAGTAGAGTCTTGATTGAGCAGGATCTGTTGACTTGTGCTTCGGCCTGAGGACTCTTGGGACAGATGAGGTATAGATGGGCGGAAAGAGTCTATTCAACCACCATAAAACGCAGTCGTTACAATTTTGCTGCCAGAAGACTGATTAAAGACTGATTACCAGCCTAGCAATCAAAATTCTCTCACCACAATATGAATTCGTCTACTCAGAACACAATTGAGATCTCTTCCACATCCCCAAAGAAACCTTGCTCAGTCCCAAAAACGGCTGATTCTGACAAAAAGTCGCTAAATGTATGTAGTATGACCCTGTCATTATTCCACCACAACAACAAAAGTGTCCCGTCATCGACGACAATGTAAAGTATCTCTATAGCCACTGATCCTAGCACTGTTATACACCTTATATATAATCGTTGTTTGATACTCACAATACTCACAGGGTAATGCATCTACTCTGTACAATCGATTTCTTGGTAGAAAAGATAGCACAACACGAATATTTTCGACAAAAACCTCCTTGGGTACATCGTATACTTTACAGAACAAGTCGGGAGGATCCACAGATCATTGTGAGTCGACAACGACGCGAATCAGTGTTTTTAGCAGTAAACAACCAGCAAGAGGAAGAGGAAGTCGGAAACTAGTGACCCTTGTTTTCCCCAAGATGTTCTCCTCGAAAGGGTCTTTTTGAGTACTCTGCATCCGTTATCAATCTTCGTCTCTTCGACACCCTCACTCTGGCATTGTTTCACTCGAGTAATCTCCAAGACACGCCGTGGTGGTAGTCTTTCCAAGGCAAGCGACATACGAAGTCAAATCACACAGACAAGTCGGGAAGCAATAATTCAGAGGAAAGTTTAAAAAAAAAGATGAACTATTCGAAAAAAGGCTTTACATACACAACACAAGAAAGAAGCAATACCCGTCGCTCCATGTAACGTCAATTCTCCTCCAGACTCCTATGATCATGGGTAAAGGTGCGGTTTGGAAAAAGACTTTGCTATTGCGCTCGTCAATTCACACCTTGGCAGAAATGACTTTTCGATCATCTCCTCCACATCTATTGGTATCAATAAACTTCGTCCACCTAACAAAAGCACAAATGTTCGCAACGAGTTGCTTAGTACTTTCTGGCGAAGGGAGGGACGGCCTTGCACTCAGCCTCGTCAAGGGTGGTGCCGGTGACCTTGCGGTAACCGAGCTCAACCTTGCCATGGGGCTGCTTCTGCCATGTCAAGGAGTGCTTCATCCAGTTCTTGTCGTCACGGTCGGGGAAGTCCTCACGGGCGTGAGCACCACGGGACTCCTTTCTCTCGGCAGCGGCCTCGGCGGTCTGGACGGCGCAAGTCAAAAGGTTACGGAGCTCAAGAGTCTCAACAAGGTCCGAGTTCCAGATCATGCTGCGGTCCTTGGTGCCGACCTGGGCGAACTGCTGGTCGACATCACGGATCTTCTTGACACCCTCGTCGAGCGACTCCTGGGTACGGAAGACGGAAACATCGGTCTGCATGACCTTCTGCATGGCGAGGCGGACCTCGTGGGTGGTCTTGGGACCGTCGGCGGTACGGACCTGGTCGATGACGTTGATGGCCTCGGCGCCAGAGTCGGCGGGGATCTCCTCGAGCTTCTGTCCAGGAGTGAAGTTGTCGCGGATGGTGTGAGAAACAGCACGACCGAAGACGACCAAGTCGAGGAGCGAGTTGGCACCAAGACGGTTAGCACCGTGGACGGAGACACAAGCGGCCTCACCACAGGCGAAAAGACCCTTGACGACCTGGTCGTTGCCCTGAGCGTCCTGGGTAATGACCTCACCAGTGTACTTGGTAGGGATACCACCCATGTTGTAGTGGACGGTGGGAAGAACGGGGATGGGCTGCTTGCGGACATCGACACCAGCGAAAATGGAGGCGGTCTCGGAGATACCGGGCAGACGCTCGTGAAGAACCTCGGCGGGCAAGTGAGAAAGCTGGAGGTAGATGTGGTCCTTGTCGGGACCGACACCACGACCCTCACGGATCTCCATGGTCATGGAACGCGAGACAACGTCACGCGAGGCAAGATCCTTGGCGGTAGGTGCGTAACGCTCCATGAATCGCTCACCCTCGGAGTTGAGGAGGTAACCACCCTCACCACGGGAGCCCTCGGTGATCAGACATCCAGCGCCGTAGATACCAGTAGGGTGGAACTGAACGAATTCCAGATCCTGGTTGGGAAGACCAGCACGGGCGACCATGGCCATACCGTCACCAGTGCAAGTGTGAGCAGAAGTACACGAGAAGTAAGCACGTCCGTAACCACCAGTGGCCAAGACGGTGTTCTGGGCGCGGAATCTGTGGATGGTTCCGTCCTCCTGGTTGTAGGCAATAACACCCTTGCACTCGCCGTTCTCCATGATCAGGTCGGTGGCGAAGTACTCAATGAAGTAGTTGGTGTTGTGGCGGAGGGACTGGCCGTAGAGAGTGTGAAGAAGAGCGTGACCGGTTCTGTCGGCGGCGGCGCAGCATCTGTAGGCCTGACCACCCTTGCCGTACTCCTTGGACTGTCCACCGAAGGCTCTCTGGTAGCTGTCGAAAGTCAGCATGCTGCTTTCTCATACAGGCGCTCGCGACTGTACTGACATCTTTCCGTCGTCGGTACGCGAGAAGGGGCAACCGTAGTTCTCGAGCTCGATGACGGAGGCGGGTGCCTCTCTGGTCATGTAGTGGATAGCGTCCTGGTCACCCAACCAATCCGAACCCTTGACGGTGTCGTACATGTGCCATCTCCAGTCGTCCTCGTGCATGCTGTTGATCGTATGTCAGTCCCGACTCTTGATATTGCCCCATTATGTCGTCACTCACTTTCCGAGAGCAGCGTTGATACCACCCTGGGCGGCGACGGTGTGCGATCTGGTGGGGAACAGCTTGGAGATACAGGCAGTGTTGAAACCAGCCTCGGCGAGACCGAAGGCGGCTCTCAGACCGGCACCACCAGCACCAACGACCAGGGCATCGTATTCGTGGTCAATGACGGGGTACTTGTTGCTAAGGAATGGCGAAGCCTCCTTTGCGCGAAGAGGCTGGTTTGTGATGATGCGAGCGGCGGGGGCGCTGCGAGAGAAGGCGCGGGCCTGCTGTCTTCGGAGGCCTTGGGAGAACTGTCAATGCTGCTGTCAGTTACCAATTTTCTAGGACGATTTTCGAGCTGCACGCACCCTCGAAGAAGCGGCGAACTGTCGCAAACCGAATGAACTCATGGTTGCGAATGTGTATTAGGAAGAGCCGATTCTAAGACGGCAACAGGGCAAACAAGGAGGGAGGAGGGGAGAGTAGAGTCGAAGAGACAGCGATGGCAAAGGGACACTTCAAGGGCGCGGCCGGCGACGGGGCAAACGTCGTGGAGAGATCTCTCCGGGAGCTTGAGTCCACACGAAGATCGGCCAATCAACGTCCACCAGAAGTCATGGCCTCGAATACCCGAGGTCATCCGCGTCCCGGCTTCTGTCAATACTTGCCGATTGACTTGCCTTGACGCTTTACTTTGTATTCCAAAGCTATCATATACGGTCTCTCACTTGAACGCTTCCAAGGTGTATTCTAGGAAGGCACGGACGAAACGACTGCCAAACTGGCCTTCATCGTCAATGAGGAGGCAAGAGCAAGCTGCGGCAGCTGCGGCCTAGAACCATTCCACTCGTGCGCAGACAAACGGAACAACCACATGGCAATTCACCCCAACCCTGACCTGTAATCTCACGGGCAAGAGCACGAAAAAAGTAGGGGTCATCAATATCGCTTGGAATCGAGCTTTAGGCTTTTGCTGTTTATATAGTAGGTGCATATCATGTGCTCATCCATATGTTTTCGCCTGGCTTCTTATAGACGACACTACCTAGGTTGACTTATCTTTTATGAAGAGGTCAATAAACAAGGAGCAGGTGATGTGTGACCATGGTTAGGCTTCCAGACCTCTGGCAGTCATTGCCTTGCGCAGCGTCAAAGCGAAGAATTTGAGATAGACTGGTCTAGAAAGCGTCATGCGCCGGTGGAGCTCAAAGACAGCAGAGACATGGATTGAGCAGCTGGGATACAAAGAGATATTCTTGCAACTACAGTCCCACGGTCGTCGTGGTGACGCAAGAATGGAGAGGCTGAGATGGTAGCTCGAACAGATCAAGGCCACTCATACGGCAAAGTAGTGCCTATATGAAGAAGCGATGTCGATTGCGGTGTGTGTAATGGCAGCTTTGGTCTGAAACAACGAGCTGGACGGATCGGGACAAAGAAGTGTTGCTGCATTGACAAGATGCAGGCGCAAGGTCCCTCATCGAGCTCTGGTCAACAACAACACACTGCTCTAGAACAGCAATGTCTCGATAGAACCAAGCGTACAGCAAATAGAGACAGGGTGTGCACGAGTGCAGAGCTGAAAGTGAAGTCAAATCGGGCTCTTGGCGTTTGTACAGCAAAAAGCGGCGTCTGCGTGTGTCTGCCCCGCGAAAAGAGACATTGAGCCCTCTCCCTTGATTCAATTCGCAGTCCCAAACCCCTGCCCGTACACGACCACACCGTCACCAAACAACAAGCCATCCTTCAATCCACACTCCCGTCGCCCTTTGTCGATATCCACCCCGCTAATCCGCCCACTCTCGCCGCTCTGCTCCTTCTCGCCGCTGCGCTGCGCCGTCCTTCCGCAACAGCTGCTGCTTCTCTGCCTTGGCCGACCTGACATCATCCGAAGCTGAAGCTCGCAACCCATCCATATCTCCTCCGTCCAATTCTACACACACTGCTGCGACCAGGCGAAACATCTTGCCAGGAGCTTCCAGCGAGACTCGTCTAGCCACAGCTACATAGCCAATCCCCGGACACGCTCCCGCACCTGCTCCAGTACAAGCAGAAATCATGGTCGACGGAGACCCGCAGCAGCCTCCGACATGGAAGTTCACCCAGTGAGTCTCTCCGCGTCCCTGCCCTGTCCTCGCTCTCAATATCCGACCGTCGTTTGTGGACGCTTGACCACTGCC